GTGATTAAAGAGCAGATCTATGCGAGTGGCTTGAAGGACTATGGATAGCCGTTATGGATACGTGTAGAAGACGAACGTCCTTGGAGCTGGATTTACATTAACCCTAAGAAAAGAACACGTGGAAAAAGTTGTCAAAGGAAACACGTCATGAACGTACTAAAAACGAGAAAAAATGGAAAGTGCGGTATGCGATAAGCGAAAACGACGGAAGACGAGTTTGGGAAGTTATACTCTATCAAAAAAACTACAGCGCTTAAAGGATTAACTTTCAAATTGATGCAAGCTGATAACCGAAGTGGCAAGAAGGGAAGAAACTCGAAAAATTCATAAAGAGAATTAGACAGTTTAAAAAAAAACACTTATCATCCATTTACCCACAACGCTACTTACCCACAACCAACTGCCAGATTCGCCAGATCCGCCCAGTAGCGTTCAATTCCAATTGAGCGTTCTGTTCCATGTTTTTCAATGTATCGTTGCATTGCCCGCTCCCGGCAAACGTTTTGAAGATCGTTTTGAAGAACAGCTGTGACTTCCGTCGGTCTAGCACGCCTCGATGTCGTTAAGGTGGAACGCGCTATTAACGGCGTGGCCGAAATCAATCTCTTGGCTCGTCACTCGGTCTAGCCATTACGAACTTTACAGCGACACGGCGGCTGTGTCCCGTTGTACCAGTACACAAGCGCATGTCAATGCCACACCGCGGATATCGCCTGGCCAAGAAATAGAACTGTTAGCATCTATCGACACACATTCGTCGTCCTTTACTATATTTTTCGCTTTATCACACATCGGTTTTGATACTTAGCCAGTCACTCAAGTGGGTCTTTTCGTCCTTGCAGATCTTGAGCACGTATGTCGCCGTATTAACAACTAGATCCCAGATTTATGTAGGAACGAACCGTTGGGTGATCGCGTATCATAGCCGCTCCCGATCTCAATAACGGTGTGTCTATTGTCGACGTCATTTTCCTTGAAATCTTCACTATAGTAACAGCAATTCCAAGGAAACGACAGATCAAACTTTTTATATCATTCTGCTACATGTGGCTGTCGCTACATCCTCGCAAGTTTTGTCACTTTTTGAAAATCATACAACCATCAAATGACTTTGTATTTGACAAGCGTTCTTGATGTGCAGTTCTACGTGTGAATATATTCTATATAAATACTGTATAAATGCTCGTATTTCCCGTGTACAATTAATACATCTGTGACAATAACAACAGCAACAACAAAACAGCGTTGTTAATTAGATCGATATAAAGCCGATCCACCTTTTTGTTCCATCAACCGGTTTCTAGCCTCGGATTCTCGACCGGTCAGGCTTCCACTCCTCTTACCGCAAGAAAGATAAGACAACAAAATCAATAAAGACGCGAAACAGGACAAAACGATTTGAAAAACGACGGCTCCGTATGAAGATCAGGACAAGCATCATCGTAATCGACTAGATGGCTACGGCCATGCAGCTGTCAGGTGACCGGTATTCCTGTATTAACTTACCCACTAACTCCATAGAGAGCAATAACTTGTACTGTAGTTAATGCTTATTCGTCTCACACCTGACGGTGCACCTGCGTAAGCGATGCCTATAACTCGAACCTGTTGTGAATCGCAACAGATGTCTATGCCCGGACAACAGCGCTGCCTGTGTCCAGCCCTGTTTGTACTGTGTTGTGGTCGTTAAACGCTGTCGTTTAAAACTGCAGAGACAAGTTATATTACTAAAAGCAGTAACAAGTTTAAGCGAACAGTAAGCTTCTTTTTCGCCGATAAGAGTCGACTGACAGGGGTATAAGAGTTCTGTCAAAGCAGCGAGTACTTTTCTTAATTGTCGTGCCATTTGTTCGGTAAAACCGCAGATGGGGTAGAGCACATCCATGCTAGCGGAGCAGTCACACGCCCAACAGATCCTGCAGAGGCATCGGACATTGCGCCCAGTTAGCTAACTTAGCTCTTCGGTATATTCACGTATCCTCCAAAACAAACATGTAAATAAACAATTTTACAGGCTCGATCGGGCACAGGGGAACAGGTCCCGGTTGGACTGAGTTAGTCAACTATTAATAGGTTTTATGAAGGTGGCTGGCAAGGTTCACAACTTGCGCTTTATTATGTTGCTTAAGGTTTTATTAGCTAATTTGGTGAAGCGCTGATTTATGGCATTTGAGTAGCAAAACATAACTTGATTAGGGTGCGTTCTTATGGCACAATTGGATCTTGCAGCTTGGGAATGGAATAGTGAGTACAAGATGTTAGAAAGACTATTTATGTAGTTCGATTACAGAAATTTGCTACTATAGTCTAGTATTTGTTTTTATTTATCACCGAATGAAGTAGGCTACAGCTTATTTTGAGCGCAGGAAACTCTTAGTAAAAACCCATGGTGCCCTTTAAGTCATTTGATAACGTTTCACCTGTACAGAATGAAATGGCAAAAAGCTTCGTCGCTCTGATTAGATAGGCGCGAAATAAATTAATCCCAAATACATATGGTCATAAGCGATAACTAAACTTAGTGTTAATCACTTACAGCTCAGTAGCATGAGCTAGTATGTGGAAAAATATAGATCAGGTCGCAAATTCGACGGGAGGCTAGTCAGTCACAACAAGCCGCCTAACTTGCTTAGTAGTTAGGGAACATTTCCGCGTGTCATGAAAATACTAAAAAAATAATGTTAAAACACCGCTGGGAAAAAGGACTGTCACGGAAGACTCTACATGGTGAGGAGATATTTGGCTAGTTATCACCATCATCTCCCTTTACGATTTGTTCTTCTTACAAATTGTCTATACCATCGCCATTTTCTACCTTTTCACAGATAGCATAAATTCTGAAATCTAAAATAAACCATGTGAGTTTTACAGGCATGGGGTATTCGCTGTCATAAATTATTCAACATGACGCACTCTGCTCAACCGAGTATCCATAATAGTTTCTTATAGGGCAGCAATTTGATATTGGATCGTTTGTTTAGTAGGATGAGTTCGCCGAACGGTATTGCAACCCACAGAGATGATGAGGAACAATAAAACGAAATGATAAATAGACAATATTTAATTAACCTGCGTGAGGCCTGATGGCTTCACGAAGAGTCGACATAAGCATATTTATTGAAGCTTCGCGGTCCAGTACTAGAGAAAAAAGCAATCGAGAGTTACGTCAACTCAAACCGAGTAAGCCAGCCGGGTCAAGGAGCTTTCAAAATAGGTAGAATCTCCCCTGCTCTAAATTCAGCTCATAGGCCACACTGCCTAGCTCGGCCTGATGATGAGTGGGTCGTGCCGTCGATGCACGAAAGGCGAGTGCAGATTTGAACTCTGGGCAGAATCGGATGAGCATTTTCACACAGATACAGAATCGACATCAACTCGCGTGAACATATAGACTCCATTTTCGTCGAATCTTGCGCATACAGAGTTGCTTTGGAGGGTCGCGCAGGGGACTATGGAGCGTGAAACTCGCGCACGCAATCTCCTGTCAAAAATAATTCCCTCGACAAGAACCCGATGAATCCCTAACTAATATGCCGGACTCCTAACTCTGGTCACCTTCTGTGGATACGTACGGCAGAATCACACAGACCACGTATCAGCATGCCCAAAACAAAACTGTGTCTACCTAACGGAAGTGAATGGATAGCTACGGGATCACGAACCAAATGTGGAGTAGCCGATGTAGCTTGAAGCAGCGCACACGTAAATGGCTAGTTATGATGGCGTTCAGAGAAACGTAACTGCTGCTGTTTGGCAAAGGTGAAATCGTTCTGCTGAGCAGTTTAACTAGATCTAGCTGCAAGGCGCATTAGAAACAATGACTCTCGGCGTTTATCCCAGGCAGATAAAGTAGAGATTGCCCGCCCACTCTGTCCATGTTTTCATTTCTTTCCCGACTCGATCAATAGGCATATGCATTTACATGATGGTGCCGGCGGTTGTCGCGAGCGTCAGGTTCCTAATTGCAACTCACGGATTTGCCGTGAAGGCAAGGCCTTCCCCAGTCGAGATCAGTCCGATCCGTGTGTTGCCACCTATACAATTGGATTGTCATCGGCAACAACAACAACAGTTCGACTATCTAACGTTTAATCTCTTTAAAGATCGTCTCGTTGGTTATACGTTGACGCATTAAACACATACGTCGCCCGGAACTGACTTTCTGCAAGCGTGCCTACGCGACTCCAACAGGGCCAAGAACGCTTCAACGTTTTCCAAAATTCCACCGCGTCTAATGAACTAATCGTCCCGGCAGACTATCATCAACTTGCAGGACGAAGCGAAGCGAAAATCACAGTTAGCTTTTTTGGCAGGCATCTTTCCTTCTGTCCTACAGACCGCTCTCGGCTCTACCGCCATTAACAGTTACCCGGACCCAGCTAAAGACGCTTAATAAGAAAATGTTTCGAGTTCTATACATGCGGTTTTATTCTTTCAGTTAAGGATTGCCTCGGCGGGCGGCTAGCAGGTTTTTCGAGCAGCTTGAACCGCATCGTATGCCTGCGCCCGGTTTCGACCCAGAACTACGTCATCACCATGTGCCCCTAAGTTCGGCAAGCAAACTGTACACTGCGGCTGCATCATGGAGATCTAACGGACGCCACCAAGTGGCCACCGTTCAGCTTTAGCCTTACGGTGTCTCTCCGGTGTGCTATCTATCTCCGTCACCAGCAGCGATGGAGCGGCCCAGACGATAGTCTCGTAGTTTCTTTTGCTTTTCCGCTCCTTAGCCCCCCATTGTCGATTGGTTAGTTGTTTCCTAGTTCGCAGTGCCATACCATGTAGCTCTCTGGTGGCTGGCCACTGCTATCGTCATTATCTCGACTCGGTGGCTGTGGAGAGGGTATCGTTTATCAGTAACGGTAACATTAATCCTGCGAATGCTGCCGTAGGCTGCTATGGTACAATTGGTGTGATGTTGTTGCTGCCGCTGCCGCGACCACTGGTATAGTTGGACATGATTACGAAAGGCGGCGGCGGCGGCGACGCCTTACTGTGTCCTCACTTTATCGTGCGGCAAGCGTCGCCTACAGGCCCTACGGCGCTTAGTCCTACACAAAGACAAGGATCGAATAGGCCAGATACTGGTAGGGGAGCTGTGGCCAAAAGCTAATTGAGACAGTGCGTCTGACATGCTATCGCGTCCCGTATTTCATTCTCAGTGGTCCGTTCAGCGGCGTGTTAATAATGCGACTTAACGTAAGAGAGCGTCAGGCTCGATCTGGTGATGTCTAAAAAAGAAGAGACAAAACCGAAGCGCTTTTGCTGGAGCTGGTGTGAGCGCATGTTGACTTAGGTAGCCCCACTTAGACTAGTTGGATGGATAGCTTGTCTGACGATTCATTGGCGGGCATTTCAATAGAATATATTGTGCTACTCCGGCTTGTCCAACTGCGAGTCAAACAGCTGGTTAGAAACAGGGGGTATCCGGCGGCTTGTGAACCTGGACGCACGTCGTATGCGCAATAGAGTGCAATTCTGACGGGGGTAAGGAGCATTGTCGGTCGTCGATGTAGTTTATCTCTGTTAGACGCAACCAGGAAATCACATGTCATGTGTTTGTGAAATGTGTGGAGAAGCATGGCTTCGGCTGTCTGTATATATAAATCACATGTGATACCATAGTCTATTAAGTGTTTTGTGTAGTGTGCGTGAATGTCTGCGTATCCCTAGACGCTAAATAGAGGCTTCGACAAGCAGAAATTGTGTTTACGGCGACTGAAGACCATTTCTGATGGATCATCCTTCGATACTCCGGAATTCGACTATCATCTGCAGTTTTATCTGGGATTCTGCTCTCTGTTTCATTGTGATTATTGTCATATGGTTGTTTTTTTAGCTAAGGTTTGTACAGCTTTTAAGGCTAATGATTCGTGCTGCCTGCTGTAAGATAGATAGGTAATATTCCCGTGTGTTTGGAAACGTTCATCGTCGTATTAGGCGTAGTTGGCTACAACAGGTACGGCTTAGTTACGATAGAGCGTATCTCACAATTGTTCTATCGTAATTCTATTACTGCCATAATTAATCGTTGCTTCAGATCGCTGGAGATCCTTTCCACCAAAACATGTGTTTAAGGCAAGTTTTTATATGTCCTTAAATTAACTAGGCTAATTCGTGTAATACTGCAGCATTGTAATGATAGGTAGTAACTTCAGATAAGTAAATAAGCAAAGTATCACGGAATGATGGAATTTTAATAGATTGAAATGTGCGATACATCGACATTACCGTTTGTAGCAATGTGCACTTTATTCAGGGTAATATTCATTCGAACTTTTCGTCTCATAACTTCTTGCCAACTTGTTCCGAGTCCATGTGTCCAGCGAAAAACATGTGACGACTCTTAACTGTCACAGTTTCCACTATATGTATCAATAGCACCGGTAACATGCATACGCCCCTAAGCGATTACGACTTTCGACTCTCTTCCAGGATCTATGTGGTTGCTACACTTGACAAGCTCTGCAAGCTTATCAAGAGAAAAAGAGAAAAGTACCAAAGAAGGCGTGCCTTGAAAAGGACCTTTCATCGGGATTGTATCGCACATGCTCATCGATATCGTCAAAAGCATATCTGTTCACTTGTGGCAATAGTCTTTGCTTGGTTCACCAATTTGGTCCAATTGATGTTTGCTTTTTCTGATGTTGTCTTATGCTTGCCTCTTTATTTTCCGTAAAATAGTACTTAATGTTGTCACTGAAAAGGAATTGATCGGAATCTTATCTTGCGATAAAGTCAATGGATCGCAGGGAAGCAATGTCAACAATCTAGTTGAATACGGTCCTTTAGTTTCCTAATAAAAAGCACATACATTGGTCTAATGAGATGTGTGTCAGTATAAAAATGTTTCACCATTATTCACAGTTTACTGTGATGTTCGTGATGAACAGCATCACTGCGGTTGTAATCAAGAACTAGGATCGGTTAGTGACGTGTATAGCTTATGTATATTATATATTCATACAGCGCATCAATGCAAAAAAGGCAAGTCTGAAAGACCCTTTGTTTATAATATAAAAATGCCTGACAATTGGAATAACATATGTCAGTATTATCCAGACAAGCTAGCTAGTCGTCAATGCATTTTTATCTGAGCGTCCGGATCTTTCTCTGCTCGAATAACTGTTTGATCCCGATCGCTTCGCGCTACCTCAAATTATCCAACAGGACATCGGTGTTTGTCGATAATCAACGTCGAACGCTTAATTTGGTAAACGTAAAAAACAACATCTATACAAACACACGTAGATCACCTGCTAAATTAAACTAGCCGTATTCGACAATCGTCGCGATCCTCTCTAATCCTCTGATTCGAATGGCGACCTGAAACTACTGCAATGACGCAGCCTTCACACGTGGCTAACTGCTCAGAGATTCGCAGCTACGATCAGAATTTTGCCAGTCGAAATTCTGACGACACGGGTTTAGAGATCAGGTTGCTTCTTGTTAAGTCATCTAGACCCTAAACGTTAGTTGGCGGCGCTTTAAAGTTTGTCGAACTTTCTGAGCCGATAGCAAAGTTGATTTTTTTTTATTAGCATTGTATTTTGAGTCAACCAAAGTAATATACAACATAATAGAATCGAACGAAAGAGCATTATCGCTAGAGCTGAAAGCGAAGGCTGCTCGCAGTTGTTCAGGTAATGCTGAACCATCATTTCCACGGCTTCTACAATGAGAAAATGACTTTCCAATACACCGTATGCATATATCCGGCAGGCGATCGCGGTGTTGATGTCGTTAACAGATACAGTCACCTCGATATCAGTAAGCAGCGATAGAAGTAAATAAAACTTATGAACGATTATCATAGTGATATTACTAATTGATATGATATGCGTCTATGAACTTGGTAACCATCAACGAGAAGTGCCTTTCGCGCGCAGTGTTCTACCTGTCACTTTACATCTACAATGGTTTGCTAAATACATTGGTTAAGCTACCAGTGTCTTAAACGCGTTTAAAAAGGCCACTAAAATAGGTCCGTCCTAGCTCTTCCATTGAGCGCACCGAACGACGATACGATTGACAGATCAAAGACAAGCTAGACGGTGCGCTAGCTTTATCTTGAAGACAAGGCTCAGATTACAGTACAAGAGCACTTGTACATACAGCATATTGGTAATCAGTCATAGCGCAATAGATCGACAGGACAAACCCACTCTGGTGAACAGTTCACCACATCTCTTACCCGCTCTGAGATGCTCGACGTGGCTCTGGGTCGCAGCAGTAAAAAAGGCGCGAACATTCAAGATAAAAGAAGCGTTTTTTCACAGCAAAAAAAAGTACCCGCTTTACCGTAGATGCGATCGATCGCCGATTTTTGTACATCATGATAACGATTACACAACAGGGGTCCCTAGTCTTGCTTTAGAGTCCGTAGTGTGCTCGCTTTCGAATCCGTTTCAGAATACTTGTTATTCGACGGCGCGTACGACACGCAAACGAGCCCCGATCTCGCTGTGTCTCTTTTACGAACTAACAGAATGGAAAGATCATGACAGCGCTGAATCTGTTTTCGCATTCACGCTGATGGGGCAATGACAGAAAAGTCGAAAGAGGGCCAAACAGGAAGGTGGGCGAGCGAGCGAGCGAGCGAGCGAGCGAGTACCAGTGAGAAAGAACGAGAGACCCCTGCGCGATAAGGAGGGTGACAGCAAACAACATGTTGACGCTTTCGGTGCATGTGAGCACTGCTTGGTGCACATTGTGCTTATCTTTATGATAAGCACCTGGAGAGTAAATAGTGTATTAGTCAAATAGACGATGACGATGTGTGGCTTCTGGGCCTCAGCATGGCTTTGTGCATGAGCTGGGCCGACTCATAACCAAATGTTTCCGACAGAGTCTGAAGGTCAAAGAGCGAAAAAGCTCCTGGACTCATTTCTGCATGCCCTGTGTGTATGACGGAATCGTTGTCTATAGCCTATGGATGTAATCATATTGTGTGTATCATTATCATACTCTATTGTGGAGTGGGACACTAAGCGGCAGAAAAAATGTAAAAAAAAATTCAAGTCATGTACTGCACGGTTTATTGCGAGCACCGCAAAAACGTTTACCTTATTGTTTACAAAAATCTTCTGACTATTTAATGAACAACGAAATATTGCTTAAGGTCAAACTTACCGACAGTTCGTGCACACTCGTACCGATCGTGCCGTACCCATAAAAAAAAACCATCAATTTTTTTACCAAAGTTTTTTTAATCAAAGCCAGATTTCCGATAGCGTTTTAGCTATGTGAAGTCCGATAATAACATTTAAATATGTGAACATCTACTTCACGAGCGGTCAAATTGACCCCCCAGTGCTAATTTTGCTGTCTCTCAGACACTCACATTTTATTTATTTTTAAGGTATAAAATAGTAAGAGAGATAATTTGGTGATTTTGTTCGCAACCAAATTTGCATCCGGTCTTCAGTAACATCTTTTTATTTTTAATGATGTGTCTCTCGTCGTCTATCACAACTTCTACTTAGAGACGTTCTTTTATTGCGTATATGTATCTCCACTGCATTAGAAAACTGGGAACTTCTGTCACGCTCATCATGTATGGCCATATACTATTAACGAGGTGTAATCGATCTTTCCAACGAAGGGTGGCATCGTTAAGTCGTCCTGTTTTTTGTTGGCGTTTTGCCATCGGCAAAGCTTGTCCTGCCACATAAAGTGTTCAATGGGTACGCTTTCTCAAATTGCCTGTATCATCTTCATGACCATATTATAGATTGTGTTCTACTCGACGTGCGCTATTAGCTTTGGCTAGGAAATGTGAGCCGGCACGTTTTGAATCAGCTATTTCACACTGGTGTATCCGATGTGCTATCGATGTTTGCATAGCAGACGGAACCCGTATAGGTGGTCATAGTAAAATGTCGATACTATCGTCGGCTTTTTCTTTACGGCCTTTTCGCGCAGCGTTAATTGTGCACCATATTGCAACAGTTTGCGCCCACTCGAAATTCGTTGCCATCCATTTGCATGCCGGTCATATATCAATATTGGAACGAGATCATATTTGCCTACGGCTCCTTGATCGCGCCTGATCGGAGTTCGTGTCTATTTGGCACTTGTTCGAGAAACGAGATCTATTGAATCGAATTAAAGTCTGCCGCTCAATCGATCAGTCAACCGGTCGAAACTCCCTGTGTATGTATACACAGTTTACGCTCCTGTTTGTGTGTGCGTGTACGTATCCATCTATGAACACTGTGCTTACTGTGGCGTCGCTCATTGGACGCCACTCGTTTTGTTGCCGCGGCATTGTGTACGGCTGACGCCTAGGCGCGCATTGTGCGAGGCTAGAATGCATTGAGGCATTCTTAACTACTTACAATTTGTGTGTTTATGTGTGCCTTCATACTGTTGTCTATAGCTACCAGCTTGTAATGACCTTCCGTTAATCTAAATGAGATATATAGTTTAGGCCTTCTGCGTTCAGCGCGCCGGAGTGGGATCGGTCCTTCTATCTCCTGGTCGGATTCGTCATCTACAGCGTCTTTATTGTATAATGCTATCTTCATAGGCGTTGTGTTAGACATATGCACTATTTCTACTGTAACGGCTTCCAGGTACTTGTATAAGTAGCGTTTCTATGGTAGTACTTAAATCTCGTCGCCTTTGTTGCTGTCACCGTAATCTTCTTCATCTTAAAGCGCCCCTTAATACCCTCTAGCAGGCTGAACAGGGACGGGCCATTAATTGGCTAGTGGATTCATTAGGTGCTGCAGTAAAGATGCGACAAGGTATTGCTTCCATTTGGCATCTAAGTCGAAGCCCTTGCCATCAGGTATTTTCCCGCAAACCTCGCCCCCCGGTATCGCTCTAACAAACTGCTATCGGTCGGCTATCATCAACATGTGTGAGAGAGACGTAAAGAATCTTTGTGTATTCGTACATGTATGTGCCTACGTGGCTGTAGGTGTTTAGGTGGTTTTTCAAGCTCGTCGAAATGTTAGTGCCGCTTCATTTCCTCATATCGTCATCATAAGCACTGTACATATATATGTATATGGTTTGAGCTTATGAATTGGTATCGGTTGCTTAAGCCGCAGATGCCGCTATAACAGCGGGAGAGGCAAGAACGTAGAGCTGGGGACAAAGAACAAGGGTGGATAGAGAAATAATCGTCGCGGGAGAATTGCTTGGGCAAGAAACCCGAGTGATTCGTAAAAAAGGAAAACTTAACATTCGTACAGGTTCGCTCATTAGACTGTTGGTATTTTCTTGATAGTTCTACATTATCCCACTCATTGGCTTGACATAGTCTCCTCCATTGTTGTCATGTGATTGCGATTCGGCTATAATCGACAGACAATGTGGTTGCTATTTACCCAATGGAGTCGATCCAGTTCAGCCAGAATTAACCGCTTTTTTCAATCGGTGACTTGTTTTAGTCTTCGTCAATTAACGTAAATTAGAAGTGCCCGTAATTGCAATGTTTAGCCGTTACTACCTAAGATAATGCAATAGATCAATGCTTGCGTGTGTGTGTGTGTGTGTGTCTGATGTCCGTCTGTGGCCATTGGTCATTGCATTGTACATTGAAGAACCTAAGCCACCAACCGGATTAGTCTCGTCCATGCATCAGCGTCAGGGTACAGCACGACCTAAGGCCACGACTGACAAGGAGAGGTGAACCAGGCGACGGAGACTGGTATTATGTCCTCTCGTTCCCCACCATGCGATTACAATGATTATCTCGCTTGGTTAACTGTAGGCGGCCGTTCACCGAGCAATCAGCGTGTGCAATAGATACATTGAATCATCGGCTTTGTGCGTTGAGAGTGCGTCGTTTCTATGTCCCGTCGCCATGTGCATAGGTGTTGAGAACCGCGCAAGCGATGGTACGATCGAGCACGAGTCAACAAATAATTATAAGGGTTGCTGTTGCATTGCGTACAACAGCTGGCATTAAGCCCCCAGCAGCAGCAACAGCTGCTTTAACGAGACCAACGGCCAGACGCCGACTGAAGTGGGCGTTTAAATTAGGCCGTAGAAAATTCATTGTGATCTCCTTGCAAGGGTGCATTCCGTTTTCATCCTTCCGGAAAGGAAATAACGCAATTGTGAAGGAGACCGACTTGACCTACTCGTCAACTTGTGAGATCGTGTTGGTTGCACTCAACGATTTCGCTCAAACGATTCAAGCGCTCACAAAACATTTAACAGTGAGGAAAGTACCCCGAGACAGTTCCGTGTGGTGATTTTCGCATCCTCGATCCCCACCCCTTGAGTAGTGTCCCATTGCGTCTGTCATTGTTATCATTGCCACCGTTGCGTGACTCACCATCTCAGTGTGTGTTTGTATGTGTGCGTGTGTATATATATATCGCTCTCAGACAGTGTTGTGACTCGTCGCTCGGGCTTGCCGATTGTGTGGGCTGTGTTCTGGCTTTTCGTAGAGTCCGCCACTGGCGTGGTGTATCTTCCTGCTCTTCGGCTGGCAGTATCTTCTTCTTCCGATTTCATCGATATTGTTCGGAGCGTGAGTCCAGCTATGAGTACCGCCCAGGCCATCGCCGACAGCGTGCCCTGCCAGCTGGCAAGACTCGATACATTAGCGACTACCCTTCTGCCGCCCGAAGGCTCAGCCTCGGCCACTTCTACCGAGCCTGAAAAACAAAAAGGAGACAGGTTCGTCCGCCAAATGATGTCCTTTTTTGTCATTTCCTTAAATACCTTAAATTCCCATCTACCCAGACCTTGGTTAACCTGCCCCGACCGTTATTAGCTTACGTAACCAAAGGCTTGTAGCCAATATAGTCAGGTTCGCCTTCAAAGTTACCTTTCTTAAATATGCTAGTTTGACGTCAATTTCTTATATCAACATCATAAATAAAAAAAATAGAAAAAATGTATATATATATATATATATATATATATATATATATATATATATATATACATGTTTTCTATGCTACAGAAGACTGCAGTAAAGAAAAACAGCAGGGTGACACTTTTCTAGAGAAACCGCCGACTTAAATGTAACTCACATATTACTTCCATCATTATTAATACTAATCTCAACAAGCACATGGTCCAGTATCTCTCCCGCATGTATCCGTTAGACTACTATGTTGGTTTTTGTGTTGAATATTGTCAGAGCTAGTTGAAGCTATTGGTTGAATTTTGTGATAAGCCACGGCTCTCGAGGCATTTTCATAACAAAGGAGTAAATGTTTAACCTTTTTTAAATGTCGGGTGTCCGTCAATCAACGCGACTAGCCAGCAGAAGCCTATATACCACTTATAGACATAAATCTCCGTTCATTTATGTCCTCTGTCTTCGTACACTCTTATAGACATCGCTCAAAGTTGTCCTCAGAACTGTTAGATTGTTTGAAATCTGGTCTGGATTCACTGAGTTTTTGATGCGATTTATAAGTTTATATACAAAAACTGAAATAAATAGAAAAAACATATTTCATTCGTTATTAATCTACAAGGATCGCCAAGAAATTTCAGCGCTCGATGGCAAATTTTCTGCACAATTATTTCATTATTAAATCGATTACATACAGCAAAAAATATTTCGTAAAATATAGACCTACTTTACTTACTTAACGTATATATAATATAATGCATATTGCCATATCGATGATGCAAAATACGTTATAATGCTGTACTATCTGCAAGAATATTGCCAAATAAAGGTCGTCACGACCAGAAAAAACAAAATACGAAAAAATACACCCCGTGACCGCGCATTATATGATCGTAGTATATAATCGTTGCTTCCCATTTTACCTCCCGTCCCAAAACTCAATCAGTCCCCCATTTGTTGGGTAAATGCTGGGTGTGTGCTATGCGTGCCATTCGTCCGTGTCCGATCTGTGTCCGCTCTTGAACGCTGCTGCCCAGTTTCTTTGTACAAGTCCGTCTATTTTTTACCATATTCTCAATATATATATATATATCAATATATATATATATATACATGTTTTTGTGAATCCCTTTATGGGATCTGTTCGCTAATCGGTTCGGTTCGAGCGTTTGAACGTCTGGTTGATGGTGATTGAACTGAGTGTTAACGCTGTCTCGCTGTCTCTCATGTGATCTTATCATGGTGAACTTCTTGCATACAGAAGCGTCAATTCGTTTGTTGTCCAGTAAATTGAACTAGTAAAAACTGAAGAAGCTCGTCGTGTTTACCGCGTAACTGTTTCCTTTTTTTTTTTTTTTTTTTTTTATATTTCTAATCAATTTATAGATATATATGATAAAAATGTGAATCTATAATAATTTCTACACGTTTCCGTCCAGCCATATCCATCTACGCGTTTAGCAGTTGCTTCAGATTGTCTACTGTAAAAAGGTAGAAACTAATTTATAAATTGTTGCAGTTAAACTATTCTGTAAGTGGGGAATTCACAGTTGTTTTTTACGGACTGTGTTCACGTGTCTTATCTGGGTTGGCCATTTTTCTTTGACCCGTTTCTATCATTACCGATTGTTGGTTTCGCCTTGTCTACGGACAGCAACGTGAATTCTCATGCGGATTTGCTGCTTCTCAGCGGCCAGATCGATACGGAGGAATTGGCAGCGCTCGTGCGCCAACAGCTACGGTACACACGAATATGAGCATTGGCACTCAGGTAACAGAAGCATGAGCGACGACGCAATGACCTAAGTGAGTGACTACTTGCATTCAAAAAGTTTTTTCGTCCTTGAATAAGGACGATGAAGACCTTCCCGAACTATTAAAGCTGAGAGACTCGACTGAGTTTTATCCGCAACTCACATTACTTTCAAATAAAAAAAAAACATTAGGCACTCTATTGAGCGGACATCGAGCTGAGTTAGAACGATTTAAATTTAGAAGGAAAATGCTTTAACACAAACGAAATCTCCATATAAAATGTCTTCTATTTATATTACTATATTTCTCTTATGAAGTTCTGTTTTAACACCAATACGTGCAACGACTATTTAAAATACTAATAGTTTTCTGGATTGCAAGTGTTCTAAGATATATTCGAGACACAGCTTAATGTTTTGTTATTATCTGAGAAAATATTAATGTCTTTTTTCTACTAAATGTATGCTAGTTCTATTAAATGTACTTCAAACGGTTATTTCACTAGCGTTTTAAATTTGGCTGCGAAATAGGCGTTTAAACGATATCAATCAATTGACCTAAAAGGTGTGAATCAAGTGTATACATCGGACACCTGGTTTTGCCATTTACATTATTTTTTGCCTTAAAAAGTATAATGTTTGACTTTGCTATATGTTCAGTTGTAATGATGTTGTCCATTCCGGTTAAATAAAACAAACAAAAAAAAATAGTTAAAACAGAATACTCTGTTTTTTCGCTATTAAGAATACATTGACTGCTGAATCGACCTTATTTTAAAGCCATCTTTCTCCTACTAAATAATCGTGTTAGAAGACTAGTTGCTTCTTTTCTATTTAACAAGCCGCTAGATCTGATGTATTTATCTAACCCTATTTGTTTTTTTATTGGTGCTGTTGTTTTTGTTGTTGTTGCTGCTACTGTGCATACCATTGGGGTATCACTGTCTCCTGCCCCTTGCGGTTGCCCATAGGGAGGAGATGAACTCTCCAGTTCAGCACCAGGAGGCTGCGCAACCACAGCCAGACGCCGATGCCATCAAGATGTTTGTCGGCCAAATCCCGCGCAGCTGGGATGAAAATGAGTTACGTAACCTGTTCGAAGATTTCGGGAAGGTACATTCGATCAACGTACTACGGGACAAGGCGACAGGTAACAGCCGAGGTAAGAATGTCCATCTTTGCAAGAACACGCCAGTGCACTCATCAAAATTCTATACGATTTTGAACAAAGTATTTTTTTGAAAAATAAGTTTTTTTAGCGAGGTTCATTAAAATTGCATACATTAATAGCAAGAAAGAGTATCATCCATCTTTCTATAAAGGGAACGCATTAATACGTTTTCTTTAGTTCCAACTTTGAGTTTCTCCAATTATAAGAAAAAGCACAATTTCGAAAAGCCATAGCTGAATAGCAAAGACAAAAACCAACGTCTTTTAAAAGCAGAACCATTATAAGCATCGCGTATTCGCACCTCACTGTATGCACGTTATCCCTACGTTGAAGTGACCAATGATTCCTTTTTCTAGCCTGTTCTATTGAGCCCTAGGCCGAGATATCAGTTATTTTACGAGCGTCGAATAGGGACTAGACAATTACTTTCTTTTCAAATTTATATATTACAATCATGATTTCGGGTGACTTTTGCTGTTCTGCTCTTGTTGCACCTTATGTTGTTATTATTAATACAGAAAGGCTCAATTGATGAAGTTCTCCTTAATAATTACGGATCTAACTTTCGTGAAAACCGAAGTGCTCTATCTGATCCTCATCCGTTACTAGTGATTCGTCAACAGCTTCAACGCATGTTGATCGCTCTCCTTGTAAAAGTTGCTCGCAGTCGCACTGAGCATATATGCGCTACCATACTCCACTGATAGCTCGTGTCCACTGATAGATCTTGCTGATGAAAACGCTTCCGGCTGCGCGTTGACTTCGAATCGTTGTCCGACAATAGACTAAAGGCCAGACTGCCCTTTATCGATGAGGGTTTCCTCTATCTTAATTTTCTGACTACTACCTTACATGACGACGCTGCGTACAGACTGACTGATGCACGCGCATGCATCGGACCCACAGACATGTGGATTTTCCTTCAGAGTGAGCTGGAGGAAGAAACGAAAAAGATGTGAAGAATGACAAGAGGAACAGGCACGACTTGAGTCGTTTTCGATTTGCAGATCCGCTGCAGTAGCAGCTCTCTGCACCGTCATAACCGCGCGTAAGGGCTTGTTCACGGCGCCCACATGCCACTATCCGCATCCAACTTTTTGCCAGAAGACAGTTCATATGATTCACGACTACTATGGTTAGTGCTGGTGTGTCAAAGGCTAGCTGGTGCTATAGAGATATTTGGTCACCGTTTGTCACTATTGCTGTTGATGGAAGAGCTCGGCCGTTCTTGCTAACGGGCGAACAGCAGTCACCTGACAGGTTGCTTTGCGCGAATGACACATAGGACAAAAACTGAGTCGCCGCGTCGACCTCACCAAGCACATACAAAAGAAATGAACCGACGGACGCGATAGCAAACTATTGTTGACCAAAGAGTGTAATGAAAATCAAAACGATACCAACAGCACTTGTCCAATAACTCCCCTATTGTAGGCCGATAGCTCTAGCTGCAACAGTAGCTCGCCGTGCCGATGGCGGCAGCTACCAAAACTGCTTGTCGTACCGAGACACTGTTTTGTGAGGAAGAGGAAGGTACGCAAAAAAATGTTTTACGTACGTTCAAGTATGCAACTTTCACAGAAGTCATACAGACTACGCGATTGCTACGGCTACCACCGTCTGCGGTATCGTCAATCATGGACCAAGACGAAACAGGAGACTGGAAGGGAAAACACACACATATAGAGCGAGAATTTCGCTGGCCAAGCTGTACCAAGATTAAACAAATCGTAGACACATGTGCATATCAGCCGGCAAACGGACTTGATATAGACAGATCCACCTGCCGACAGGTCAATCGGAATGGCTCGATCGAAGACGCACGACGGCATGTCTGGCCAGCAGCTGCATAACAATATCACTAGTATATATTTACAGTGACAGGGTACAGAGGAAGTAATCAAGAATCAACAGATGTTCTATTGTGAGGATGCTGTCAGGAAATAGATTTGATAGTGAGCTGCCAACGAACGAATACACAAGTTGCGACGGCTAAAAGGCGAGCTGACGTGAAGTTGTGCGATAGGAGAAACATAGCTTGTTTCGTTGATGATTATTTTGAAATATGTTGCTCGGGAAAAGAACGGTGGAGGGTGCGAGCAGACAAATAGTCGAACGTTACGTTGCTATCGGTAGCGTCAATGTCGAACTAAAGGCTCATACTGGAACACCTCAGCACCTGCTGACGCTGCGGACGTTGGTCTAGCTTAGCGCAGATACAGCAAGGGCGATTTTTCATCGATAAATCGCTGTTGTATAGTGTAAAATATTTTCTAAGGTCCACAACAAAAGTGTTTTTATTTACTTTCTATTCATATTGGGCTACTATAATGCAATAGCTCCCGGGGGAAAATGTATAGCAACAAATAATTGACATATTGGCGTAATGCATCAGCTTACTCGTACATGCATAGCACTTAGTTCACACCTACAAGCCGTCTTCGGCAATGTGCGTTGTCATCGATCCTATATAAAACTTGAAGTATTTTGCACAATTATTCACAGCTAAGTTCAGACGCATGTCTGCAAGCGTTCATTGAAATCGAGAACTTCTGTTCAGACAGGTCGGAATCACGTTATCGACTTCGGTAAAAGAGGAACAAAAAATAGTCAAATCTTTGTTGCACGACACCTATATCCGTCCCTATTTACCCTGTATTTGAAGTACTTATCAACATCTTTGTCGTTAATTGGAAACAAAGATGCTACTTTTTGCTAAAACTGAAGGGAACTTACTAGCGCATCACTCGACGGCCCTGCGTAAATAGCGACAATGCTTACACAAATATATCATTGAGTTACCAACTGATGCTTCTCTGAGCACAGGAGGGCGCCTCTTATGCTAGCGGAGCGAACAGAGTTCGTCGTTAGAGGTTGTTGTGATGCATGTCCATCAAAATAACAAACCGATAATATCTTAATTAATACTGCTGTACGCAGTGAAAGACAACCTATCACAGGGTTACTAAACACCGAGCAATTTTATATTGCAGCCCATGTAATTCTTCTTGAAGCTTACCTGCTACTTGTTTACTCGCAGTTTTAAGCGACAAACTAAAAAAGTTGTTCAATAACGAAACCGACTGACATTTTCACGCTGATAGAATAGAATAAGTCACATAGAATCACTGTTCTGTGTCGTTTCGTCATGCTAGTTTCTTCCATGGCTCGCTTCACAGAGCAGTACTGTCTCTGGAAGAAAGCAAGCAATTTCAGCCGCTTTCAGATCGGTAGCCGACAGCCACTTATGGACGTGGCGAGCGCCATTCCTAGCTTGAAGACATTGCATCGTTTGACCCATCTTTTTAGGCGCATTATTCGTATCTATTACTCGTACCGCAAACGACCGAGTTGATTCTCGGTCGTTTGCGGCATTCAACGATAAGATTATACTTCGGTGAGCGGCAGTGGCATGGAAACTTGCTGGTCTTATGCTGTAGATACGCTCGTTGTCAGAAATGCCTATGCGCCTATATTGTAGCTATTTTGTAGTCTCCTCCGCGAAAGGAAAGCTGGCTTCGTTATATGTCACCAAGACGATATAAGGTGTCTTCTTGTTTCGCTGCACGCTGTTATATTGGTCGACTGACGGTCTTCACTGAAGCCCTTTCCATCTGATCTTACGAAGCATTTGTGTCATATCGCGACAGTCATAACCGAAATAGCCAGGCTATTGTCAACACGGAATTCTGATGAAGCGGCTGGTTTTCTAATAAAACGCTGAAAAGTCGCTTCAGACGTCCTCTGTATTATCGTTGCATGACCACTGATATGCGGCCAGTATATCTTACAAGATATTAGGTACATGATTATGTATGTATGTATGTATGTACGTATGTATGTATGTCTATATCTGCTCAGGTTCTGACAATGCCAACGATCTTGAACCCAACGACACTACCACGTGAAAACACAACAATTCCGGACTTTCCACCACTGAATAACAGACTCACGCTTTCTGTGAAGATCAGACATAGTTTATCGATGTGATATATTTAGATGGAATAAATCACGTTTGTCCTCCTGGGTTTGGAATCAATGTTCACAGGCTGTTGTTTCGTGACGTTCTACACGCGCAAAGCTGCTCTCGACGCCCAGAACGAAATGCACAACATCAAAACACTGCCTGGCATGCACCACCCGATACAGATGAAGCCTGCAGACTCTGAGAACCGAAACGGTAAACCGGCATATTAATTAACTTCAGTCATCTAGGCGAAAGGCACTAAAACCTAGCTACGATGGAATAATTTTTCGGGCGGGCGCACCCTCCTGTATACGTTAGCCGACCTATACAGCTGAGCAATTATGTTCGCTGTGTTCAAAAACAATAGAACCGCGTGTTTTATTGAATAAAGGTTCTATCTAATGGTATTATTCTTTGACTGACTTTTACTGTTATTTATACTGCTGCGGTCCACCATCTTATCGGTCTAGAGCGCAAGCTGTTTATAGGTATGCTATCAAAGGAGTGCGGTGAGGCCGAGGTTCGCATGATGTTCTCTTCCTTTGGCACGATTGAGGAGTGTACAGTACTACGGGACAGTCAATCCCAATCGAAGGGGTGCGCATTCGTTACGTACTCGACGCGTCAATGCGCGATTAACGCCATCAAAGCAATGAACCATTCGCAAACAATGAAGGGATGCAGCAATCCGCTCGTCGTAAAATTCGCCGACACCCAAAAGGAGAAGGATCAAAAGAAACAGCAGCAAATGATCAATAGCTTATGGAATATGGCGAACATTGTCAACCTCTCGGCCGCTGCTCCAGCGGCGCATCAGCCACCAGCAACTGCCTACATGGTACGTTTGCTCGCAAAGCGGGTACTACAAACTCATGCGATTAGCGGGTAGGACACATTTGAACTTGGACACGGTGACGTTGATCGTGCTTGCATATCGACGTTATATGAACATAACTTAGAATTTTTACTTATAAAAATAAACGACGGGCCATTCAGAGATGTGCGGTTTCGTGTTGAGTTGTCGATGTTTCGTATGCAAAAATGAGTACTAAAAATACGTGTCATTCACTTACAGCCCCAGAATAGCTTTGGCGGTTTCGCGCAGGCCACAGCTGTACCGAACATTGCCCAGCTGGCAACGCTCGTTGCGGCTAACGGAGGAACTGGTGAGTAAATCCGTTTCTCATGACGAGAGCGAACGGATATGGTTCAGCTCTTTACGTTTACAATTCCCTATACTTTATGGGAGTCAACGAAAGCTAAATGTACATAAACACAGGAAAAAATGGAACAAATCATTGATAAATAGGTAAACACACTATACTGGACTAACTGGTGTGGGTCTAATTGAAGCTACACGATCCAGATCGTTGATCAGTTTAGTAAAATTTGTTTGATATCTGCTCCGTCTACATCCTATGCACGTCTTCGTTTGTTGGTGGAGAGGGACGCATGCTGAGGGCAGTGCTGTGGTAGCCGTAAACAAATGGGGATTGCAATTTGTTAGCTTGTTCTTGTTCTCTCTGGCGCGATGATTTGCGTCGGACTGGTTTCAGGGGTTTCCGGTGTAAGTCAATACTCGACCACGTCGCCCCAGCCAGCTTCAGTGGTATCGATAGCGGGGCATCCGGCTGCAACAGCGGCGGTCACCGCCAGTCCAGCCGGTGGAGGTAACCGTGGAACTAACCACTAACCTATTATGTATATAAAAATCAGTCCGTATGAGATAGTTCTGCGTTACACCTTTATGCTGCCTTCACATGGGTACTATTTATGAACCGAATTGATCCTCCATAGCAATAAACGGCTCACCGCTGGTGAGCCGTTATTCCTGCTAATGGCTTACGAACGTCTAACATTAGCAAATAATCGCAGCATTAGTCGTCGGAGCTGATCTTCTCAAATAATAGCATTCGCATGCGAAATAACACGGGCATTAAAAGAGTTCACTGTAGCTTTAAGCAGCTCACCCGTAAATTAACAGCATATATAGAAAAAAAAATAGACAAAATTAACAAATGTGTCGTTGCCTATTAAATAGCTGCGTCATTAGTGTTGTTGTTGCTGAGTGTTTTGGTAATAAAATATCAGCTCCTCGAATTCTACGTATAGCAAATAGCGTGTTCATCTTGTTTCAGCGCAAAAATAATAAATAGTTACATCGCGTAAAAATCCATATTATGATCATTAAAAACAACGTTCTTTCAGATGTTAACACAGCTGCCAACCTTCAATCAATCGCCGCATTAGCACAACTCGCTAACAGCCCAGCGGCTCAAACCGGTGGAGGCTTGAACCAGGTCGTTATGCAGAATCTAGCCTCAGCTCTTGCTTCTGCCGCAGCCCAAACGAATGGGTCTTCATCAGGGAATTCTTCCCTCTCCGGAGTATCTTCTTTGAGTCCGGTGTCATTAAATTCGCTCGCTAACGGCATGGCGAACCATCACCAAGGTAGCATCCGAATCTGTAGTATAAAGCGCTGTTTTATCAGTATCTAAAACTGCTAGCTGGCACTTCAAATTCTTTCGCCATCCAATCCCTCACTATATATATATATATATATATATATATCTATATAAATACTCTGAACGATATTGTAACGTCACCTTCAATATACAGAATATTCAAAAAAGTAAAATTTCCAGCGCTTTATCCTCTTATCCTAAACTGCTTACCATATCCAATGTATTGAAATGTCTGTTTGTAGATTTGGCTCAAACGTACCACCCCGCCACAGCAGTACCAGCTGCCTCATTTGTAAACCTGGCCATCCAAAACCCAGCCGGAAAGCAGGTCGAGGGGCCCGATGGCGCCAATCTCTTCATTTATCATTTACCACAAGAATTTGGCGACATGGACCTCGTGCAAACGTTCTTGCCTTTCGGACAGGTAATTTCGGCTAAGGTTTTCATCGACAAGCAGACCAATCTGTCCAAGTGTTTTGGCTTCGTTTCCTATGCCACACCTATCAGTGCCCAGGCAGCTATTCAGTCGATGAACGGTTTCCAGATCGGAGCAAAACGTCTCAAAGTGCAACTGAAACGCTCCAAAGATCAGGCGGGCACACCATATTAGCGCAACGTGGTCCTGTCAATGATGCCCGTCTTGTCACGGAACGTTTAAAAAGAAGGATGCCTGACCGCATACACTTGAGAGAGGCAAGACAAACTAATTACATTAAATAAACAAAAACACCCACCCCTGAGCAGTAGGTAAACAAGGAAACGACAAATCTTACCTTAGGCTACCTTTTTGTGGCTTCATGTTTTCTTGTGTTGAAAAAGTCGTCGAGTGGCGCCTGAAACCGGATTGTGGCTGAACAGCCTCGAGGGCTACGGGCTGTAAACGTTAGGTCAGGCCGTCTGAAATGTCCCTGGAGTCTGGAACGATTATGAAACATTATCGTTCAGGTGACCCTACTGAGGCATCCGTAAAAAAAAGTATTCGCAACGGACAAATAGGAAAACTTCGGGAAGTGTGTAGAAGTTTATGAACGGTTACGGCCTGTCTAAATAGAAAGAAGCGTTATTTTTGTCCTAAACATGTAATCGATTAAGTGTAAAGGTAGAAGATATTATTAGCTAAAACAAAACTGTTCGAAGGACCGACAAGCTCGTCAAAGCTGGATAATTTGATGTCAAGCAGCAAGGCCGATATGTCGAATAGAGTGAAGGCCAAATGCATGACCCTGTGATGGACAATCTGCAATGTGTATAGAAGAGAATAACTGAAAGGGAGATAAGTGGCTAAAATATATATATATATATATATATTATTTGATCACCGTGTGACACATGAAAAGCCTGAAACTACATACGCGCGTGCATAGCCAGATAGCATTTAGATATATCTATGTGCGTGCTGATACACGCCGTAAGGGCAACCGTGAATAGCTGAATTCGTCTGAACAATGCGATTGCGAGAGATCTGATAATTGGGATCGATTGCGTGGTTGATTAGTTACAAAATAAGAAGACTTGTATCTGTACCGAATATTCATGGAAACAGTGGTAAACACGAATGTAACGTATGGAGGCTATGAGTATGCTATGTTGAGCAACTGAGTGATTGGCAGAGTGCGTAGGCACTGAAAGGGCGAATGGAGATTTCAAAGGATATCAATGCTGATGATGATCCGATAGTAACTCGTCATGGTTATCGGGCGACTCCAGGCAACTAAAGCCTCCAGTACTGCCTTATTGCTGAGGGAAGGTACTTAAGGTTTGGTAAAAAAAAAAAAGCATAGTCTTTCATACATAGACGTACAGACAGCCTCGTTGGCACATTCAAAATGGTTGCATTGTCTGCGAAAACCAAGTTAACAGAGTCGTTTAAAAATAAGGCTGAAATCCACTTAGAAATAAATCCTGCGGTTTAAGCAGAGGGTATTTCTACACGAAGACGCAACACAGTCACGAAATAAATAGGACAGATACAATGACATTGAACAACGACCAGCTAAAACGTGGTTTCTATCAAAATACCAAGAGATCGGAAATAGACCCGGCAAAGAAATTATAGAAATGTCTATATATAATCTAAATTTACAGTCACCTGGTTTCACATGTAGATTCGATACTAGCATCGAACCCGAATACATACATAGTTAATAGATGCTCCTGATAAAAAAACAAGGTATGCCTTGTTATTTCGCTGTAGTCGCGACTCTATGAATATTGCTATAATAATACACAAATATAAGTATAACGAGTATAAAATATTAATAGTAAATAACATCTACTATAATGCTCAAAGGTAATATATTTATCTATAAGAATATACATATATATATATATATATATATATATATGGAGAGCAAACTAAAAAGGAGAACGCTGAAGGATTAAGCAGAAACAAATAGAAGAGACTTGTTGATGTACTGATATTACGTAGACGCGTATGCGGTATGTAAGAAGTGAACTCGACCGTAATAGAAACTAACATAGCACAAATCGACTTAACAACGAAATAAAAAGCACTAAAATTCCCGAAGTTTTTCTTGAGCCGGTGGCAACGAAAGCAGACGTGAAACACACAAGAGGGGCGTAAAGCCTTCATCCAAGCTGCAAAGGAAAATCGTAATGACCAAGTGTGCTAGTTCCATAGACAGGGACGAGATTTTTACATTGAATATATTAGGTATGACAGAGTACTGTAAATGATAAATATGCAGATGCGATACCGTAATTAATGAAGGAAAAACGCAGAGCAGTCCAGAAACGAGACACAGTAGATGTTACGATATGACAACGCGCAACAAAACTCGATAAAGCATTTTTTTTTTTCTTTTATTAGACTTGAGACAAACCTTAGTAGTCATCGAGAGAATGAACAAATAGAAAACGACTTCAACGATACAGAAGATGGTATTCGCTTCATCAGTTTCTGCTGAAAGTGAGATCCGCTCAGGATTTCGTCGCAGCTAACACACCGTACATTAGATAGAGCACAATTACTACTAATTAGAGACAACAGCAGTAATAACTGCTACTATTACAACAAAATATAACTATTCCGATAATACAGTAACCGAGCAGTAATAACTACCCGAAACTCCTCGAGTCCCTCCTCGCTCCCGCCTGGCCAAGTTCGCAATTCCCGCAGCAGAAATTCGTCACACATCTGGATAAACACGAAGAAACTGAACAAACGTGAGCAAAAAGCGAAATAAGAAAGCAAAGTGCACGATCAATGACGGATGACAGAGCAACATTATATATGAGGTAACAATTGTGATTCTGGAATGAATCGGAAGTCGATAACAAGACGTTAACTCTACAATAATCATGATAATAAATGCAAAGAACAAATTATGACAGAGAAATGACACACTGAAGTTCTCCAGAGGAAAGTGGAGAACAACAACAACCGATTCGCAGAATAGCATTCAACAAAACAGCATAATCAGCAAGACCAATTAAACTGCAATGGCGCGTAATCACAATGGTACTAGAAATGGTCGTAGAAAGAATAGCAGGTAACACAAAAATCAAAGTTACCGCGTGCAATAACAACAGCGAAAAATCAATCGAATGACAACAAATATCATATAATATTAATATTATATAATAAAAGTACAGATATACAATATGCATATGTAATACTACTACAGCAATGGAGCAGACGAAGTTCAGAAGTAGTGGTCAATGCAGGATTTCGAGAACAAGCCCAAAAAAACGAAAACAGCCCAGAGGCACAGCCACCATCTTGCGCCCAATGGATGTTGAACAGTATTAGAAACAAGGAGCCGACAGAGTGCGCCGGGGATGCGTTCAGCCGATCCGATAATATCACATGCCACCTTGCAGTTGCTGAGGAAAAGACTCATTCGTTTGCACGTTTTTCTTGAACGTGCTCTTTTCTAAATTATGCCTTAACTAACCAGCTAACGGACCCGTCATGTCCGCAAGCAGATGGAAAGTGGCCTGAAAACAAAATTAAGCACAAGGACGTAGTTGACGAAGCCGTGGCGAAAAAAGGATATGGCTAAATCGTCTACTCCACCTACACATCAACAAGCTACTCTGTTTGCCTATATAGGCGTGTCTATACCCGCATTCTGCGATGTTCAGCCGCACGTGTTGGCTCTTGAGACGGAGTAGCTCTTGCGCATGGCGCGACAAGAGTGATCCATAGTAAAAACGGGGGAACAGCTAGCAGCAAATTATTACTTCCCTCGCAGTAAACGAACTGGTAGAAGATTGAAGTTGACCAAAAGCAAACAATCCGTTCTCAGCAACAACTGTGCAAAAGGTGACAGCATGCGCGATATTATCGGGCCGTAGTCCGCGACGCTTGTTGCTATCTGCCGGCCGGTGGCCCTGAACAATGTCTGAACGGCCGTGGAGGTCATTTAACGCACCCCGGTGATACCCCACAAACCAATCTAGTCACGAACGAATCGAATTATGCTCACCTTTCCCATACCCCGTCCCGTTATTTTTATTTATGCGCGATCACGCGGTCTAAGCTTAGGCGGTTGGTTTCGATAATATTTATATCTATATAGCAATAGATTGATTTCTAAATCGAAGGAAAGGTTTGGCAAAGTAGCGGCTTAGCTTTTGTCCTCAGTGTTTTGGCCCCCATCGACGGACGGCATGTTTAGTATATCGTCCGTCGTAGCTGCAAACTACAGTCAGGCCCTTCTTTTTTCCAGCCTCAGCATTAGCGGACCGTCGTGTCAAGCAGTTCAGATTAGCCATGTATCAATCACCGAGAACAGAAGCTAATACTTAGCAAAAGAATAGCAACAACGACAGAAACTCTAGAAGACGATATGGACCAGACGAACAACAACAGTTACTTGCAACAGCGATAGCGTACATTATTTGTCCAAGTATGAGAGCATGAAGGCGACTTCGTGAAGTTGCCCGATCTCTCGTAAGAGGTTATTTGGCTCTTTTCTATACCGTCAGTAGTTATTTGGGCCTCGTGTCATTGCTAGCCTTCACGAGCTTCACGACGTTAAGACGCTTCTACGTAGTCTAACGGATAAACAGGACAACGATGCAAGTTGGACCCAGCCGTGGGTACCCGCAAATAGCCTAATAAATTCTAAGTAATTAATGTTAATAAGCATAAAAAGCATCATCATAAAAATCTGCCTTCAATATTTTGCTCGCCTTACGATCATTGTACGTGGGCCAACGCCAATAGCCCTATTATTTACAGTGTTTTTAGATAGACTTCATTATGTGCGTTTATATGAAACCGAGCTGTAAATTTTTTGCCATAGTCCATTTCATTCATAATAATTCATCTCGGAGTCGTACAGCTCGTGCAGGCCATGCGGTGCGCTACGTATCCGTCGTAGTATATTTATGATCATTCTTTCGTGTGATGGAAGCTCGTTCGTACTTGCGGCTTAATGATACTGTGTCGGTCACTGTCCTTTGGTGTTGCTGCGGCCACGTCGGCGACGTCGATTACGTCGGCTGTACCAGTACCGGGCAATTTTCCCGCACAGAAATTGGGAGCTCGGAACATTTAGCGTGCAGTTGTCGTGTTTCGGTCGCTGCAATTCTACGACGGTCGTCCATACGGCGACGCAGGGGTTGTCGGAGCCGGGGACGATACCGGAGGGATCCAGGCCAATTGGGTCACCCTAAAGGTTCGTCTTCTGTGGTGTGGGGTTTTGTATACGTATGAATGACGATTACTAATGTCTTCCCGTCACCGTTAGCGACCCAGGGACAATCTCGAGAAAAACCTTTTTGGAAGATTTCTGGGTCTGTTCGAAGGTGATGAGATTGGTGTGTTGTATGTGTGAATGTGATCACCTGTACACTTTGGACGGCGATTGAACGAACCGACAAACTAAACAAAAAATAACCTCTTACAAAACCTGATTTGAAGCGTTGCTAACCACCTGCAATTACTGGCGGTAACGGCCGCGAATCGTAACTCGCCGCTTCGCTATGTCGAATCATTCAGTTGAGTTGAGTTTTTCTCCGCTCAGCGGTCGAAGCAGTAGAAGCCGATAAATATCGCAGAGCCGCGCCATTTTTGAATGACTGCGTGCGTCAAACATCGATGTAACCATCAGGTCGTCTATCAGATGTCAGTCCTCCAGTACTGTCCAAGGCGTAATCCCTTATCCCATTTTATGCTTCAGCAGCAGCAGCAGCGGTGTGCGTCCATTAAGACAGCTTAGAGCTGTGCGTTCACGGCTGATATTGTGCAGCGATAATAAGCAAAAGCAAAACATCTCTGCATTGCAGCAGTTTTCCCTATTTTCTAATCCTTAAGCTATATTTAGAGTTTAGTGTAGTACCCGCAGTGTTTCTTCCTTCCATTTGCGTCGTCTGCACGTCGTCTGCTATACCTGCCGTCGGGGCTGAATGCCACGCCCATAGGGCATTCGTTCGGTGCGGACAGATACCTCATAGCATTGCTTCACCATGTACTGAGTGTGCCTGAGTGCACTGTCGACATGTCCTACAATAGGCGGTCTTCGCAGCAACGTGTGGACAGGGGTTTGCTCTCGATGAAGATTGCTGTCCTTGTGACGAAGTCTCAATAACCTCTCGACCCTCGAAATGTGTTTGTATGTCAACGATTGGTTGGCAGCGAAAAAATAAACCAGACGAGATGAGCCGATAACGCAGATGGATGGACGCATTACCGAGAGCGAGCCCGCCCCGTTTTTTTGTGTTACGGTCAGCGGCCGACGAAGGCCGTTAAATGAATTCTGTAATGTAACTAAGCGCTACGACTATTTATTCTATTTTGCATTAAGATAGTAACATAAATAAAAATTTATTTTTACAAAACAAAAATATGCAAATCGTGTGTTTATTTATAGAGCGGTTGGTAGATAGACTCAATGTGGGAAACTACATAGGTCGACTTATTTAATACAAACTCTTAGATCGGTCCAAAATTAGTGCTCTTTCAAATAATTTGATTGCTTAGGTGATCCAGATCTTATATTAAAGTATTATTAATATTAAATAAACTAGAAAAGCCTATTAAATATGATTTATGACATACACTTAAACTGCGCTTATACGTGATTACCATTTAGTTGTAGGGTTCCTTTAAGCGCAGATGTTTCAACGTAAATAAGTTTGGTAAGTTAAGTTTGAGTAGCCATGAGAAGTTCAACTTGAAACAGCTTGTCTTCATCACTTCTTCAATGATGTATTGCAGGATGAATTGTTATGTGTATGATTAGGTGAACTAAATGTAATAGTACACATTTTTATACATTTATTCTTTAGCTAAAATTATTAGGGTAAAGTTATGGTAGAAAACGTAGCCTTGTGGCTAAAACCAAGATAGAAAAAGGCTCAAAAGCTAAAGGTAGGTTTGAAGTTGTTGAAGAAAGTTACACATAAATAAACGATTTGAACTGATGTTTCAGTTCCCTGTTCCTTAGACTCCTTTGGGCTGCCTTTCTAAACTTCCGAAAATCCAGTTCTCCGGATTAACATTAAACCTACTTAAGCCTGACCGTTTGCAAATTTTCGTTAGTTGACGCCGTGGCTTGGACGGCCTAGTCTCTATTTGACGGAAATCAGCAGGGTCGTTGCCACTTTAAGCCCCCCTGCAGCAACGATAGAAGCTACACTGCCTATGCAAACTAAAAAAACATATTTTTACAAATATACATATCCGAACATACCACATCGCGATCAAACTTAACGGCATCAACATGCCATGGAAAGTCTACGTTAGATTATTAAAACAACAGCTTGTTACATGAGTCGAGAACTTTCACCGGCTCACATGCAAACAGATTTACAAGAGGTATCGGTAACTTTAGTGGCTAATATTAAGGTAAGACCTTTCAGCTTGCTCGTAGCGTGTTCCCATTGTACAATCAAATCGAATTTTATCTTAGAAAACTAAAAAACAGCTATCTATTATAAATTACGTTATAATTTGGGTATGCTAGCAATATGCAACGCATTGACTTAACCTTAAAGGTATGTAATTGCACTAGTTAAACTACCTTGGTAAGGTCCTTATGTCTACTAGGCAAACGCGTTAGCAGTGCACCGATAGGTACATGATTGACTTGACCTAAGCTTATTTACTCCGCTTGCCTGGGGCGTATAGCCTGTTCACAAATTAAGGACAATGGATATGTATCTGTCCAATTTATATGACCCTAAATTTTCTAGCATCGGTTAGCTATTATCCAATCTTTCCGTGCGGGATCAACTCCATACCACGATTAAAAAGGTTTCTGCTTTGTCCAAAATCAACAGTCTACGTTATAGTTAGCTTTCATGTTGCTTCTCGAAAATCCAGACTGACAGAAATCCAGGCAGACTGGCAGATCCTCGATATGTTTTAGATTGTTTAGACTAAAAAAAAATATATTAAAATGGTTCAAAAATTAATTTTTGATATATTTGATTTTTGGATGCAGAAAACACCAGTTGCTTATTAGGTTGCCCAGATAAGTTCTAACGGTTGGTCCTTTTGTGAATTATTTTTTTGTGCTTTCTTTTATGTAGTTACTATTATATATATATAAAGAATACCTTGAATACGCCTGTTTAGTGATTTAGTTCAAAACTGGAGCTGTAGTCGCTTTAAATTGTAGTTATATTAAATAAGTGTTATCGTTAACAATGCCACTTTTAGCATGTGCAAAAAATTATATCAAAATATTCGTTTGTGACAGCCTTAGAAATAATTCATATGAAAATGTTCAAATTCGAATGTATCACCCTGTGTTTACAGAATGTCAAAAAAATAGACACACAATTTAGATCATTATAAGTTCAGGTTTTATTAACTTATGGCCATTACCATTTTGTGATTAGGAATATTGAGTACCTGTTAGAGCTGTTCGGCGTCGAACGCCCTCAGGCGTAATTACTCGAAGCATCTTGCCTTCGCGAAGTGTCATAGAGCACGGCGTGTCCATCATGAGACAAGTGGCATAGCAATTTAGGCAAGGAATTTCCAGTTACGTCCCATATTGTACACTGCCTTCTGTCAAATGGTCCGAGTGGTCTCCTATGCGATGAGCGAATTTTTTTCTTAATCAATTCTTTCCTAGTCTAGAGAAATACAGAGCAGCTTTCGAATGCACTGCATAAAATAACTTCCCATTAATTGTAAGCATGACAAACTTAAAATGAAACGTAATATTTTATTTGTTCTTCAACCTTGCCCTTGAATAAGTATTTGAGTTGGCGAGTGTCCTCAGTTTGAGACACTTTTTCGTGTTTTCAAAAAAAAAGATAACACAAACGCATTTCGTTCGTTATCTCCCCACTTTTTGATTAAAAGAAAAATGTGAATCAAATTGAAGAAACAAATACAGTATTGACATTGAAAGGTTGATTTATTGATGGACATCGCCGGTTCTCGATTATACGAATTCGGTCGGTTTTGCTCGGCCAACTAAAAGCCTATTATATATTGGATTGTAAGGAAAACGCCTCGAACGTAAGAAATGCATCTTCTCGTTCCGCGGCATGCAATTCCGGTTCTTGGGTAACCACTAAGTTGAACCTAACAAAAGAAACAAAAAAAAAGTTCATGTACGCTCTATAATTGCAGATTACGCACACAATTCAGTATGCTTGTGGACAGCGCAGCATTCGTATAACTTGCTATTTGTATACGTTCCATTCCTGCGGTCCCGTGACCAATCAATGTACGCATCCGTCACAAAGCAAGCTGTATCTAGTCTCAACCGCCGTCAGCCTTTTAGATATTCTCTTAGAATCCACGGTAAGACGTCGTGAGCCCAACGGACTGGGCGTAGAAATAACGTTATCAACAGATTTAAACTTGACATGTTTTTCATGCTTAAGTTCAGCCGTTAGACCTAACTTTAGGCAACAGGGCCCTAATAAAAAAGGAATTGTGTCTACGCCCAGATTCAGACCCTGACGCACCTTACATCTTTGACTTTAGTAGCCAAACAAATTGCTCACTGCGCTATCATGTAGACAAGTTGATCGCTCGTTTGAAACTCGCTCTTAAAAGATTGAAAGCCAGAATTATTCCGCTCAATCGGTGGTTAACAAGATTTTGCGAATTATTAAGCACTGCGTGCAGTATTTTGTTGTAGACGCTAGTGTTTAAGGCCATCGCAATGTGCGTTCAATGATAACAGACATATTATAAAAGTATGTGTTAGAGTTTACATACCCATCGTTGACGAAAGGTTTTCAACGCCAGTGTAAACATAACACATTGACAATACCGATTCTTACGTTTTGTCTTGCTACACTGTCATTAAAGTTGCGCTCTCTGGAGATTTTTCCTCACTTTTTTCAGTTGTTGACTTTATGGCCATCTGCAATTGAGATAAAACTTTAACGGGCAAATCAGCTAACAGTAACCTTTTCGTAAGTCGAGAGGAAACCAGTTATTATAGTAGCGTTTCTACATATTTATATCACTGATACTGTTATTTAGCAGAAATTACTACTTTGCCCCATACGTCTTTAAATAAAATTCCGTAAATAGCGGCAAAGTAATTGCATAGGACTCTGACTGAGTGAGTCTTACGCCACGTGTTCGTAAGAAATTCAACATATTTGGTTATGGATCACGCCTTCTTAGCTAACTAAGTAACAAGGGATTAAAATGACATTTCATTCAACAAGCTCGATAAGTATGTATTGAATCGGGTAAGTTTAAAACTGCAAATGAAAAACGCCTACCTCTGTCAATAGGTTCGCTTGTTCTGAGCTCACTTTTAGCAATTTATCATATAGTTTTCGGTCAAAATTAATACAGGAGTAGTTTAAAAAACAAACAAAGATATGATACACTTCGCTGGCAAATTGCACATGTCGTAAATCCGATTGTGTTAGATTAATTCTAAATATTTTAATTTTCAAAACCACCGCATAGTTTTCAATCTTTTTTAAAAAATAGGGTCTGAAATCCGTTGCATTTGATTAAGAGAAGAAAAAACTAAAATGTTTTTTTTCTAAAGCTGATACGTTTCAAGGTACGATTTTTGCGCGAGGATTTTTGTTATGCGTAAATTGATTTTCATACATAGAAGAATAAGAACCTAAAATAATTTTTAACGTTGAATGTACTTGGAATAAGGATGATGAAAAAACATTGAAAGGAGGATCTCTTAATTAGTCAAAAGCTATTGATTTCGAAGACTGCACTTTGATCGACGAACTGAGATAGCTCAGAAAATAAGGGTACAAATACATCTCTATAATCGTATTATACACCTTATACATATACAACCGAAATAAATAAATTTCTTATACTTCGAAACCTATTGTCTCCTTAGCCTGACAAAAGCATAGTTAAAAAAAATGTATTACGCTGTGACATTATGAGATGAAAAAGTGCGTACCCCACGTTTACATAGGCAGAGGATGTTCACCCAGACGAAAGAACACACCCCAACAGTCACTACCCGTGCAGGCGGGGGCATAAACAAAAAATTGCAGCATTGTACAGGAACCCAGAAAAGACACGATAGCTGTAAAGCAAACAAACATACAGTACAGAATAGAATACATTTTGATAAGCTTAATTGATGTTATCCCTTTGTTTAACCAGATACGCCTACACGTGTTGACCACTAGAAGGCACGATTTCATGGTAAGATTTTTATGAAACATTAGGTGCAGGCTTCACCCTGCGCCTGATGATTTCACGAATCTAATTTATTGATATTACACCAAGTCTAACGTAATCTCATTGTACTTAGCCTGTCTCGTCTAGCCGTTACTATTTCATAGTTGTTTTATTAGCCATTATTTTAATATGGTTGGCAGGCAGCTTAGTTAATTCTAAACTTGTCCTGCTTAGAAAACGTTGACTTTTAAAACATTTCTACAGCAAAGAAAAACAGAAATTTTTTTTAGAGTTGGCTGACTGACTGTTTTTCCGGGACTCCCGCGAATAGGATCGGTTGTCGACTGGTCTCTGAGGGACGCACGCAAATCGACTGGCCTCCGGCCGACTTATAGTGGACGTTGTGATTAATCGGCTAACCTATCGGTTCTGTTTCAGGGGCATTACCAAGGTTCAAGGAACTTTGTAGTTCGTTTTAGATTTTCTTCTAATAATAAATAATTGCATACATAATGTTGAATAGAATTAATATATTTAATATGTTAACACGTTGACTCAATTTCTGAGACGTCACCAGATATTAAGAATTTTTTTAATGCTCTTTGTTCTTTTTTATGATGAGTATTTACGTATACGTTTTGACATTTGGGATTTTACCCGGAAAACGATCTAGGATTTTCTGTCCGCAACATTTAATGCCATGTTAGTCGCTTGAGCTTTTTAGTTGATGTTTATTAGAAGATTCGTTTGAAAAATCGCACGAAAGCAGTTCGAAACCCGTTTCGACCCAGGCGCAATCCACTATTGTAAACTGATACGAATCAACACTAGGTTTACGACAACGGCTGTATTCTGACCGTTCGGGTCGGCTGGAGTGTCATCCGTGGGCTTCATTTCACGCTTGTTTTGCTGTTAACCACATTTTTTCTATGTACGGGTAAAAGACTAATTATGGTTACAAGAGAAATAGTATAAAATCGAAACCAGTTAACCGACAATAGCTCTACCTTAATGGCTTCACCCACAATATACTTTAAACGAAATTTGCCACGGAACACGCGTGGACTGCACGTGCTCATGCAACATAATTTTCACTTAAATGTATATCTATACATTTTGATAATATATAAGCACGGACAATGCTGGTGGCCGGCGAAATGTTTATAGACAATGCGTGGTCTTGTTTTTAAATGTGGAAATGAGAAAGAGGTTGCTATGCTCGGTTTACGAACAATCCAATTTACGCAAAGAACGATGGATAAAAGCAAGCTTTCCCCCCAGAAAGAAAAAGTATTTGGTCGATCGGCTGTAACTCGTGCCCAAATCTTCCATCAGTCCGATCCGATTATTTTAAAAGGTCGACTCGAGTCCGACAAGCAGACAGACAGACAGATCCAGAGTTTTAGTAGTATATAGAGAAGTGGGCACATACATGCTATCCTATTACAAATAGTCTTCTATTAGATTTGATAAAGTCGAACGATATTTTTTTATTTTAGGTCTTGGTTTTCCTACGGTTGTTCCTACCTTGTAGGTGGGCCACCATTTTGCCTTCATTTCGGCGAAGACATCGTCCTCACCCTCCATAACGCTCATCGCTGGAAATGTACGAATCATTCAAAAACCGAAATCAGGAGTGGAGTAGGTTTAACACAAAATATATTGTAAGATGTACACATTTTTCTACTTTTTTTAATAGCTACTCAAAGGACAGTTCCCTGTGTTCTGCTCTATTAAATCATAGTCTAAAAGAAGTTCATTAAATAAGTCGGTTTTTTTATGAAATATTAGCCCTCAAAGCGAGACATTATTAATATTATTGCATAGTCGCGCATGTGTGTTCGTGCGAATTGAATAACGAACGACTCTAAGGCAAACAACCGTTTTTGTCCGAACTTCTGCAACGATACGCTACCTAACCTGTTTAAAGAAGCCTCAATAGATGCAGGTTTTATTGAGTGCTAAGTGGGAAAATCTTGTCCGATAAATATGTGGTGCCTAAAAAACGAAGTTAATTAAGCCGTGCGTCGTTACTTGATAATGGTGACTATTCCAAAGCATAAACATTTTACTTTAAATTTCTCAGCATATTCGCAATTATATACATAATTCGCAATTATATATAAAAGCAATTAAACATTTAGCTAAAAACATGATCTAGGTTTCAAGGGTCTTATTATTTAGTATAAGTTGCGAGGTCGTACTTAGAGATATGGTTTCATTAATCATATTTTGTATCGGGTGATTGGGTTTGTTATATCTCTCGAAGCGTTTTTGTCGATACTGACCTAATGCTTCTTTCCTACTATTGAATTTAGTGTGGGGGGGGGGGGGGTAAGTACTGTCTTCGTAGACCTTTTTGAGACAATAACTGCTCTTTTTTATTCAACAAGTTTGTTCATTTGTCGACCAGCTTATAGTATGTACTTTCGTAAATGCCTCTGAGTAACGGCAAATTTACAAATATTCCCATTTTTCTTTCACAAGGCAATCACAGCTCATAAAACTTTTCATAGTTCTAACGATAATCTAGAGTTACGTAGTGTTATATTACGTAAATAGATTTCTAAAAGATTTATGTCTAGACGTCATAAAGCTCGCTGAGAATGTAAGCTAAATATATTACAGATATAACACCTGCAGGCTTTCATCGAAATCACTTCATCACAACTCAGCTAAAAATTACGAACTACGACATTTTTATATTAGGCCCATTGAAGTTGATCAAACTATTGTCCAGACAAAAAAAAGATCATTGGAAAAACATCGTTATGGTTGCCTTATGGTACAAACGAGAGAGCACGTGAATTAATTTGCTATTCGTACCATAATTCTACCCTGAGACCATTGTTGTGTTCGAATATCGCAAATTAATAATAATATTCAACTGTATCGTTGTTTGTAACTAGTTTTGACAAAGGCTAAACCCTATAGTTTCAACAAATATGGCAGACAAAAATCGCAGTAAAAGCATACAGAGTAAAGTGATACCGTTGAAAAGCTCCATCTTAGATGGTAAAGCCGCAGCAAGTACTAACGGTATTTGTACCGTTAGTACTTGCCGCGGGCCTTAAACCTACAGAAAATCGATCATTGCTTTATAAGATGCCATTGCCAGTTTATGTAGTTTTATTAGTGTAGTTCGCATACACTAAAAATGGAGATACAAGCGAGTTCGTCAGGCGATTGCTAAGAAAACTGTTAATAGGAAATCTGCTCAAACTGAGGCATATTTAGATATACAAATAGGTCTCCTCCGTGTCTAAAAAATACAAACGATGTACATCTCCCTAATAATATATTTCCAGTCAGATTACCTATACACATATTTTAGATGTCGAAGCACTTGAAACGAGTTTTTATTATTCGACAAATAACGCACTTGTGCTATAACAGGGCAACGACTACGTATTGTTTATTAATTAGATCCAAAATAACAGTTGCCTTTCATACCTGTGTAGAATACTGCTAATAATGAAGATGATAAGACAGCCTGGTCAACGACTGCTTTTGTTAGGGAAACCGCTACGGTTTTGGCAGGCAGCGCCCTATCCAAAATTCGGTAAAAGTGGAATAAAGTGGGCCCATAGATGCAGGACCCGATAACAAAATAGCTGCAATAATAGAAAAAAAAAGGTGTCAGCAATTTATTAAAAAGTTATTGACTTTATTATATCGATTATTTTCTGTATTTTGTGTATTCATCAAATCGTTCAATTTGAGGCAGAGACCATTGGTAGATTGTTTAACCATCAAAAATGAAGTGCCGATCGTGACCGCGCTTCATACCCATTTATTTATACGGAATAGCTAAAGTTGGCAACTGCGCGTGTATTATTGCTAAGAAGTTTCAGAACTAATAAAAAAGAACCTCAAACATTCGAATAGTTTTCGTCCTGAAATTATCACTAATTTATTCAAAGTCTAAAATTATACTAATGGTAATGTATTGGTTTTAATTCAATTACTTTTTATTGTGCTTTTTCAAAAGATAGGAATCAAAATATTCAAATTTCAAAATATAGCACCATTTCCATTTCTTTTCTCTGAGAATCTAATTCATACTTTGTATATATGTGAGTCGGCAAACCTAAGTGAGTGAACGGCGCTAAACATAGAAAACTCTGTACTGCTTTGATAGCATAATAAAGTTAAGAACTATAATAAACCGCTCAATCGTCAGTGTTCTATGTCGCTTTACACAACTACCTTATTAACGAAAATAATTTTCTTATCATTATATTATTTTATTGATGTTTTTATACTTATAAACATCCCTAGTTCTGCCATTTTTCTTCTCTATGTGACTTTAATCCATATGCCATTGGTACGGACGTGGAGGTCACTATTGTCACGCATGGTGACGCGCTTGTGGTGCCATCATGTGGCCTTCAGATCGCTTACCGACCAATAATCGTGAAATCGTATCTCCTATCAGGTTCATATCGCTTAAGAATTGTCTGCTGAGTGAACTCTGCTGCACAGATCATCGCTGTGTAAGTTGTTGCATTGGCCACAAGTGGCCGCGCGCGGAACACTGCACGTACTTTGCTGAATAATCCGGACATTATCTCCCGTTTTCACGATGTCGCGGAATTGATCGAAGTTCAGAACGATGTATCAAGCACAGTTTCTCCTGATTTTCATCGATTTCAATGACCCGCAACCTTCTGACGACCCTCCCGATCGAACGGGTCCATAAAATACTCTTAAACTGTTTGGTGTATATTTTCACTTAAAATAACACTAAAATCACTTCTTATCACAGAATCGCACTTGTCGACAGCCCTATAACGCCCCAGAAGGGTCGCAAAAGCTAGGTCAAAAGCGCACGGAATCAACTGTAGGTAGCTGGATAAATACGATTGATTATCGAGCGACCATTGATGTTATTACATTAGGGAAGGTGTCAAAGAAAGTCTCAGGCTAAATGAAACCGTTAAGTGTTACATAGAGAACTTTATGGAACGGCAGTGGTGACTGCTTTTTATCGTAGCTAATAAGACAGGCTGGCTGACCGTCTGTTCGTCCGTCCGTCAATAGTAGTCCATGAGTAGCATGGACAGACGTTGCTGCGGCGTCCACAGGCGTGGTAATGCCGCTGACGCGGTATAACAGACGACAACGTAATGCACTCCGTCAGAAGATCCATTGATTCGGCCGCGCTGATCGACGCTGCTTTCGTTGAGCGTTCCATGTTGCATTAGTGAGCATAGCGGTGTGTTAATTGCTAGCTCCAGAGGCCTTTTTCGCGTCATCTTTCCTTTACAATTCTATTTTAGTTCAATTAGTTGTGCCGTTGCCCACGACACCTCCAGAGACGGCTGAGCACGGTCGTATCGAGCAGTAAGTGTAAACAGTATATGCGTTAAGCTGAGCTATTCGTGCAATCAAAAGTTTCCTACACGCTACTTATATATGTTAAAAACAGTAGTGGAACTATATAATTTAAAGAAAATATGACCGAAATTATTTGTAATTATCTCAGTTTTGTCTGTACTTAAAACAATATGCCCATTTCGCAGCTTAATCTGGCCTTCGTTAAACCAATTCAAAATTGTTCTTTTTTTTTGCTGACGAAAATTGTTCATAAGCAACGTTAACCGCTCAATGCGTGTTGTGGATAGACAGTTATTGATAGGCTTCAAATAAATATAAAGCTTAAGATGCTGATTTGAGATTGGGTCGGTAATATTTGAGATTCAGATGGTTCAGCGCAGCTGTACCATACGCTAAGCTAATGCTTCCTTTGTAAGTGTTTTGACAATGTAATTTTGATTTTGTAGATATAACATCTGAAAAGGCTAAGGGTTCCAATGCAGTTCTTTCGGCTATAAACAGAAATGGTTCCACATAAGCTTCTATCTGGAGACGCATCTTTATTATCGGCACTTTCGTATCGCATAATTCTGCATATCATTAAAGTAACACTCGCGACGCTGATTTTACATTTCATCCAAAGCATATACGATAGGCTTTTGTAGAGAAAATAAACAGAAGGACACCGAATAAATCATTACATATGTTTCTTATGAAATGGCTTTTATATGGTTTGACGTAGTAAAATGAATAATACTATGTTTAGATGACCAGTTCTGGTTAGATGAACAAGCCTTGTTTATTTTCTAAATCGAGTTGATTATTATAAACTAATGTAATTAATTATCTTCTTTCAGAGCGGACCATGAGTTTTTACTGAACAAAATATTCTGAAACTAAGATTAAAATCGACTTCCGGCGCATCCTCATCTGTGGCTCTTGTTTTCGCGATGGTAAAAGCCTTTATCGACCATACCGGACCGGGCAGTCTCATTGCTATCATAGCATATTATGCAGCAGGAAAAGACACAATTCAAGAGAGATGTGCCATTTAGAATAAACTGTAATCTACGTTTTTACAACTCACAAAATGTATTGCCAACGCAGTTCACATTTAATATAAGACTAAGATTAAGTGTAACTTTTCGGTTTGTAACGTAACCAGTTGAATTCAGTTGTTGCATAAGTTAAAACTATCGTTCAGTGAAAATTATATGTATAAGAAAAATATAAAAGCTATATGACCGAATCGTGTGTCAGGCTGTATTCACACGCTCTCTCTAAATAAAAAAAAAATTATAATTTAGGTCACTTCTGATCAGGAATAACAAATATCTGAAAATAATCGGGGACATGTTTAATGATCGCGTCAAAAATAAGCACAAAAGCTTGCTCAAAGGAACATCAAATGTGTTTCCTTTTTATATGACGCTCGCTTACGTAATCGGTCCGAGGCAGTGCGTTATTTCACTGACATTGAAGTTTTCAAGGCTGACAAAAACGAGTAGAATCATCCTGCCGGCCTTACAAATTTGTATGATTTGCAAAGACGTTGCATTCTGAAGGTTGCATATTTGGTAGATAAATAGTAAATAGAGTAGTAAAGAGTTTTTCCAAATTCAATTGCAAGATACACTAGGTCCATGTCGTTTGACGAATATCCCCAAAAAGACTAAGTCTTAGTGTCTACAACATCGCTATCATGATATATCCACAATCGACACAATATATCTACATACACTACACAGCAAGACAAGCCTGTATTTGTTTCCTGTAGCTGTTGATATAGTCATTAAAAACAAAAGACTCTGGAAGGCTAGTAATTGTTTTTTATTCAATCAGATCTGTCCTGCAACATATACCGTTAGTTATTACACTGTTTCTACATCAGATACCTACTATGAAGACTCTGTACTGCACAAGGTACAAACCGTATGGAATGAGTTGCAATGCGCGCAGGATGCAGCAGGTATTAGAAAGTCCCCAGTTTTAAGATCATAGAGCACATACAAACTGTTTTTTGTTTTTTTTTTAGCAAATTTATTAGCATAGGGAACTACTATTCTAGAAAAGAGCACACTTGCCGATGGAGTAGATTTGACGTCTCTGCAAATCCTGCAAGTATAGGTTGTAGCACGTTAGCTGGCTAACGGAATTCTGTTTAATAACACCCCATTCGTGCATTTTATTTCGACAATTGGTGTGCCGAATGTTTTTTAAAGTTACTCCATGAGCAAGAACAAAATAACGACGCAATTTCTGCCCATTGAATCTAAATATTATAGTAAGTGCTTTATTAACAATACGAGCTTAGTCCTGCCCATCCTGAGTTTGTAGTATGGACTTCAGTCTATAGCTAGCTTGGAGCCGTAGGGTGCTTTCTCCAGGCTGAGTACATACAAGATTTTGAAACGACGTTATTGAAATGGACCAATAGTTTTTCACTGGGTGCCATCATGGTAACTTCATGAAAGATTTCACTTTCAGACTGCTTCACAAATCCCATTTTGTTGAACATGTTTTGTGATATCGTGTTGTCGCTTTTGATCTTTGCCACAAACACCCTGGGACAGAAGTTCTCCGCGGCGTACCTGTAAATGATAACAAGAGTAAACATGATGATGATGATTATTATTATTACAATCGCCATTCCCTCAATGCTAGGTTTAACTTAAAAATAATATGGTACATTTTTGTAGCAGGAGTGTCTGAATCTAATTTGATTAAATACTTCTATTCATAATACAATTTTATTAGTCAAATATGAGCGTGCAAAAAAGAAGTTACGCGTAAATTTTCCTACAACGCTCATCGTATACGCCATTTTGATCGATGCCTGCACGTTTACTTTGTAATACCCTACGTTCATCATTTTAGAACGTTTGTGGGTGAAAAATTCTGGCAGGTGATTTTTGCGTCACTCCATCGAAACAGTGAACAACATGAAGAATTCTGCAGAGACCGAAACGGATAACGGCCTGATTGTAGAACATCCGGACCATACAACGGGTATATTAAATGTAGTCCATTTAAGCTATTTTGCCATATTTGCCGGGTTGCTAAAGATGTGTCTTCTGGCGTTGTCAAGATAGAAGATGACGCATTTTGTATTCACTAGTTTCGGTCGATATGTCCAAAAAGTTGTTCTAATTTTCGTAGTTGTTGACAGTAGAGATCTAAATCCGTCATTTGGCCTAGGGGCAGCAACTCATAACACGCGATTCTTTCCAATCCGACCAAACACTTTCACTGGCGTCAGTTTGGATTCTGTCACAAATTGTAGAGCATCTCCTCTTAGTTTTTTTTCTTTATTTGCACATGATTGTTGCAGGCAATTCAGTTTTCATCAAATGTGACCGACAGTTTTATAAATAGCTCAATTTGATCATGCTTTTGTAGAGTTTCGTATATGGAAGTACGACCGAGTAAATTAATTTACGCCAATTCGTGTGGCACGTAGCTTCTTTTCTTAGTCAGTTTCCTTTTTTCGATGGTTGTTGTTTAGTTCACTCTCGATATCATAGCCATCAAGCGTAGGTATTGCTTCGGTCGAATTTTCGCAATAGTCTCATGAACTTTTCTTTAATTGATCGACCATTACGAGGAGCGTCTTTTACATGGAAATTTGTAGAACAAAAGCAACAGAATGATCTTTAGGCCGTTTTTTTCTTGTAACATGTCTCAGCCATAACAACAATTTTTTTGTATGGGCTAGGGCAGTCGTTGCGCTTTTATCATAATAAAATTGCAAAAATTTAACACATTTTTCAAAGCGCTTCCGTTTTTCTAACAGTTTCTTTGATCAGTTCTTATGATAAATCTCAGCTTTCAAATGACAAAACGATCACCCGACGTAAATCATGCGACGTAAACCAGAATATATATACTTACTTCATCATAAGGAGCATGGCTTCCCTTCCATAGCCTTTCCGTCTAGCAGTTTCCTCGGCGATCATGATTTCGCACTCGGCTGCCTGCCACAGCGCAGTTTCGTTCTGCGATGAACATTTACCAAATGAATATTACGTAGAAAACAGTTCACTAAGCCAATCAAAGACTAGCTAAAATGACCTTTCCCATTCATTAATGAACTCAAGTTTTATGCTGAGTATCGTCGTAGAACTAGTTTTTCGCACCTAGCAGACAAGGCTTTGATCAAGAAAAGTTCAAAGCAACAATAAGAGCTAAGCTAATGCGCAGACAATGTTATTTGCTTTTATTTTTTCTTAACCTTGGAAATTTCCTGTGAAATGCTGCGCGCTAAAAATGATAGTACCTGGTGAAGTTAATTAAATAGCTACTTTTTTGGCCGGTTGTGCGTTTGCTTGTTCTTGGGCTGCATTTTCATGGTCATCGTCAAGTTGTATCGCGAACAGATTCACGTCACCGACCATCGCCGAGATCTCGTCTCTACCAGCACTTGCCTCGAGTATTGAGCGATCCAGAATAATGAACGTGCACTCTGGAGAATAAGCAAGATCGCACAAGTTAATTAGTCGTAATAAAATATTGTTCTTACTTATACGTAGGATATACCGTGAGGATGGCGAAAGCAGAGGGCAAATTAGCTAGCACCCAACACATACATGTATTTTAGGTAAACATTAAGCGAGCATTGTGATGATAATGGGATGATGATAAAGCACCAAATCTTTGAAAAAAGCGCTTAAATCTTTCAAGATGGCCGATTGTTTGCGGGCACTGATGAATTCATTATAGAATACCATTTTGTTTCCATTATACATTTCTCCGAAGAAATGAAATTTTAAGTTGATAATGTACCAAGATTTCGTGTTCCTAAGAAGCTGCAACGTTTGCCTAATAATTTCAAAAGAACACACAAGAAATGATTTCCCCCTTCTCTACTTACTGTCAGCGTCTTCCCTCCACGTTCGTTGCATGTCGAACTCCTGCTCAAGCGTCAACGCTTCCGAGCCTGTTAAAAGTTGCAGATCGGCATTTTCCATCCATTTGTGGTATTTTTCGACGTGATGCGTTTCGTATGGGACCAACACGACGCTGACACCAACCAACGCGGTATTCTCATTTAGACGCATTCGTCTCCGTTATTTTGGCTGATTTCTATTTTAATCGCGTCACAAAATTCTCGTTTATGATGATCACAAATGCAATTACCGCTTCATAATCTGAAAATATAATATTTTGTATATTACAGGTAATGATTAATCAATAAGCGAATTTTCTAAACGTTCTGAGACTCTTCTCAAGATGCATCTTTTCGATCAGTTATTAATAAAAAGTTTAACCTGAGTATTCAGCTAAAGCGTTTCCCTTCATGTAATAAATTTATAGGCGCATTTCAATAGTCAATTTCTGTGATAGACTATGGTAGCCCGCGGAAAAGCTTCTATTCATGTTTTTTGAAATGTTTTTTGTAATCTGTATACTTTTTTTAGCGCTAGTACCAAAATGTATAACAGACAAAACACAAACAGGATCACGTAGAGCGACATGCTTCCTGCCTTTACTTACAAGTTTGTTTAAACTTTAATTAGAAAAAGCAACCCAAAAAACAAGTAGTTCCAGTGACCATGTGTGCTTGTTCGTATAAGAAATATTCATACCATAAAAGCAGTAAAGCGTAGCATTCTGTCCATTGGACGTTCGCGCGCTGGCGGTTCAACTTTGAATGGTTAGGTTCAAACTAATTTAATCTCTGTTTTGCTCCTTGCAATTAGTCATTGGCCATTTGCTGCTTGTTGACGAACGCCACCTACCGATGTTTAAACTTCATTGACGTCGTATGCATTATTTAAGCTCATAATTCGAATTTGCCTATATCTAATGTTGATCAGAAGCAAAGCATCTGCTACTAAGCAGTAGCACATTCGAAAGCTCCGAACAGCACGACGTCTCTTAGTTGTTCCGTGGGTTACTCACTGAAAACACATCAACGGACGGAACAACGGTTTTACGGATCTGCATGGAACATACTCATGATACGGCATGCAGCTTATTCTATTTGGAGAATAATATCAACAGAGGACACCAATTAACTGACACTGCCGAACACTTGAACACGATAGCTTCATAGACTTATTGGAAAGATGTCTGCCGGCGGCATGCTTCAGTTCGGTGTGCGAATCGGGCGAAAAGCTTTGCCGTGCATAAGGTACGATTAATGAGCTGAACTTGAAAGAAAGCATCCTAGTAAAATATGAGAGAGCGAAAACCCCGTACAGCTATAGGGATTTGGGCGCCGAGCATAGTTTTCAGTTTTATGAACACAAATTTCAAGCCTTAGAAAGATTCGATACCCTGTCTCGTTCAAGCGCTACAGAGCAGTAGTGCATACACTCTGTTTCTTTGTGACTAGGTATATTCAGACGGACTTCGTGATGCGATTCTACTTTGAACCATCTTGGATTAAGTTAGAATGGATACTGGCTCTTGCCGACCCTAGGAGTATGCCCACCCTAAAGTTTTAAATCTTACATCTAGTACTGATCTCAAGCATTTCCTTACTTTACTATTATTTAACGTCTGTTGTCTATAGCGAACTGTTATCTGTGCGTAACTCGATAATAAGTGCATGTTCCCGTACGGAAATAGTGTAATCAGTCACGATCCGCTGTAATTGGTTGTGCTTACAAATCGAAAAATCTGATGCTGAAAGTAAAAAGCGGTAAATGGCAGCACATTTTGCTGTAGCTAGAGTGGTGTTTAATGATGTGCCTTTTAGACAGATTTATTTGAACTCACTTCTTACTTGGCGGTGGCAGCTGTTTTCTATAATTGACATTAGCCTCTGTGTACTTGGTCCTAATGTTTGGACCTTCGTTTTTAATATATATATATATATATATATATATATATATAGTCACTGAGGTTAGTCAGCAGAAATGCTAAAATATTTCCGACTGTAAGTCAGCTTATTCTTCGTAAGTCAGATTAATATACGTCTCAGTCGCGTTCATCTCAATTATATCATTTTTGAACAAAAAGAAATTTTGTTAACTGGCTGCCGTCCAGCGTTTTAGCGATGCCAATATACTATTTTGTCAAATGCCTCTTTACAGTAGGTTTCTCTTTAATATTTCTATTTGAGAAAATATTGAGCCATATTCGTTTGATATTGAACAAATTTTAAGTTGGAATATAAGCAAGCATTATCTCCGCATGGTACTTTATAGAATACCACAATGGCTTACCTTTAAGGCGGTATTCGAAAGCCATCTAGATTCTCCTTAACACAGAAACACATATACCGAATCCTATAATGACACTAACCTTTACCATATCACCCGGTATAGGCTGAATTGGCGAGGATGTCAGTCTAAGGCAATTTCAGGAAGTTCCGTCGATATAACAAAAATCCCTCTAACGGAACCTTTGCCGGGTCTGCCTGCCGTTACATACGCAAAACCCTCTGCTCAGCCGGACGAAACTATCGTAACCAAACTTGACAACGGGATCCGTGTCGCATCACAGAATCGTTTCGGGCATTTCTGCACAGTCGGAGGTAAGTCTCACGCATGAAGAATATCTCAGCGGTCTAGCATCAAAGCAACCAAACGGCATTTATTCTGCTTCTAACAGCTTCATGGTCTATATCGAAAAATGATGTTGAAGCAGGTTCTAGTTTTCAGCTTAATACGGTGTGAAGAAATACCTTAAATGAGGTATGCAGGCTGTTTTGTTGTTTAGATTACTGACTCACAAATAGCACTTTGTAATAAGATACCTGAATAATTGAATTAGTACTACTATAAAAGCATTTATTAAATAGTGTCGTTCAAGATGCCAGAACCAGTTTGGTTGAAGGATATCGCTTTGTATTGAAATCCATTCTTCCTACGCTGCGGCGAAAAAGGGTACCCTACGTGGTATCGTATTCCTTGCTACAAATGTTTTCTAAAGGTGATTTAAGAGGACTGAAGAGCTAATCGGAAAAACCGTCGAACTGCCATGATTCGTTGGCCACTTGTGTTGTTGACGTTCTGCGTTGGCAATCAACCAGATTTTCAGCTAAGTTATTGTTGCCATTGTGATACATACTTCTTCTACAGATTGTTTGAAAAACAGAAATTAAAAGGTAGAACTCGAACTGTATCTTGATCATAGGCCTGAAGGCCTTCTGGGTCCTTCAGGCAAGACTGCAAGCATAGGTAAACCGCGGCCTGTGCGTTCGGGGAGACGAAGGGTTTGTACTGCAGACTGGAGAATTCCAAACAAATGCAGCGCTTAAGCTTCAGCGTCTATCATGTACGACACACGACGGAGCTTGGTGTTTGACAGCCCGCGTACGTGCAGCGCATCGAAGTCTATCGATATCGGCTTATGAGCACTATGAGTGCTTGATCCTTCTGTCAAGAAATGAAACCCTGAAGCTTTACCTTATATTTGGTCACGTTCGTCGCACATATATAGATAATCGGACTTCCTGCATGTCCTATGAAAGATGGTGTCGAGCTGCGCATTATTGAGCAAACGTAGTCCGCGAGTGTCTCGAAAGACCGTATTGGAGCTCTGGTTCAGTTGATTGAGACAGGCATTGAAGCCGCCGGCAACGACTGGAAAAGAGGCAGTATAAGAAGACAACGATGCCAGTCCACTGACAAATTACTCCACCAGTACGAACGTAAATTACAAAACGGTCGATTAAACATAGACTAATACGAGGCATAGCCCCTAGCCACGTAAGGTGATTACGTTTATCTCCACTAGGTACGACGTAAGGCCGCCTATCTTTTGGTTGTAATCCATATGAAGGTTATTAAACAGTAAAACACAAAAGGAAATACTTGTTGTTATTTCAATGATTGATTTCAGTTGTTATTGACTCGGGCCCACGTTACGAAGTGGCGTTCCCATCTGGACTAACACACTTCCTCGAGAAACTTGCATTTGGAGCCACTAGTAAATTCGGATGCCGCGATGAAGTTCTTCAGGTTCGCACAGGAATATGTATTATTTATACCTGTAAAGAAATATCATAGGTATCCGCCTTGTACGAATTACACAAAAATATGACTAGGGTTGACGTGTTCAAAGTCTACGTGAGCGCATTTTATGCGCATAATGATCACTCGCGGCTTGGTAGCCGAGTCCACTTGAGATATTTTGTTATTGACATAGCTAGCCCATACCTTAAAATGACAAAAAAGTGCATGAAAATCCGTTATCGATCTTTTCTCATCGAGTGTTTTATCTAACTGAACGATGAAAGCCTCTGAGCAGTAATTCAGTATTCAAACGTGACCAGCACCAACAACTAGAATTTAGACACCTTGTCCGTTAGGTTTGTTTGTGTTGGGCTGGGGGTTCAGACAATTGAAATGATCTTTATTTAGCCTAAACCTGTGCACTCATGACTTACTATTGTTTATTCAACAGAAAACGTCGAAGAACTTTTCACGAAAACAAATAGGTGCCAAACTTTTTAACTGTCAAAGGTTTTATTTGATCTTATAGGCTTGCATAGTCCACCGGTTTGGTATTTTCTTACTCTCTGTTTATATCATTCTTAGTCAATCCAAATATGACTGTCATAAATAATTTGGACATCTTTGAGTTCTCGCCTTATGAACAGATTCGATTGTAGTGTGTCAATTCCACATTTTATGTTTTCGGTTAGGTGCTGGAGAAACAAGGTGGCATTTGTGACTGCCAGTCCTCTCGCGACACTATGATCTACGCGGCATCGGCCGACTCTCGGGGTTTGAATAACGTCATCGATCTTCTCTCTGAGGTAACACTTCGGCCCCGAATTACTGAAGAAGAGTTGGACGCGTCCCGAGAAGCTATTAAAAGTGAACTTCGTGACGTTGACATGCGACCTGACCAGGAGACGCTGCTCATGGAAATGATCCACAAGGCGGCGTACAGAAACAACACGTTAGGTTTGCCGAAACTCTGCCCAGCCGAGAATATCGCTCTAATCGATCGAAAAACGCTTTTCACCTTTCTTAAACAGCGATACGCAGCAAAACATATGGTGGTCTCTGCCGTGGGGGTCAATCATGATGAGCTCGTTGAAGCAGTGAACAAGTTAGTAAGCATAGTAGGGATCGTGTTATTGTAATAATCGTTTTGGCTGGCAGCCACCTTTTCCCAAAACATGTGAAAATGGTATATATTGGCGCTTATTATAAATACGCGAGATTAATGACTTTACTATGACCACATTATACATATTTTAACATGTGGACTCATTTCAGATAAGCGAGCACCTACTAGTAGTTTTCTCAATCTTATTGGTAGTTGCTTGTAGGTAAAGACAATAAATCTGGTTCATATTTTGTCCAGCAAAGTTTTCGTATAATATAACGGCGTATTTGATTTAGAATGAGTAAATGAAACTGAGGCTTAAAGAATTACGAAACGAGATGATATATATATTATGTTACGCATTGATAGAAATGCTCTTTGGCTTTGCACAAGCTTTGTGAGCCATGTACGAATAACGCCACATGCATGGTTTGGCCACTCGGGTCTGCGGAGTTTGTACTTTACAAAAAGCTTACAACATTTTTGTTGTTATCTACTTTGAAAACTTGCTCTTGCAAATTTTTTACTTTTTTTTTGATCATGAACTTTTGCAGGCACTTCGTCCAGAAGAAGCCGATCTGGATAGACGATTCATCTCTAGTAAATGATACATCACCTGAAGCAGACGATTCGATTTCGCAGTATACTGGAGGCGTTTTAAAAGTAACTAAGCTAGATCTTTTGATGGTGCAGTGGAAACATGTTTGCCTATTAAACATAAGGACACGTCATATAGCCTGGCTTCGAAACAAGGCGCCGACACGCTTCGTCTCGTACTAGGAATCGTCTGAAGCAACTCTTAATTACGGCAGTCCCAGACGTAAAACCCTAAACGTTGATTTAAGCTGGTGACCGGTCGATAACGCACGCAAACGCTATTAATCAATTGGGTTATCAAAGTTTTATACTAATAAAAACATAATTGCTACTAAAATCCGTTATTGCGGCCGAAGAAGTAGCATTAGCGTCTAATTTTGCGATCATTCGTAATCAGTTCAACTTTAATCGCTTTCCAGGTAACCAAAGATTTGTCGAACATGTCGTTAGGCCCAACACCTATACCGAATCTGGCACACGTTGTCCTTGCGCTAGAGTCTGCGTCACATCGTGACCCAGACTTCATTACTTTCTGTGTCATTAACATGTTAATGGGCGGCGGTGGTAGCTTCTCTGCGGGCGGCCCTGGAAAAGGCATGTACTCACGACTTTACACCAACGTCCTAAATAGGTGCGTACCTGCGGTTGAGTGTACTGTTCACCTATGACTGTTATGAACTTGATAAATGATGTCCTTGAAATCGAACTGAAGTTACAGTCGTTCACCAAATGGGGAAATTGGATAAAGCCCAAGATGGGCAACGCGAATTGAAATAGAGATTTTTGAGTGAGGTAATGGGCGGCATCGAAAGGATAGAAATTTGGCGGTCTGATTTGAAATTAAAAATTTTACGGCGCAAGCTTGATAATCCATTGTGAACGTCTATGTGTATGCATACACTACTTGCTGAATACATTTTAATGGTGTGTGTGCTACAAAGCTTACACTTGAATACAATCCCTCTTTGCCCGATGAGTGCAACGTCTAACAAGGTTTGATTGATTGAATAGGTACCACTGGATGTATAATGCAACGGCGTACAATCATGCCTACAATGATACCGGAATCTTCTGTATTCACGCATCCGCAGACCCTCCTGCGCTGAGCGAGCTCGTTAGCATCATTGTCAATGAATTTGCTATGTTAACGGGCCGAATCGGAGAGGCAAGTGCAGTCTCCTGTATGTGAAAATGTTAATCATTATAAATCAGAAAATAGAAATCTGTAGTGTGCCAAACACTTATTGAACTTGGCATTTCATTGGATTTTTGCTGATTTGTGCCAAAATCAATAGTTCGATTGTATCCCAATGGTCTATTACATTATGTGATGCTAAGATAATAAAGCATTAAGCGTGTCAGTATTATAATTTTAATGATTTTATGACGCATAGGTGGAATTGAGCCGAGCGAAAAAGCAGCTTCAAAGCATGCTTCTTATGAATCTAGAGCAACGGCCAGTTCTGTTTGAGGACATTGGTCGACAGGTGCTAGCTACGGGCAAACGTAGAAATGCCGACTATTACATCGAAGCAATTGACGCCATCAAAGAAGAAGATATTCACCGAGCTGCCCAAAGAATGCTTCGTACGAGGGCTTCGATAGCAGCCTTAGGTCAGTAACCATTCATGGTTGAATTATGTAGATATATTGTAATCATATGCTAATAGTGGCGGCTTGGCGCACGGTCATCGTACCGCATGTTCTTGTTTCGTCTTGCCAATGAATGAGTCTGATTCAAAGACAGAACACTAAGGACAGGTGAAGGTACTAGAATGTTTATTATTAATTACTGTGATTTCGAAAAGCCAAGAATGTGTTCTTTAATAACTGACAAACTATTGCTCTGTTTTGTGCACAATCCTCTCCTCAGGCGACCTTGATCGATTACCAGCGTTGGAGGAAATCGAGACAAACCTGGTTAATCCTGGCGCTCGTCGAACCAAACGGTTTTCTCTGTTTAGATAAATTGTCTTACTGTAAATGTTGTATATATAGGCAAACGCGTATAGTCAATAGAGCGATACCGACTTCTTATCGAGCTACCCACTGATAGATTTCACATCCGCTAATGGAAAATATCAATAAAATTGATTAGACCTTTTACGTTAAATCCGGAGTGATTTTCGATATAGATTACTGTCAGTGCAGACACTTGTGTTTGTATATACGATATAAACATGTCATTAGAATTATCATTAGATGCGTGTTAATCGATTAAGAAAGTGGTCCGAAAAGTTATGCGAGAAAAGAGACATACATTTCTTATAAAGTAGGCATACGAATAGCTCTCTGTTGATACCTAGCCAGGGCCAGACAAGTAGCCGTCCGTTACTGATAGCTCCATGATTTACCTAGGCGATAATCGATGATAACATGCGATGCATTTTTTTTGTGTGTTCGTAAGTAGTTGTTTGGGAGAGATTCATGCTTAATAAAGCAGGTTTCTTTTTTATTGAAAAGAAATATGATTTACTGGCCATTCATTCTAAGATAAAGTATCAAATTCCAGTACAAAAAAATGAAAGGGCAAAGTTAAAATTCAGTAAAACGTTTTTTTGATATTTCATCGTCAAAACAGGGAGACGTCTGCATTTAACAGTACTAATAATGTTATTAATAATGCAATACTAACAACTTCGAAAATTTTCGCGCAATCCTCTTCTCTCGTTATAATCAAACTCCCAAAAAGGAAATGGGATAAATAAAAAGAAAACAAACATTATCCTTATTAGTTTATTGTTTATTTATTTATTTATTATTTTTTTTAATAAACGACGATCTGCCACATTTTGTTAATTTTAGAATAGAAATTAATTGTTCGATGGAGAACTAGAACCGTTTCCTAAAACGCCTTTCATGAAGGTTTCCCGATTTTTCCGAGAGTCTTTTCAGAGGAACATGTTTTTGGTGTTTCCCTAGCATTAAAAAATGTATAGTTAACATCACTGCTTACATCTAATTAGGTGCTATATATATATATATATATATATATTGAAAATATTTAGTCATCACAACTTTAAGCATTAACGTGTTTGCTGTAAAATTTATACCGTTTCTAATAGGTGTAAGAGCATCTGTACTATGACGTCTCTTTGTGAATTATCTTGTGAATATAACAGGTTAAATTAAATTAAAACGTTCTAAAATTAGGTTATTAAGATAAAAATATAAAACATATCAATCTATTATTCGTAGGATTTTTTTTGTCTTGCGAAAATCGAACTGATTATTTTTGTCGAAAAGCTTCTTTCATATAGCATGTAGACTGCTTTCTTATGGTGTCGCTTTCCAATTTCATGTTTCTGGGTCCACGGGCAAATGATAAAGCAAGCCGAGGTTTTCTATAGATATCCGAAACACAGTTTAGAAGAGGGTTTTGAGAGTGAGCTGTTTAAAGCTATTACCAAAATAAAAGGAATATATTCGTTAGTATATGTCATGTTTTTTTAATGATTATTGGGAAAAAATTATAGATATATTCTAGTCACTCTTATTTCCATGGTAGTGTATCCATTGCTATTGCCTTTAATTAGCAAACCCTGCGAATAATGCTTCTTGCGAGAACTGATGTAAATGAGCTGCTAATATATTCCTTTGAATCGTTCGAGAGTGTCTCAGATAAATTATCCTTCATGAATAAAATCTGCATTTTTATCTTGCAACTATAATACTACTGTGAACTATTACCTATATGTTCGACTTATAGTCTAGTTTGAAGAAAAACGAGTTTGAAGAAAAACGCATCATTGGATATTATCTGTTTTTGGCGCAATAATTTATTATTATAATCATATTAAGTGTTGTTAATTATTGTCGTAATTATCAGTTTTCTCAATAATATCTAGAGCCACTCATTCGCAATTGTTATGTTTGTTGTTATTGTTGCTCTTGTAGTGTTTCATTATCTTTCCACGCATCGCGGGACTTGTCGCTATCTCTAGCGTCTTGTCCTTTTTTGCATTTTGTCTACTCAGTACTTTGTGTGAATTATTTTATTTCATTTTTATTTGTTTCACTGTTACCGTGGCCACTTCGAGTTTCAGCCTTTCACAGCGCACTTGCCGCGTTGTCATTCTCCTAAAATCCATGTTCGCTTTGTCTTGCATATTAGTAACGGCATCAGCATTAATAAATATAGAAGCCCTATTTGTGTATGTGTGTGATAATACCATGAATGTGAATTTTCACGCTCATTTTTGCACACGTCTTTGAGTTACACTGTTTTTGGTATTGAATAGGTTTTGTCATCGTGTTCTTTGCTTCTATATTTGCTATCGCAATCCTTTACTAAACTCGGTAGTTTTCCGCCTTCTTCTCTAATTATTTTATATGTTACTTATAAATGGTAATAATTGTTTCCGACGCATATATTAATGGTAACTCTTTAGCAGCATATTATAGTCATAATAAGGTTGGTTCAACAGAAGTAAGAAACGCTGTTTATCTTTTCGGTCCGTCATGATGTATGCCTGGGTGTTTGCCACGTTGATCTTTTCCCTGAAATTTGGCCACATTTAATATTGTTGACACCGCTGGGCGAATCTACGCTATGAGCTTTCATGTTTGATGGCCCTAGGGGGCGATTGTAGTAGTACGATGATGTACGAGTACCAAGTTTTTTGCTCGTATAATTAATCGCTAAGAATATGGTGGAAATGTGCGGCACCTGCTGAAATCAGACGCGTACGCACTCGATTAGTTGATAGCTTGCTCCGTAAAAGTGGAGCCAAAAACTGAGTATTTTGCCCTATTCACATGCTTTCATAAATCTTTCGACTTCATTTGCACCCAGATTGTTAGCGCGTAATAGATGACGCGTCAAATCATTAAGACAGTATTTCAGCTAGAACTTTTCTTAGCTTTCTTCTCCGTGTCGGTCATCAACTCCGCACTATGTTGACTGGCGCATAGAATATTTGTCGGTAACTAGGTTCCACTTCGACGGGAGCGATTAATGATACGTTGACGCAACAAAATAACGTCATTATCGGTCCTTCACAGAGTCGGTTCAAGGTTTCACGACGCTGATCAAAGCTGGCAACTATGTAAAGTTACGTGTACTAGCAATACTTACTATAGCTGCAGTGGTTTTTGCTTTTGTCCGATGAAACACGAATCTATATGGGGATGTAACTTATCCGTAACAGATCATGAATACTATTAATCATGGTTATATCATATTAAAATTACTAGATGGTAGTAGTAAATGTTGGTCATCTCTCATGTTAAGTATATTAAATAAAAGGGGTAATCGGCAACGATTACAAAGGGGAATACAAACTAGTTCGTATAAGTTGATTCTACTAAGATGGCCACCAGAACCTTGCCGTTCGTACTTGTTCTTCTAGTTCTCATTGAGTTATAATAATCAGTGTCTTTGTTCTCTGTTGCGTGTTTTTGATTTGATTTCGTGACTAAGGTTGTAAGAAATGTGCACGCATGTCATTGTCCGATAACAAGATAACACTGATATTAATGACAAATAGACCCCAATACGGTTAGAAATGGGCCTTTGCAGTGACATCTCATTTTCAACCAGCTTTCCCAAGCAATCTCGTCATGTCAGTATTGTTACTGTGTAGTGGACCTGCGGCGCTTGTGTCTCGATGTATATATATATATATATATATATATATATATATAATATATAGATAATGGTAATATACTATTAATAATAATAGTAATTGGTAATAATAGCAATCGTAAACGTGTCTCGTGTTTTCAAACTGTTTCTTTATTTTGTGTGCTATGATTTTATTTAGTTTTGCGTTCATCCTTTACCTGTGCTTTTCAACGTCATTGTGAGCCTAATGTAGCTCGACGGAAGCCTGTTTAAAGTAGCGCCTGTGTCCGGCGACTAAAACGAAACAGAGGAATAGTCATTTGACAATTCTCTTGCTGCTTTCGTATGCGTATCCTTTCGTGTTTGTAGGAAGCTTCTGAATCAATGCTTGTCTCATTTGATTTCATCTACAGAAAGGCACGGTGCATGAAGAAGCCCAGTGCAGGTGGACCACACGGTCAATTAGCACTATCGCGTTCTTCTCCTCAGACTCTGTTATCACCATGCATCGTAATTCATTCACTTCATATATATATATATATATATATATATATATATGAATTAGTATCATTTTGCCATAGCAGTAATCGTAGCGAAGGGTAGTAACTGATAGAGGATTCATTACCAACAAAAGGTAATAATCTATTGCAACTAGGTTAGGACGCTCGTGTCACCCTGTTTCTGCACTTAATTACGTAGCTGTCATGGTGGTTCGTTCAACTGACAGCGTTCCTCTTTTATCCTGAACGAATAGACAGGTCTGTATTGTCTTACGGGTGTTTTCGCAATACGCTCGTTGTCCACTGCCCCGTTTGGTAAGCATGTTTCAAAGAGAAATTGCCTGTGTCAAAATTTCTTCAAACTCAAAACACATGACATATGCTTTAATTATGCCCTTGTCCTGTTACTTTATTTCGTCGCTATTATTATTAAAGGCAAGATCAGAGGTACACTATTACTTCTACGAGTCTCGCTCGTCATTAAACGCATAGTTTTTAATCATCAAGTAGTTTATATATTAATCTTAGTTTTGCTATTACGAGTATATTGTTCTGTCATCAAACACTGTTCTTCACTTTAACCTACTGTTATTCATTTGCAATTTGCTACCTTTCATCAACCCGCGCACAAATTACTTCTCCTCGTAATTTCCTAGTTTAGTTTTACTCAACTCATGACATTTTCCTCCGCTTGTCATGTCCACTATATGAGCGTACAAATGGGCCTGGGTTATTTACGACCAAAATGTTGAACAAAAAACAATACGCCGTCTCGTTTGTGGGGAAGCGCGCCTGGATCGTGTCCCATTCACAGAAACGACCGTCATCGATCGTTTTTCTTCTATATTGCATCATCTTGTGCGAAAAATGCTTTTTTTTTTTCAACGCTTGTAAGTGTGGCTAGCTTTTCACGGCTGTATCCTGCTGCGAAGTGTGCACGGCTTCTATATTCCCTTTGCAAATGTTGTCGCCATCATTCGCACAGTGGATGTTCTTAACGTACCAGATAGCGTTTTATCGGGTAGAAGTATCGATTATATGAATTTTCGGCATACCGTTACGACATCGATTTTCAGCAGGGTAATAAAGTTTGTGCTGAACGTCTTGCGGTGGGGGGCAGAACGGGGCTTCTTTTATGCTGTTGTTATCGTATTGTCGTATTAGCTATTGTTGTTGATCTTATTATTTATATCCTGAATGATGTTTATTTTCGAATTGTTGTAACGGCAGTATTTTTTTCGATTACGATGTTCGCAGAGCGCTGATAATATCCTTTCGATTCAAAGGTGCTTAGCAGACGGCCCTGACAAAGTGCGTATATTGACCTAGCTTTGTCATCCCATCAAGATGCGTGGTCAAACACATAGTATTATAACCACGTCATTAACCGTTATCATCACTTAGCAGCGATTATAAACACGTCTTTTTCAAGATAGATAATATTAGACAGTATTAGCTTATAACTAACTAACGCTTCTAGCCGAACATAGTTGAAGCATTATGCTCGTTCTTCCTTCTGCTTGACAATGGCACCCCTAATTTCTTTCACTTTGTCAAGCTTCTCTTATCCGAACCCGGCTCAATCTCTCAGCTTCATTCACGCCTCGGCTACAACACACACTTCAAACCCTCCCGCACACTAAACTCACGTGGATTCAGTCGTCATTTCTTTTTAATGGAGTTCAATATATGACATAGATATTATGAAGACTATTGGTTTGTCATACTACAGTTTCATGTCTTTAACGTTTATATTTTCTTCCTGGACGCCTTGTCTATTACTGCCAGCTTATTTCGAACTCATCGAGCATAGAAATCTTTTCATTTCGAACCTCAACCATTGCTTTGCTTGTCCCCGTTCTATTCATTTACAGTCTCCCTAATATTCATACATCCGCTGTCAATGGGTATATCTTTGGCAGTATGAATGGTGAACTAATTCTCAAGAAAATCAATTAGATCATCATCATATTGAGGTGCCAATGTCGACAACAACCTGCCGGGCAAGACTGTAGTTTGCGCCATTGCGGCGAATACGTCCGGATCAATAGGGTGAACAAGGATAACGAGCGTTCGTAGCTAGGCAATGGCTGTCTTTAGTATTTTCATTTGTTTTACTTGTACAGGGTCCTCTGCTGAGCTGGATAGCGCTTCACTTCACACCAACTTCGATCCAGCTACTCACTCAGACTTATCGTGCCTTCCCACTCGGGATTACCTGGTGACACCTATCTAAGACCGCCGGGTGGCTTTTAAAGGAATCAGCCATCAAAAAACTTTTGGCGAGAGCAACAATGGAGCAACTGAAAGATAAAACCGATATTCAAAATAGGTAGGTTATTTTGATAAGAAAAACATCTCTAGCTGTGTGCACAATTATGTAGTAAATATATGTATTTATAATATATAGAATGTTACTGACATTCTGATGTTGGCATTATGTAGCTCGTTATCTTGTTTCTATTTGTATATGTTAGAGCAAAGCGAATTCTTCTTAATGTTACGGATATTCAGTTGATTTAAATAAGGGTAGTGGGAGGGGGGAATGGAGATGGAGGGGAAGGGGTTCCATGTATCTGGTGTTCACTAGACGTTTGGTTATTTTAGTTGTACGTCGCATATCATTTCTGTTGACGCGTTTTTGTCTCATACTTCTATGCGACGTCACCTCCGAAGACGTTCATCCGTAATGCCGTTTCAGCCAATGACTAGGTCTTCTTCCATCGGGAAAGGACCAACCATCCGCTCAGGTCGTTCAACAGGTAGATACAGTGGCAGTTGTAGTACGGATCTAGGTTCCGCTCGATTGTTGGTTACAGGTGACCGCTGGTGTTGGCGCCATTGGGTGCGGTTAACGTCCAATGCAACATGCCGTCTGGCAATGCATTTGCAGCTGTTGTTATTTCTGGTGCTGCAACCGTTTAGCTTCGGGTCTCCGTTTTTTCGACATGTTGCTTCCCGTCTGGACCCGTAGTGACCTTGTGTGTCGTGGTGATCGTTGCGGTTTTTTCGTGTGGATAGCCTTCTGAATCGTGTTCGATTTCCGTCACTGTTCTAGTAGTCACGTTTGTGCTATAGAAATGATTGCAGAAATAACGATGACGCGGGCAGAAGTACCACGTGACGCAAACAGATGCCATTGAAGAAAATGCAACGGACGTATTAGACAAGAAAGCCATCCAGGGGAAAACGATGAAATGAGTAGTTTATTATGGCTACGTGTCACTTGAATTGTTTGAGTTCGGTCGGTACAACATCGATGCAACAATATAAACGGGATATGGTAATTGTATTACTAAGCTTGTCTATGCATTATCCTGATAGCTTTGTTACTCGATTTGCCTTAAGCAAATATTGTCACCTCTTCAAGTTAACTGTGTCTCCAATAGTAGATGTCGCCCAAAAATTGAGATCCCTAGGACACTGCTATGGGAGCCACGAGGTGTGTGCATATTCACACAAATAGAAATCTTTCTTGTTTTTTTTATAGGGGAGGCCTTGGATGAGCAACGGAAGTGCAGTTTCGTACAGAACTTACTGAGTAGTAGAGAGTGACTCGGCTGCCGTCATCATCTCGTCGAGCAGTTGACTTCCTGCAAAGTCAAGGCAGAAGCATTCGTTGTGGTGCTCGAATGGGGGCTAACTGGATACTAGTGTTGCAATTAGCGGGAAAAATGAATCGATCATTCCTAATAACTATAAATAGAACGTCTGGCAACCGTAAAGACACCGTTTAGCGAACAGTGAAGGACCAATAAGCAATACAATAACGCTATTATTGCATTAGGGTTCTTAACACAGGCAATACATTAGAAGGAGATGCCAGTGTAACTGGCCATTGATTAAGACCAATTTACTGTATCAATAGCTTTGTTTATATTTGTCGCTATTACTATTAGTACGCTTTGTGCATCCTATACATATATGTTCCGACGTGAACAAGGTCCCATTATATATATAGACCTTGTTTACGTCAGAATGTAAGCAAGGTTAATGGATAGGTAATGGATACGAAAACAGTGTACCGCAAGACTTTTCCTTTGCTCCATACTCTTGTACTTGTGTACACCGCTTTCTCAGTTCACCTCAGCCGCTGTCGAATGTTATCCCGTTGTTTTTCTTTAATTATGTTTTTCATCGTCCATGAGCAGTTGGCATGCAGGTAGTAGTATTCAATTTAGCAATGAAAACAATGATAATAGTAGCATAACAAGCATCGATAGTAAGGAAAAAACCAACGTTATAATGAAGTTATTGCGGTACTTAGGACTTAGTTACTGCCTAGAAATTGTATGACAGGTCTCTAGCCGTTCGGAGGCAGCAGAAGCGAACAAAACTTTGGATGCAGGAGAAAAAGCTTTGGAAAAGGACTTAGCAGCGTACAAAGGCGTTGATATGGCATTGAAGACTTGAAGGTTCAAAAATAAGAACAATTGTTGTGCGATCGGTCACTCACCTCAGTTGCCCTCTCTGTTTGTTACGCATACTCTGTGCCTGTTTCCAAAACTGAGCAAAGGTTCGATCTCGAAGAAGCACGCTACAGAAGAATGCTAACTCATCGTCGCCAACTCATCAATATTGTTTCTTCGTTTGTTTCATTATGTATGGACAGTTGTTATTTTTTGATAGAAAAAACATCAAGTCAATTGATGGTCGACGCCCTTCGATCTTGCAGAAGCGATAATAGGTCAAAAAAATTGCTCAGATTAGAGAAATCTTTACCGTACTGCGCCCGAATGAGACTGGAGATTACACGCGCCGGCGTTATGAGCTTTGCAAAGCCTGACCCACTAAGTTGTTTCGTGTGCCAATACGGCATCGTCATGGCCATTTGATCAGCTATCGCTCTCTGTCATTACCAGCTGCGTTGCTCGACTATGGTAACAGAGTCCTACAGCTGCAGCAGTATCGCCATTTCGACTGCATAACATGCGTATATTTATTCATATCAGCAAATTGCACAAACCGAGGCAATAACAACCGAGTCAGCTAATTAGGAAGGGTACCACAAGGAATATGTGCAAACATGCTTGTACACCCAGCGATTCCTCCGCACGAGATGCTTGCAGACTTAGCATGTGATGAACAGAAACGACTAACAGCAACGAAAAAAGCCGAAGCGAAAAAAAAAACCCGAATTCTCTGTGCTGAATCTACCACCAGGTTCAACTTAGCCTTTAATGCCTATACGCAGACCGTATCACGGCATGAATGTAGACAGCTGGCCGGTAACGAAAGCTGAGACCTTAAGATATTACCGTTAGAAATACCACAAGGAGTAATTACTTGCGAATCCTCCGAACGCGCGGATGGTGTGTGGTGGATTCGAATCGGCAGAGCAGTTGTAAGAGAGAATTGGTGCTGGACCCATCGTTCATAGCTTGGCAGAGTACGTGATTCAATGATATACAAATATGCGGATATCTGCAGTTCGTATGACATTGGTCTCAGTTGGCCATTAGTGACTTAAGTTATTGGATGATATTCGGAATTTAGTCGTGCCTAAACGCGATGTTCACGAAAATCGGTACCGAAAAGCGAAGAAATGTAAGATATCTCCAGAATATCATTAAAAAGAGACAATAGAGATTGCGCGGTTACGGGTACTGCCAACAGGTAGGATCGATTTTAAACGGAACTTTGACTTTTGGAGAAGCGAGGTGTCTACACTAGTAAACTTCTACGATGGAACTAATATGCCCGTATTATCATTGCCTCGTTCGTGTTTTATTCTCCGTTAGGAATCGTGGAAATAATATTTTCGGTGATTTCAGCGTTCGTGGAAAGAGCGTAGAGCTTTCTGAGTCGTTTCGGGTCAGAACGTTTCTACATAGCCAAGGGCCTGGTGGTTTCTTCCTGTACGTATCGACCACTGCCTCGTATCGACTATTCACCTCCGTGCAACCTTACTAACCCTAATGTCTGCACCCTATTCCGCCCAAGCCAAATCCCGAAACGACCGAACGGGAACCTAGTGCCCATTGCAGTCAACCCCAAAATGCTACCGTAACCAACGATGGTGAGACGCAGTATTCGTTGACATTGATGCCCCACGAAGGGGCGACACGAACGGTACAATAATAGCCACTACACAGAAACCGATAAAGCCAATAGAGAAAGGAGGAAAATGACCAGTTAAACAACAAATATGATCTAGGGTAACAAATTATATGCGCAGTATATGCGAAATAAAAAAAAAATGCAAAACATTAAATTAAACGAAAAATGGGAAAATTAACAACGAAAAAAAACAAACGAAAAGCTGGGTCAACAAAATGTACCCAACGGCAAGATGCTTGCGGCGAGCATATAAAACGATCAATTGTCTCGCAATCAGAAAACAACAACAACAACAACAACAGCTTCAAATTGCATCTATATTATTATATCGTCAACATATCATGATCATTCTATTCGATATTTATTATAATATGGCTGCCGTTACACTAATTACTTTCAACACATACAGACGTATAAAAGTGGAGTATTTGCACTGCTACAGATGTGTAACGAGCAACGATATAAGCACAGCGGTATCAAATGCTTGAAACGGAAAAGTACGAGAGCGTTACACAAAAAATTTTCTGTATTTAACCATTACGCGGACGTATGAATATAAACAGACGAGAAAATTCACCTATTTACTAGATGCGATGAATTAATGGTGAAAATAAATAAACACCAGTTATACTATATACGCTACTATATAGAAAAGAATATATATATATATACACATACATGGAGCGTTGTTTGTGGATGCTCGGTAAATTCTGTGGGTGACAAGTGGGTGGGTGCTTAGGGTGTATAAGTGCAAAAAGAAAGAGGCGAGGTTCGCGCAAAAAATTTCCAACATAAACAACGACAACAACAGGTACTAATTAATAAGTGGCCAATAGAATGAAGTAATAATCAGTGATGGTAGAAGAAAAAATGTAGTTGTATTAGCTATGAGAATGCGCATATAAAGGGTAAATGAGAAAGAGATCAAGTCAATATTCTACCTTGCGTTTGCTTGCAGTCTGCGAATGTTGTCGAGGTGTCGCCGGAAGTGCTGCTCGGCATCACAGAAGAGGCAGTAGGAGCCGTGGTTGTAAATGCTGTTGCGGCAGAAGAAGATTGCTTGGGGATATTTGCGCCGGGACTGCTACTCGCGCCAACCGGCCGCTGTTGTTGCAAAGCCATCATAAGTGAGACATTGGCTTCTACGCAGGGACCCTTCAACTCTGGACTGACCAACGGCGACGTTCGCTTCTCGATGAGGTAGTCGACCGTCGATTCCGCAAACGAAGTTGAACCGGGAATTATTGTCCTGGTGCTGCTGACCGCCGTAGGGCTAACCGCTGTAGTAGTTTGGCCAACGGCAGGAATCATCGAATAGTCGTCGTCACTGTGAAACAGTCCAGAGTCCGGTTGGTCGCTGCCGATGATCGTCGTACTGTGGTCTCCTGCCGACTGACTACGTGGACTCGTTGTGGTTGTCGTGGCTATACTTATATAGCCGCCCTGGCCTGGCGTGTCCTGACCAATCGGACTGCCTGAGGCGGATAGCTCTCGGAACTCGTCCGCGTCGCCCGTTGTCACAATCATCTTCGTGACAGTCGTTCGGGTTGTCAAGGTCGTACCTCCATCGTTGCTGTGGCTAATTGTCTTCTGCACGGTGACCGTGGGTGACATGCTCAAGACGCGTTCGCCTAGAACTTCGCCACTACCCGAACCTTCCTTGCCCTCGTAAAACGAATCCCATTCTCCAATCTCTTTGACTTCGTGCAGCGAATCATACAGCGCGGCCTCGCCGCCATGAGAATGCGACAAAGAATCCGGAAAATCAGGAGTCTGTACCTGGGCCAACGAGTCCGGCTCGATGCCCTTATCCTCATCTTGGCTAGCCTCACGTTTATGATGCTGTTCAATCTCTTCGATCAGACTGTCCAGCAGCGATTCATTGCCTCCGTCCTCGTAAGATCCACTCTCGCCCCCCACGCCTGCTGCCGTTGATACTTTTGGGATTACTATCTGGACCCCTGAAGTTACTACATCTGCGCTAGCACTCACTACGTTGGGCTGCCGGGAGCTCTGCAAACTGCCGGTGGAGCATTGGAGCTCCGTCACGACGGCCGAATCTGGGCTTCCTTCGGAAAGCGACGCGTTCGCCTCGAGGTCTGGGTTGAGACCCAGGTTGAGCTGAGAGGAAAACATCTCAATTTCCTGTTCCCGGATGACAGCCATCGCCCTATCGGGCTCTGACTGTTGAACGCTTCCCTGCAGACCCTCCAAATGTATCTCGCGTTCCAAACGTTCAAAATCGGCTGGCTGCTGGCCCCCAGCGCTTAGAGCGGCGGGAAGAAGGTCACCTGCCAGTCTACTGCCGCTGCTGGTTCCTGCCGATCCAGACCCCGCCAGGCCGGACATACTACCCTGAAGACCTTGCGTTGGCGGCAAGCTTCCCGTCAGGTGACTACTCGACTCGAGGCTCGATGCGACACTATTCTTGGATTGCGCCATTTCCGCTTCCAGCCTTTCGAACTCTTGGAGCGAGCAAACACTCATATCATCTCGCTCACTGCCTCTGCCCAACGACCTCTTCATTGAGGCGGAATCCGCGTCCGGAGTGCTCCCGTGGTCATCCAGAATCGGACTAAGCCTCTTCCTTCTCAGCATTCCCACGGTCTTGTCGCTGTGATAACCAGCCTCATAATCTTCGTCGTCCACTTCGGTCATGTCGGTCATCCCACTGCTAGGAAGTCCGTACGGATACCGCCGAAGAAGCTCCTCCATGGGGCTACTGCTCTCGTCTCCTTGTGGCTGACCGCTTTGCTGTTGCGAAACATGCTGTTGAGACGCGGTCACATCGCCAAGCGCTAGCTCTCGGGGCGGGCTTTGCTTGGGCGCATCGGCCCATAAGCCCTCCCGGGGCCGTTCAGTGCTCACAGGTCCAATTGGCGATTCAAGGATGGTATCGCTCGCATCCGATAACTCGCCACCAACCCCGCCTGTTGTTGCTGTCGAGAAATGACTGGCCGAATGTTCTGACCCATCAGAGATCGTCGACTGCGTTGAGGTCTGCGCGGTTTTGTACGTTGAGGATGTCGTTGAGACAGACAACTTCGATCCTTGCGACGCTGTCTCGTACTCGGTCGACGTATGGGTAGCGGTCGTCGTTGACGAAATCGGCTCAGATGATGAAGCAAACTGCCGCCGTTCCGAGTCACCTTTTTCCGAGGACTCTTCAGACAAATAGCTTTGCCTCTTCTCCTGATCGCCGCTACTGCCCTCAGTAGAACCCCCATCTTGCTGTTGCTGCGGCATGGAACGCCGCATGCGAACTACTACTCCGTCCCCACATTCAGCCTCTTTGCTTAGCGACTTTCTATCACTGCCCATCGCATTATCATTAAATCCATCGTCACTTCGGTTAGCTTCATCATCATCATCGTCGTCTGAAGCCGAATGTGTGATATCCTGCGAAAGGGTGGACTCGTCTCGGGACTCCTGCTTGAGCATGGAGCCCTTGACTAGCTGGACCGTGTCCGAGGACCCGGTCATTGACGTCGTCGACGTGGTGACGGTGGTTTCGGTTATAGTCAACGCCTCAACGCTTGCTGCAAAGGTGCTTGCACGCTGGTCCATAACACTGCCGAACTCAACAGGCCCAACAACCGTTTGTCCTTGTTCCGACAGTTGCTGTGGGTGCGACGGCACATTACAGATGTGTTGTTGTCGTTGGACATGCTCCGACAATTCCGACACGAGGGTGTTCTCACCTGGCCGGAATTCGATGCGTGCTTCCGACGATGAGTCGTCTCGAAAGGCGACATTCTCAAATGCCATTGGACACTCGATTGAGGCCACTGCTATTGGCCTCATTTGGTGGTGTTGTTGCTGCTGCTGCGGTGTGTCGTTGTAGCTGATGTCCTCAGAAAGTCCTCTACTTCGCCCATCCTGGCCAGCGTGCTCTGTCGTAAAAACATTGATCAGTAAAGCCTTCCGCTGTCTGTTTGAGAGAGCTTTTATTGTTGTTGGATTGCTGATAGTAGAATGGAACTTGATTGAACTGACAGTTGTACTTCGGTATTTGTCTGTTTGCTGATAGTATTCGATTAAATCAGCTGTTCCTAACTTTCTCTCAACATAAACGGACTAACGTGAATTGAATTCTAATCAGGGTATCATGGGTACGAGCTGATCTGACCTACTAGCAGAACATTATCCTTTGCCCATAATGTAGCCTCGACATCAGATAATAAGAGCACAGTTATGACGAGGTAGAAGGATATCCCTTATCATCTATTATCTGATAGTTAGATAGAACAGCTTTTCTCGACATTTCCCAGCAATCGATAATGATTACTGACTGCAATCAATCATTTGCAATTGTAATGCTGACGAGCAATGAAAAACAATCAGTAAAACAATCGATATTGGTGCAAGTAATCTTGAAGTACAAAACGCAATGTTTGTGTGTTTGTCTGTGTAAGAGTGTATGGAAAACTTACATAACAGTAAAGCTAGAGAGCTAACTACAATACGATCCTAAAAATAGCGACAGCAATGAAATTAATAACGATAGCGATAGCAATAAAAACAATAGTAGTAACAGCTTTGGGGTAAACAACGGCAAATAGTTATCCTCTCTCGCTCGAGAGTAATGCTTACGAATAGCATTACGCAGTCGACACGGGCAAACGCAGCGACCAGCACCCCCATCTATGATGAGCTGATATTTACTAAGAGAATACTCCGAATGAAAACCCCCTGAGGAGCCTATATGGAAGGTTTGCTACAGAACCCACGGCCGGTTAGACGGAGTACGATACACCATGGGGCATCGGTTAAGATAATGTTATGGATGGAGCATATTAAAAGCGGACTGATTCAAGCTTATGGACAGCTGAGAGGTAAAGGTTAAACATCAAGCCATATCAGACATGCGTATACAACAATATAAGAAAATTGTCATTTTTTATCGGCGGGTTTTTGCTATTAGAGGTATAATTCGGTGGTACATTTAACGTCAAGCAGTGGTATTTAGCTAAGGAAACTCTACACTGCTGGGTAATGTACATGATATCTGTTGGTAAGGACAACATACACTAGGATGTATCTACGCACGGTAAAATAAAGACTGATGTAAAGTGTGTATAAGGGATAAACAAGGGAAAGTACCCTTTTAGGAAAAATCACTGAACCCAAAGGAACTCAAGGGAATAATAACTCGAGGCATTTCGGGATAAATGACCTTATAACATGACCTCTATTTATGGATTCGCTGAGGTTGCAGCATATGGGATAGTTTTCTAGGATGTGCTTGATCGAAACGTATCTCCAAAAGCGGCCACTCAAGTGCCTTGCTTTCGCGCCAAACAGTCGCCCGTTCCCGGCGCCAAAAGATAGTCATCCGCCATGTTCCCACCTTCACAGCTACTGGACTAAAAATAATGGAAGGAATTTTATATGATGTCATGACTTAGGGACAAACGTGCTTGAAATCACCATTCGCATCACATAAGTCATAGGGAAGCAATAATATATATATTGCTGCTGAAGTGGTGACAGTGAAAAGTGTCGAAACAGAGAGAGAAATAGAAAAAAATTAATATATACTGGACAATGTTAACGAATCGAAGTCAACTGAGCCGTAATCAGTTATAATTTAGGTTAGTCCATATCAATCCAAATAGTCCAGCTAAAAATATGATTGAGTAACAAATAATACGAAATGGCGAGCATTCCAGTATAAAATACACACAACAGGGTGACTGGAAAGCATGTGACCAGGCTGCATCCTTTACACGTGTAGCCTATTATATATGTATTGTACGCGATAAAACAACGAAGACCTATCGAGGCAGACATGGAAATCGTGATTGGCTGAATAAGCTCTCCGTTTGCTGTGCTCATGACAATCAATCGTTTAGGGACATACGTTTCATTACGGTTTAAACTTCGGAGCAATCGAAGATTTGGGTGAGAGCTAATTTTCATGTTAGCGACACTGACCCGAGCCCCAAACACTGACACAAGATAGATCTATATTGGAGGCACAGGCCGAGCGACTTGGGCAGCTGGGGTCGATGAAATGCGCCAACGAAACTGAACGTATCGCTTTATTATTCAGAGTCGACCGATACCTACCGCAGATACGACAATTAAGTGTCTAATAAACACAATAGCCTAGAGATACGAATTCCTGTATGACCGCCGCGTTGCTAATCCAATCTACGGGCGGGCGTTACCTGACAAAAAAAATGTTTGTTTAGAAAGCTAGGCAGTTCAGTAGTGTCCATTCGTGTTTACACACATTTGTAGGGAGCGAGAGGATGCGGAAAACTGCTATAGAAATCAGCGAAACAGCATGAAAGACTTTGCCGTATTCTGTAATGGGTGTTTGTTCACTGTCGTATAACAACCCACTCGTGATCAAAATGAAGCCGGGGGACCTATGTTAACCTTTTCCACGCTGACGTCGTGCACCGATAAACTCTCTTGATTCCAGTTTAACAGTTACGACTGCTGACCCACGAAGGATGGACAAAGCGGATCGTCGTCGACTATCGCTCAGAGCACGATTACGTGACTGCGCATCACAAGTTTACCGATTTGCTAGCATAAGTTAGAACTTATCAACAATTGAAGACGAACACACATTTCTCGTTCAGTGGGCATATTTGGAAAAGGCTGGTTTGCAAACGATACTACAATTACCCAAAAGTGACATCGAAGTAAGCGTTCTAGCAGCGTTTCCGATCGGATCGTGTTCTTGTTTGATCGGAGTGGTGCGTTCTTGATAAAACATCGGTCTGAGATGCATATCTTTGTATGCACATGGTGTTTCGGCCAGTTATGACTACGAGCAACAACGGAACGCAGCTGTTGCAATGCTTCGAGAAAAGCAGACACCTGAATTGACGCGGGGGCGGTCGTTGAAAAACAGTGCTCTATACCATAGGCTATGTCGATTTTATCGGCTCGTTAAGTTTTGTGTATTACTATTAGCTAATATGACAACATGTATAGATATATTAACTTTCTAAAAGGAAAGAAACAAAGAGCTTGTTATTTCAGAGAACAAGTCGTACGAAGGCAAGAATTGCTCGCGAATGTTGACACTTGCTTTTAGCTGTCAAGGGCAACCGAAAAGAATTGCGAAAGAAGGGTGTTATCAGATGCCATCGAACCGGGTGAGTGCCAAATTATAGATGATAGAAGAAATCAATAAAGCCTCAGTATGCAGTAAAGGGCAAAGCATAGAATCGGAATACTCGTGTATAGTTAGTTAGCTTGTTGAGATTTTTAGATTTTCAGCTTTAAATCGATCGCATTGTATCATCGTTTTAGCAATATCATTGCGTCTACAGAACAAGCGTGTACGCTACCAACTGCGAGTTCGGGCCTCGGATTTTTTTGTTTATTCGGACCTATTTTTTACGAAAAAGAGATGTAGCAAATTCTTTGAAAAATAGCTCTTTCTCAGATTCTTCTTTTAGCTTTGGATCCTTTGAATTCGTTCATGCTCAGTTCTGCTTTCGTTCGTGTTCTTGATGATCTCCATCTACTTTCTGCTTGCTTACTCGTTTGTTGAATCGTACAATTAATAAAAGCAGGGGCTTTACAAATGTCATCGTAAACCTGGTTTTTAAAAGTTTCAACGTACAATTTCCCAAGCAGGCAGTTGAAACTGGGCTGACAAACATGGTATTGACTTTCTCTTAGCAAGAACAACAATAACAGACTAATAACCTTTTGTTCAATCACACAAACAGACAACATTCGGACCAGCACAAGCACGCACACGCACAGACGGACCCACAGGCACCCCGCTTAAAACTGACTTGCGCGTCTGACCCGGGGCAAAGACCACCCTCGGCGTAATTCACTGCCTTTGCCAAAACACAATGTGGTGTTACGTAATACATTTGCTGCTGTTGTTCACTCGAACGTTTAGCCGAACGTCTGAAGTGTACATTCAATTGCCACTCATTCAATCACATCTGATCCAATTTATCAAATTCAAACATCATCATCACCATCATCATCATCCATATGGACAGAGCATCCAGTCAATCAATTATCAATCCAGTTCATTCACCACGAGAGTTATACAACGCTCAAAGCACTACAGGATACTATGTTTAATATGAGAGACGTGAGGAGGCAGTACTTGCAGTAGGATTATAGTTAACAACTGTACCTGTGTCTTGAGCTGCTGCTAGCGACTGATGTAGAACTGATTGCGCCGACGATTCCGAAGATTGTGAGGTCGTTGTCACGGACGTGCTCGAAGTTGTAGAAGTAGTCATTGAAGTCGCACTGCTGGTGCTAGACACCATCGTAGCTGAGGATGACACTCCCTGTTGGCCTGCGCTGCTGCTGCTGCTGAGAGATTCTTCGTGCAACATCTCTTGTAGCACTGGATGTCGGAATTCAGTGAGGGTTGCACGCGTCTCAACAAGTTCACCTTCGAGACTATCTGCGGATCCAGTCTCGATAATTTCGTCCTCAAGTGAGGAGCTAAAGTCGTCCATTGAAAGTAGGATGGTCTTCTCTTTCATCTGAGTATGATCTGTGCGGAGGCTTGGTTGACATTCTGCGGAGGTCTCGTCCTCTTCGGCTATTTCTTCGATGACGTCTCGGACCAGCTGGTCTGAGGCGGACCTGTCCTTCTCGTGATCGATAAAGCTTTCCGTATCGGGACTAGAGCCGCGCTCTTCCTCCTGCTGCTGTTGTTGTTGACGTGACTGGGGTTCCGCGACAATTCGGGCGGCAGCCAATTGCGACACGATTTCGGCCGCCTTTTCTGTAACCTCCTGTACAATCGTCGAAGCCTTTTCCTGCGTCGAACGAATCTCCTCCGAGAGCCGCTCAACGCTAGGGGTGGACTGATTAAATTGAATACGCGAGTGCTGCTGTTCTCGAATACTACTAGGCGTCAGCAGCGTATCGTGGTTCTCTCGACTGCTAACTTGATTACTCGTCGTTACTGGCGCACTGCCAAATTGCACCGTTCGGCTTACACATTTCGGCTCGATTGTCTGCATCATTTCCTGAATGACCTCCGTCTCGGGACTAAGTTCTCTCTCGACCATCGAACTTTCGCTAATGGCTTCGGACTGTTGTTCCTCCGACAGCGTTTTAGCCATCGTGTCGAGAATGCCTCTGGGAGTATTGATCGGCTCATCGTCATCCTCTAATTGAAAAGCGGCGTTCTCGATGCCTTTGAATCGTTCCAACGGTCCGAGGGTCTCAACGGTTCGCATCTGGTGCTCGCTTACTTGCGTATCGAAGCTTTCCATTTCTTTAGCTGTTGACACCGTCGCAATCGTCGCTGCTTCGGACTTCACTGGCTGACCGATATTTTTGTCCTCGGGAAGTTCTGCGTCCATCGTGAGATGTAGTACCTCAACCCGATTTAACAGTTTTTCTGGATCGGAGCTTCTTGACAGCTGGCACGGATCGAATTCCGAGCGAGGCATTGTTTCGTCGTTAGTGCTTGAAGATGCTTCCAGAGGCACTAACCCGGAAAAATCTTTCGTGTCAGAAGATTCTCCTTTAATCGGCGGCTTAAATTGACTGGAAGATAGTGCCTTGAGCAGGGAGTTGCGGGCGTGTAAATCATATTTCTTGTCAGAGGATGCCACACTTGGTTCATTAGGAGAACAGTGCTTTTGTTGTTCTCCGCCTACAATCTCAGTCTTCTCCTCACGTTTGCGAAGAACTTCCATATACTCTTCAGCGTAAAGCTTACGATCGACCTCGGTTTCGTTTAATTTTACCGCATGTGCCTTCATCGTGGGCGAGCCCCTGATATCGTAGCATTCAGACAGCGTTGATTTCTGTTCAACATACGACGACTCGGTTGTTTCTTCTGGGTATTCTACCCGCTGGTTCTCTGCCTGGTGTGCCTGCAGCACCTCCATGTATTCATCCTGATGTAAAAGTCGATCGGCATCCTCGTCAGTTAGTTTAACCGCATGAGCTTTCATTGTGGGAGATTGTCGAATGTTGAAGTCGGTTGGCATACCCGAGTCTTCGTCTTCCGTTGTTTTCGCGGAGGTTGACGTTTCGAGCTTACCTTTTTCTTCAATTTCCTCATGTTGCTCCTCTTCTTGCTTGCGTAAGACCTCCATATATTCATCCTGATGGAGAAGACGGTCGGCATCTTCGCTTGCTATTTTTACAATATGGGCTTTCATCGTGGGAGATTTAGGGAAATCATATCCGCTATCCCATTGGCCCTTTTCACTTTCAAGTTCAGGAAGATTTTCTTGAATAGGAGTGGCCTCTTGGAACACAGTAGTGGGAGGCTCGGCGAGGTCCTGCAGTGGTCGTTTACTGCGCTCCTTGGGCTCATCCGCCGTCAAAAATTTCTGCTGTGCACTATGCGCTTCCAGCTCTTGCGTACGAAGTACTTCCATGTACTCTTCTTGGTGCAGAAGTCGATCAGCACTGTCTTCGTTCAGCCTGATCGCATGAGCCTTCATTGTCGGCGATTGACGAAGATCAAATTCTTCTGTAAAAGGTAGTTCAGATTGTTCTAACTTTGAGAATTTACATGGCTCTTCCTTTTTCGGGAAGTCACTAGAATCTGTATCCAGGCTAGGCTTTAACTCCGAGTCGGGGGTCTCAGCTCTTTTAAGGGGATGCGCAAGAGGACCAGATGCTTCTGAGAGATCATCTGGAGACAGAGCACCTTCCGGTCGTTCAACTAATTTAGCGGATGCTTGTTCAGTCATAACTGGCTGCCCAGTTGGCTTGTGACTACCTTCTGAAGACGAGTCATCCCCAGGGCTGCTGGCTCGATCATACTGATCTATAGGCGGAGCTGACGCGGCACTTGGAGTGTCAGGCGACAAAGCTTCATACTTAGTTGTGTTGGAATCCAAGACACTCGCTGTTTCTGTGATTGACGCAGTGGTTGCGGGTAGTACACGGCACTGTAGGGATTCAGCAGGAAGCTCTGAGTCAGGGCTTAGCCCACGCTGTTCAGGGTCAAATGACTTGGAAGACGCGATACTGAGCTCTTCTAGAGATCCATCAACTCGTGTGTGCGCTGCTGGTCCGCTTGAAGGTTCACTAATAACAGACTTTGGCGCCACTTCCGAATCGCTAAGGGCTTCTAAGCTAGAGCCACGCCTTAATGGATCGAAATCTTTGTGTGAAGACGGTTCCTCGGGTGAAGAAAAGCTCATCTGTTCCATTCTCTTCTCGATCTCCTCTTTAGTAGGATCTTTCGACTCAAGTTTATGCTTGTTTTTATCAGATTCCGGGGTCAATGGGAGTTCTTCCTTAAGTTCAACTACTTCAGCTAAAATACTTTCGTGTTCCTGCAGTTTGGTGGCAATCTGCTCAACCTCCTGCGAAAGCAATGTATCGTCGTCGCCTTGGGTCAACTTTGAGCTGCTTACTTCGACGTTGATGACCTTAGTCTCCTCCATAATGGTAGTGATGTCAGTTTTTATGGAAAATGCCTCCTCTTGAGTCATCGTATGCTCGGGGGTTTCCACAGTGTAAAAAACTCTTTCTTCGGTAATTGTTTCTGGTTCATCTGACACATCCTGGAAGAGAGCACTTCTGTTCACTGATTGTTTCGCTCTAACGAGCTCAGGGCTTTCAACTTTATAGAAGTCCTCGACATTTTCGGGTGATCCAACGGTGTGGGTCTCGGTTAATTCAGTAATAAACGCCGGTTGTTCATTATCGCCGGTGAACGAAGGCTCTGCTTCGTCTTTTGGCAATCTATCCGCATCGCGTTCTGTACTTTTTTCTTGCTGTATAGTCTCAGCAGTTTCCAACTGTATAGAGCCGAGCTCCTCGCTCGCATACTCGACCCGCAGCATATCCTCCCTTTCGAGTTCCGGTGTCAGAGGCATATGTACTTTATGTGCAAGTAGCGTCGGTGATGTACGTACGTCATAGCCAGTGAAGTCCTTTTGGGGCGATTCTTCGCGAGTTTCCTGCATAACAAGGGAGTCTTTTGACTGTTGAATAACCACAGTCTTGTTGGTCAACACTTCCGCAACACGGTGCACTGCATGCTGTTGCTCCTGAACTGAAAATTCGTCCTGAACGGTGAATTTCTCCAGTGCCTTTTCATCAAGGAGAGTTGCCTCTCCTTTCGGAATCGTGGCACTAGGAAAGAGTTTTTCTCCAAACACAGAGCTCAACTTGGTTTCGGCCTGAGGTAGCTCGCTCGAGACCTCACTGGCCTTGCAACTGTCGATATCCGTGACTTTTTGCTTTGCTTTGCTTTCATCAGATCCATGAATATCCATCGCCGTCTCGCTCGACTGTTCCGCCTGTGGGTGTGATTGTTGTTGCTGTTTCTGTTGTTGTTGCTGTTGTTGACTTTTGATATCTGTCGTAGGTAGTTCTATATGCTCAGGAGCACGCTTGCTGACCTCTGTCTGCTGTTTCTCTATTGATGTTTCTACCACAGTCGCTCTAGTTTTTGCTTTCATTCCGGGGATGCCAGGTTGCTCAGTTGTCACTGCCTTTGCTTCCAATTGCCTTTCCTGCTTGACGAGGTCGACAAACTCTTTAACTTCGCGCCCCTCTTCGACGGTCTTTACCAATAGGCGTTTGATTTCGTAAGTTTCTTCATTTTGTTGTTGCTTACTCTGCCCCTCTGGCTGTTCGGACATTGTCTTCGTACTTGAGGTCGACGCCTCGAGCATATCCTGCCGCTCCTGGGACTGCTGCCTGAAGGACCCACTTTCAACACTGTCCTGCCGTTGCGTTGGTGACAAGACCTCAACGGTTTCCGTCGCCAGAGTTTCAAAGTATTCTTTCTTCTCGATGAAACTCATGGCCTCCGCACCAGGTCCGGAGTCCTCCTGTTCCTCTTTGGACGTTTTTCCGGCGGCACCTGTGGGATTAGCAGTCACATAAATCAAGCCTGACGTTGATGATCGTTGATTCTCGTTCGATTCACATTGGCTACCAGCCAGTCGCCAACTAACCACCCAAATGGGTTGGACCTAATAATCCCACTTGGGCCAAGCTCTGTATTGGTTATCGCTGGTCAACTGGTCTTGGTCGACGCATTGATCGGCCGAAGACAGTTGCGACTAAGCGCCCACATGTGGTACCACGAGAATGAACGAAGATTTGTCGATCGTGCGAACGACGGCCAAATCAGGCAGGCATGAGGCTCGATAAGTTCATACCAGATCAATACTTCAGACTACTTCAGATTCATAATGAGAGAGGTTGATATGCATCGAATACACTGAGGCTGAAAAATTAAGGGCGACGAAAGGGATTCAGAAAAGAGAGGTGTGACGTACGAATTTCGGCCAACAGCCGACTTCCGTGAGTGCGAGCGACGCCTTGAGTCGGCTTAAACTAACATCATTACAATAGCGGGCTGGCGACGGCAAGCACAGGTGACTAAGGCCACGCTGTTGCCCGAGCCTGTGAGGCCTTCCGTCGCCTTCTCGGTGGTCTCTTCGCCCTCTCACCTAAAGGGTGGAGAACGCCTCTTGTCATACCTTTAGTGCACTCTTTGCGATCTCAGCTTGAGGCAGGAATGAGTTAGCCTCAATTGTGCACCCGACACTAGTCATCTTCACCATCTTCATGCACGGAAGAAAGCAACCAAAGGCAACAATTTGGATTTCTAAAAGATTATATACAATGAAGTGTTTCATAAATACAGTACAATTGCACAGAGACACCTTGGCTAGAAGCAAGCATCTTTCGATGCACCCGAACCTCCAGTGCCCACTGGCAAAAATAGAAGAAACAAAATAGATCAATTTCTCCTGTGGTGACAGATAATGATCATAGTAACAGCAATAATAGACTTCTGAGACTCGATCCGTAAACGAACCGAAAAAAATAACCAGATGTGGCGAATCCAAGATTTTGGTGTGACCCTCAAAAGTTTGCGCTCCGCCTTTCGAAAAGAGAAAACAGAAAATATTTGAGATAAAAAAACGACGATACCAATAAACAAAGCGACGTGCTACGTCGATCATGTCGTTTTTTCCGTGTAACTTCGTTTTTTTTTTTTGTTTTCGTTTCTTGAATTAGCCTTAGATTTTCTTTTAAGATTGCATTGCGCACACGAAAATTTGCATGCAAATTATTCCAAATCCTATCGGTCCTTCCGCACCTAAAACCATTAACCTGTTCCGCCGTTTCAACAACTGATATTGGCCACACGCAATTAGTATTTTTTACCAGTGTACTTTACATATACATATATATATAATTGTAACTGACTTGCTCGTTCACAGTCAACTCTGCTTTGTAGTGGTCTCGTTTATTATCATATTGGTATTTTTTTACAGAAAATCCCGTGTCATCGACATGACAGCCGGATCAGAGTCGATCCTTGGCTCCACATTGTAACCGGCCAGAGGCCAGATAGTTAGGAATGGGTAAGTGTGTCGTGGTAAAAGTGAATAGGACCATATACAACATCAATAGGATACAAGTATGTGTGCGACCAACCAAATACTTCAGGATAAGGTATATGCGAACGCAGTAACCGCCAACCGACAAACCGGCCGTGCTCCAGTGCTCCTTGATTAGGAGTCGGAACCTCACACGGCGGCGGGTTGCCATGACATACAAGTACACCCTATGAACAGACTTGCTTGAATAATGATCTAGAAATGGTGAAAACAAACGCTACTGCTAGGAACTGTTGGTGCCCCCCAACAACAGAAGAAAGTCTGCGTGTCCGTGCGTCTGTCATTCACATCGGCTCAGTCTCAGAATGATAACGTGATTCATGACATCTCCATCGACCTTCACCACAGGTCGATGAACACGTCTACAATGGAAGCAAATTACTTGCGGTATTCATATACACTCGGATACATTTGAAGGGGGTGAGAAATACGTTATACAGAAAACGGCAAATATCTGGCGACGACGAAGCCTGACACGATGAACATAAAAAGGTTGAATCTTCTCGTGATAATGACATGACGTTTGGCAGAGATTAAAACGTATTTTGAAAAACAGTGATGTTAGTTGTGACATTTCTTCTGCCATCCGCTTGATATAGTTTACTGGTCGCTGATGTTTTCGTGCCGCACCGGACGACGATTTCTTTGGCCGTCAGAAGCCCCATGCATCATCATCACCCCCCAACCGTTCGAAAATCCTACTTATTCCTGCGGCTACTCTAGCCTTTGGAGGCCATTGCTTCCCGGCAATCATACTCCTCAGAATCAAGTTTGCAGGAAAGAATTGTACCATCGATCGACTTACCACCATCATCTAGAAACGTACGTTTTTTTTTGAATTTCGCATTGATCTGCATTACAGCTTCTAGGCGTCGCCTGTTACACTAAGGAGAGTACAGGCGGTTTGTTACATCTTTAGTTGGTTTACCAAGGAGTACCAGTATGCGGATATTAACTCAATGCTATTCACAAGCACACGAAAGGACGAAACTACTTTTGTTAGATAGAAACTCGATTTTACGCGCAGAGTAAAGACAGCTATCTTTGGCCAGTTTAAATGTCGTTAAGTTACTTTATCAACACTTAGGGCTAGTCAAAACGCAACAGAAATATCGCAAAAGATCGTTTTTTGTAACAGGACTAAGAACCCGGGTCCTGGTAGCCGCTGGGGCTTCTTTAATACTAGCAGTCATATAAATAGCATTAGGAGAAATAGGCGCAAAATCAGGAGTCTATTAGAGCGATTCAATTTAGCTTTGTTTCAAGGCGCGTTCCGAACGCATCGACGGAACGTGGGTCTGAGCGGCGGCCATACTGGAGATCCCACTCAATTACGGAGTTAATTGGTCCTGATTGGGGATCCGTGGGAGAAACCTCGCAACATACAAACCGATGTCGCATAGTCGATAATTCATAAGGTTTGAATGGACGAATTTTACGAGCAACATTAATTAAATAGAATAGACACCTTCTTAGCAGAGCGATCCGTAAATGCCTATTTGTTACCCGAACAGAAGTCGGGTAAGCAAACTCATCTCACGTTCTCTCGGTTTCTACCACAACTGGCTGAATTGAAAGGCACCAGCGCGATTAAAGAAGATGACAGCGAACCTAATGAGTAAAAAACAAACTTAGTAAACAATCGATTATGTATAATATAACAATGAAATGAGGCTATTACAGTCGCTTAAAGCAATAGAGTGAGTGTAACACTAGCAAAGCAAGCTAAAGCTCCTGCATGAGCTACGGTAAATAACTGCAATAGATACATCACTGAGTATATACAACACTGGTCATAATCGTAAGAATATATATATATATAATCTAAAAGTAAAAAGTACGATAATAATAACGGTACCCATCGTACGCATAGAATAGGTAAAGCATCACTATGAAGATCAGATTCGACGACGATGCCATATCACGCTATAACCAAATCAACTGGAAAACACACTGGAATAAAAAGCGTTCTAGTTTAGCCTACGCACACGATACGACATTGACAATAGGAATCGAGGCTAAACGGCGTAACAAAATCAAGGACCGTGCCTGAGTGTGGAAGGATAATAGTGACGAGGAACAGCAAAAGCCGCAGTTTCATAACAGCAAAAGGTCGATAAAAATAAGAAATTGTCCGCAACAATAGCGATGACATTTCTCCAACTGAGATAAGCAAAAACTTCGTAGAAAACATCTAACAAGCAGGCCGCAGTAGTAGTGGTCCAAGTTGTAATGGCTTATAAATGAACGGAGCAAAATTCTAGCTGAAAATAAAGTAACAACGGATAAAGTAAAAGCAAATCCTTTTGGATTTGACCGAAAGTGGGGAAAAAAAGAGGCAACTACAAAATACGAACGAAACCTGACCAGGAAACATCAGACAGGAAGCCGCACGCGAAAACGTACATTCGTGTGTACGCAAGGTGAAGTACGCGAACATATAGGTAATAAAGTGGGCGAACATCGTTGGGGTTATAGAGATAGATAATCTGAGGTTGCTCTTCGTCAGTGCCGACGCCAATTTGAACGGTCGAGAGCTTACTGGACCATAATGTAAAATAAGAAACACGAGTTAAATACATGGCTTAATTATTCGGGTCACCGGGAAAAATCAGTCGGTACTATTCGAAGGAAAGACCTCGAGAAGCTTTGGAAGTATGTTATAGGGCTTCATATGACTATTGAAATAAGTGCTTGTTATCCGCTTTTCTTTTATGATTGAAACGCGTTTGCCTATGCATCATAGATGAGCGCATTTGGAGCTGGAGAATATTTTGGACTTCAAAGGCCACACATAAAGCCAACTCTGCTTTGGGCGTGACGGCTCTTAGTGGTTGGAGTTCATCCAGTTGTACGCAATGTCCAATCGAAGATTAAATGCGCATTTTAAAAAAGAGCGTGAACAGATCTGAAGGTAGCGTGTCTCTTAGTTTGTCAAAATGGCATCTTAGGTAAACTATAGATTGCCAGGGTGTTTGGCAGGGTCCTCGTCAAGACAAATCGACTAGTTTCATTATAAAAAAAAAACAAGAACTATTCGTGGACTGGAGGATCGTTGAAGTTAAAGGTGTTTTGTGACAACAGAATAGCCCATTCAAAGCTAGTACACACTGGGTCATTCCTAATAATTAGCTAGTTCTCCGGCAGCTCTCGCAAATGTCTTCTTCATATCTCAGCGTACGTGATGAAGGCTGCATGCCCTCAGCCGTCCACGTGCACCGCACACGTAGGTAGTTAATATGAGAGCTAATCATGCATCTTCGGATAATCGGTTTATATCACAGCGAGTCATGTCGGTTCAGCCAGCAGCCGGCCTAGTAAAGCAGCTAGATTGATGATTATTGAGGTTTCTATGTCGCGTAAGCCTTCGTTAAACGTCACAGTAGCATCAATGCCCTTATCATCATCGTTTTTTGTCGAGAATGCTGTATCCTCTGCAGTGTCCGGACACGTAACACAGTGGTACTCCGGTACACCCGTATAAAATCCAAGGCGATGCTGGTTCCGGTAAATATCTTTTACGCAGCTTTTACTGAGAAAGTCAATTAAAACTTTCGCAGTAAATGAGCGGTGCATGAAACCGACAAACTTCTATTTGCTGTATAAACGAATCTCATGGTCGCCAAAAATTGATAAAAGCTGCTAGTGAATCACAGTATACGATGATGAATTGATCAATGATTGTGATGAGCCGTTATAATGATGATAACGATAAATGAGATATGATGATTTCAACGTAGCAGAGAAGTCGACGTACGAGAATGGATCATTGTAGTGACGATGAGTTCCTCTATCGTTTCGTTGCCATTTTGGTTGATTTCCCTATTGAAGTGAGTGACAGATTCGCTGTTCGCCCAAACGATAGGTGGCGAAAGTTGAGATCAAGTTAAAAAACGAGGTCAGGTTGCAGCCTCTATGGAGCATGCTCACGCCCACGCACTCGACTCCAATCAGGACAAGAGAAAACAAGAAATGGTCCCCCCATTTTAAAGGGACTGTTTACCTTTTATGTGATGGGAGACGATACGTAACTCAAAAGTCATCATTGTAATTGGGCTACTGTTAATAATAGGACGCCTATATATGCATAAGGAAGAAAACTCATGAGACTACACTGTTTTCAATAGACTTATCAAGCGGATCATTGTTCGATACGTGATTGAACCATTATGTGCTTTCAGTGTAAAACGGACTAAGAGCTCTGTGATTTTGTTTATCCGCTTAAATAATCGAGACGACGGTCGGCTGTCTCTATTAGCTAGCGTATTGTGCAACCACTAGGATTTAGAGTAGATTGTTTTATAATTATCACAATACTAATTGCTCCAAGGATTTTACAAATCGCTCTAATAATTAGCAAGACCCTGCGTCAACATGTTGTTACACTAAATTGTCCGTTTCTTTTATAGAATCAAAAGAGAGTTTTATTAGCTTATCTGTTAGCTGCCGTTTTGACGATTATCGTATTTGGGACAAAACGCATCCGGTTTGGTGTTGGTGACCAGCTCTAAAGGTTCGTCCGATCCTAAACGTGAATGGTCGACTTTACAGGCACGACTTTTACTACAGTCCATGTCATTTCCGACGGAAAGTAATACTTGTAGTGTTCTATTTTGGTCGGTGCAATATGAGCCTGCTCCAACAAGGTCCGCTTAAGCTGAAGTATCATGCATAGAAAGTGGCGGCTATTAGAAAGACATCAGGGTCTATGGGGTGAATGGAATCTATTAAAACTATATCACCAACCAGCGTTGAGACGCTCATGCACAAACAAACCGTCGTTATATGCTGAGTGACCTACCAGGCTTGCACAGCTCCAGGCAAGATCTGTCTGGAAATGCATGCCGACAGCTACACGAGGGGCGGTAGGGTAGGATAGACAAGGCACAAAGCCACAACGAAACGATGCGCTTTACACATACATACACTCGGCAGTGTGCCAGTAGAGGCTTCAGCAGAGTCCGGTTGGGACAAACGAGTCAGGCCATTCTCCCAGTGAGACATCGTCCATCTTCAGCAAATGCGTATTCTGTTCCTGATCGGAAATCGCCACCCTCTTGAGGCGAAACCATATTTCAGGAGTTCCTTCAGCCGTACAACGCGTCAGCGCCGTAGCCCGCTGTCGGACCTACTCGTGTCCTGCCTATAGCTAGTCGCCTTGCAACAGGTTTTCGCGCAGTCAGGAGAGATCAACGTCTCATGGATGGGCAAGCCTGACCTGTCGTCACCAGACGTCGCCACTTACCTTGCAGGTGCTGCAGTCCCGAAGAGGCGGTCCCTTCGTCTTCAGGTAAACTAGAAACCGACACCTGGCTGGTATCTGCGTCAGACGCCGCGGCCTCAGACTCGTGCTGTTGCTTGCTCGAGATCTCGATCGGACCGGGCTGGCTTTCTTCTGAAATTGCGATCGCCGACCGCATGCAGAAATGAAATAAGCTCAACGAGTTACTCTATACGAGCCACCATAGTTGCTGTGACATATAACAACTATCAGTTATTAGACTGCGCAGACCCAATCCATTCCATCTAGACAGCATGTTTTGAGGACTAAGCACTAATGGCGAATACATACGTTGATGTAGGCGGTCGAGCTCTATTCATGGGCCCATCTAACTCACGACTGCGCGGAATTAACAATAGTAATTAATAAATTAGTGCAGCCGAAGTGGTAGCGGTGCAGCTCTGGACTTGTGTTATATGTGTGTTAACGTGAATGGAACATGTTATACTTTCTAAAGCTGTGACTAATTCAAGCAGGACCGCCACGAAAGCTTGGCCTATGCTAGGGTGGTCCTAGCTATACTAGGAATGGGTAGGATTAGTAATAGCACACAGCAACAATTGTTTCTCGTTTTTTTGTTTAGTTTTTCTGGCGTCCTCAACAGCAAACCGGTCGTTGATGGTGGTTCACAGTCGTGTGCCATAACGCCCACCACGAGTGCGAGTACAAATTGTGTGAAATACGCGGCACAGGCACAACAAACCTTTACGAAAAGTAATCTATGTAGAGCAAACTTTGTCGATGTATGTTAAGTACAAATGACGAGCTTTCATCTCGTTCTTTTTGTGGTTTTATGCATTCTCGCTTTTTCCGTATTAGATACAAATGACAATTATTATAATTTTTGTTGCTGCTGCTGCTGCTGCTGATGTACCTTGCACAAAAGCGGCAGTCGTGGCTTTTGTTATGGCGTGCGGTAACGTGCCGTCGGGGGGTAACACCACCTCGTGAGACTCCCGAACAGTCGAAGTTGGAAAACCATCGCTGCCGTAACGTGTGCCGCTAAAGGCCTCGTCGAATGTGTGCTGGAAGCCTGCAGGTGGTATATTGCTCATTATTATAGCGTCTGTTGGCTGAAGTTCTTGCGATGATTGCTGTTGTTGGATGGCGGAGGTAACGGGCGCGATGGCGACAGCAGTAGTGATACGTTCAGCTTCGTCACCACCGATCTTGGTGATGATCGGTCCGCTGCTACGGTGCTCGGGAGAAGGATGGGAAATTAACTCTGTGGGAGCAACTGGACCTCGGGAGTTGTGTGCGTGGGTCGTGACTGTGCGCTGGGTGGTTACGCCGGTTGGGGCTAAGCCTGGGACGCTAGCATCAAAGTCCTTGAGTGCCTCGCTCAATTCTCCGATTACCCCTGTAATCGGAACGAGGTCCGAGGACGCCAACGGTGGCTGCTTAGGTGCGCGTAATCGCTAACAATAGCAATAATAATAATATAAGAGTATGGTAATTTCGTGTATACGACACGCAAAATTAGTCGGTCGGTACGAACCTTAATATTAGACGCTTTTATTAGAGGTCTGATCATTAATTAATGCTATGTATCGTTTATAGGGACAGGCAAGCTTGACACGAGGTGCGTTTGATTTAAATGAATTTCAATAGAGTTATCGTAAGTAGTAGTCGTGAGAAGAACCTTTGCTCGGTCAGCAGAAAGCTGCCTCATTGGATCACTGGTGCTGAAAATCGACGTGTGAATGATTATACGTACCATGCACTGCTGCAAAGGCAGGTCCTCAAGTTAGAGTTACAGAAAGAATTAATCAAAACAATCGCGGACCATCTGATGATTTTCACACTTGTAGAAATATCGTCAAATGGATATGAGTGTCAGTACCGGTCAATGGAGGCCGGTAGAACCACCAGCGTTTTTTTGATATTAGTAACAGTGATTGTTAGTCACAGAATTCGAATAAAGTAAACCGATACCGCATAATGCTAGACGCAATTATGCTAATGTGCAACGTACGCTTCTATGACATATTCTTCCTCAGAACATAGCAAAACATTCGTCACTTTCTTCTTCTCAGCTTTTCGTTCGAAGACATTCTGCAGTACGCATTCTCATTGGACGCTTATCATAGAAGTGAGTGCAAGAGTTCTGTATTTGCTAGTCGCAAATTAGTAAATATATGTATATATATTGGTTGTGCGGGCGTTACCCGCTATATAACGCAAGACAGACAGCGTGTCAGATTTTTAACAAGCTTGATTGATTTTGAATGGGCAAGCTACCCTGTACGAGGTATTGTGCAAGTTCGTGAGAGTGCTGATGACAGGCGAATCAGGCGCCGTTTTCAGGGGCAACAAAATCAGTTTTGAGAGCCTCTCCGACAGGTTACGGATAAGACTCGAGAGAAAAAAAGCACCAAGGTTCGTCAATGGTGATAAGTAAAAGCGCATATCGTGTTTTGTGCATAACTTATATATCGATATCTATATTAAATATATATCGATAATAACGGCTCGGCTGGATGAATTGATTATTGCCTCGATGTGGTCAGAGTGTGACTTTGTTATGCTCTTTTTCAGAGGAGAACCGGGTCTAAACCCATGTCAGCAATACCCAGCACCTTGCGCGACTGTGTCAACCCAAGCAAGCGTGCGAACGTCAAGGCTAACCTTCTCTGGAGATAGTCATTGTTTTTGACGTAACTGCTCGAGTTTCCTGACGGTACTCCGGGATGACGACCTCTTCAGGGGCAGTCTCCTTGATGTACCTCTCTATCTCAACATTTCTTCCCATTATTCCGCCGGGAGCCACGTCCATGATGTTGCGGCCTTTTAACTTAACCGGCGCTTTTGTGGATGCTGTACCTTTGATAATATCGGATTTAACAGATTTAGTTTTACGTAGTTGTCCCTTTTTCTCGCTTTCGTTTCCACCCTTTTGCTTTGTTTTCTTCTAAAAAAGAAATCGTTAAATTACTTTCGTTTCTTGGCCCAATGAAATTGAGTGCGAAACAAATTCAAAAAGGGGTCATGAAGGATCTGCAAATGTGTTCCTCAAACCTCGAACTATAATTTCATTCAAACGAGTTGCTTTGTCAAACTTCTCATCCAAATAGGTTGGATGTTCAAGGCAAGCGTGAGATGCACGAAAACGTACGAAAATGCGACTGAGCGTACCCTTTAGAGCAAACTCCTTGTCGTCCTTGACAATTTGCTCAAGTAGTTCTGCTGACAGCTCATCCACCGGTGTTCCACCGCGTTTCAGCGTTGGCACCTTGGCCTGAGGAAGCTCGGTCTTCTTGATGATTTCGCTCATGATGGCATGACTGGCGGTTGTCATACTGGGCACAATGGTTCCCTCTGCTGCCGATTCAGTAAAAGGAACCCCTGCCTTCTTCGGGCGTTCAGGAGGTGTCGCGATCGGGCTCTTGATCTTCTTCGCCTCCTCTTTTTTAGGAGCCTCCTTTTTAGGAGAATCTTTCTTGGCTGCAACCTCTTTCCTTAACTCCTCTTTTTTAGACTGCTCCTTTTTGGGTTCGTCCTTTTTAGACTGCTCCTTCTTAATAGTACCAGCATCCTTTTTAAAGGCAGTTAAATCTTCACGTTTCGGGACTTCCTTCTTCGCTGATTCTTCCTTCTTAGAAACAGGCTCCTTTTTGAGCGAGTCATCTTTTTTAAAAGCAGTTTCTTTTTTTGGAGATTCTTTTTTAACTGGCATTGAGCTATCCTTTCTCGGTTCGTCCTTTTTCTCTTTCTTAGGAGGCTCCTTTTTGAGAGGAGGAATCTCTCTTTTAGGCGATGGCTTCTTCTCCTCCCTTTTAAGCGGTTCGGGCTTCTTGTCTTCAAAGGACTCCTTCCTGGCAGCCACTTTCACGTCGGGTTCGGGACCCTTTTCTTTGTTCGAAAGCGGAACAGGTGCTCTATCTTTTTTGGCTTCAATTTTCGTCGTACTGGTCTGCAATTTGGTCATTGGCGAGTGCTCAATGAGGGAAGTCTTTGTTGAGCTCGAGGCTGAGGTCGTGGTTGAATAAGATGTGATCTCAATTTGTGTATCATCGGGCCCGCGGGTTATGCCAAAAAATTCGTCTGAAAATTATACGTGGATTTTTTGTTTCGCTTTTTCCGATACGAATGCCATGGCAAAACGCATTGACGTATGGTATCATGAGCAATGCACTAATAAAATAGCATCTACATGAAGCGCGAATGATGGTTTCGGCACGGTGAACAAAGCAAACTTCACACAAGGTACGTATGGACACATACACGATATGATTTGATGATAATGATTTTCCTAAAAAAAAAAACGAAAAAATGCGCCGGTCCTGTGGCTCATTGACTGTAGTGACCAGCTGCCGGTGAACGCGCAGCGTTCTCTTTCTTCTTTATTTAACTAGCATTAACGCAAGAAAATACGTGACTAGGTCCGGCTTTGAAAAATAGTTCAGTCGGTCCAAAAATGGCCAACGACAGCTGTTATGTACGGACGATAGATTAGAATTGCAATTTAATGAAAAACGCTGGCAAAATGGCGTGACATAAGCGCATTGGATAGGTGCGTTGAGCATTTGATGTAGCACTTGCATCTCGACTGCGTAACCTCGCGTGATCGTAAAAAGGTTGCCATCAAACGTAAGTAGGATAGAAAGTATCATAGATGCGCGTAAAAAAAGCTTAATCACGTACCTCTCCTGCTTTTCAGAACCGTTGTCGCGTGAACTAACAATAAATCACTGAGTTAATAAAAGATCCGGATTATACACGGATTTCGTTATGCTTGGCTGTCTTATAAAATCTACCCGCCTGTTCATTGAATGTTTTGGCTTTTTCCCTGCCACCTTAGTTTCATTCTTAATAGAAGCTTATTTCGTTATTTTGCCGAGCATCAGAGTTTGCAGCTGATGGAATCAATGAAAAAAGTTCACACGACTTATTTGACATATGATGTCATCAAAAGGACAAGAAGCACTTCTGTTACTATTAGTAAAATCTTGTTGACATGAACTTTCGAGCTCCATATCAGATAGATACGTACGGCTGCTTTAACGTCGTTTCGGTGCAAGAAAAGCTACTTGTACAATTCGTTCGGTGGACTCAATCCCCAAACGGCATCGACGACGATGACAATGCTAAATGCTTTACCTATATGGGAAAATGTATGTTCAGAGACTTCGAGGAGTAGCTAAAGTGGTGACCAGTTCTCTTTGTCTGAATTCTAGGCGAGTCACTGTCGAAAAAAAGGGCGTGACAATTCGTCATTGCCCTCGTCCCGTCGTTTGGTTATCGTTCATTTTGCAAAAGCTGATACGCCTCTGTCTTTTCCATTCTTCTATACAATACTGGAAATTCCGAGTGGTAAAAATACTAAACACACTGAGGACAAAAGTAGATTAGGGAACGGTAAATATCGATAACGTTGCTGGCGACGCAGTTTTAGAGAGGACCTGATAGACAAGCCAGCTTCACTCACTATGCCATTTTGATAAGGAAAAAATATATCCTTTAGAACGGTATTGCGTGGATTTGATCGAGCCCAGTCTCAGATTCCACTGTTGTGGAATCTGAGACTGGGCTCGATAACTTGTGGCAAATGTATTTTTAGCGAAACGTTTCGCTACTACGTAGATGTTATTATTAATGATTTTTTAAACTAATTTTTGCTATTATGAATATTAGTGTGGGTTCGGTTCTCGCTAAGATCACATGTAAGTTCATGATGATGGCTTGATTGCCAGTGATGGACGAATTCGTTAAGCTTAATTTAAGTATAATTAAAGTATTTTCACAGCGAGTAAACGTAGTAAGTTTTATATATGCAGTTTGCTGACTGATTCATCTGTTAATAGATTTTTGACGGCGAATTATTCCTGTAAGCACGTGATACACGAAATAGAATGCGACCGTTGGCAGAAAGAACGTATCTAATATTTTAAGCTGATAAATTATGTACACAAATATATAATACTAACTACCAAACAAGTTACCGAAGAGAGATAGCTTTTAGAATCTCAGAAGAATCATATTGATAGATCAGGTCCTCAATGATCAGTAGATTGACGAGACACGTATTTCAATGAGCTACCAACTACTAAACGCTACCTCGTAGGGGCATATTTTCTAGGGCTGTGAATACCCGCTATTGACAACTGATTATTTGCGACGTGTTGTGGCAAGAATAACTTACCAACAGGTGCAGGGGTGGCAGTTGGCTTAACTTTGGCAGATCCACTGCTGGTATCTTCGGCTGATTCCGCGTCCTAAATAGATAACATAAAGCGAATTAGATAAAATCGGTACGAATAGCAGTTGAAAGCTGTACGGGAGAGACTTGGACTAAAAATACTGATATGACAGTACATCACTATCAGTCTTTTCACGGTAATTATATTATTACCAAATTTGTTTCTATGATTTAATATACGTTCATAAAAAAAATAGTTTGGCAATTCAGGCTGATCTCTGCTGTTGCAGATGCAGCTGTTTCAATTTCTCAGCCTCTTGTATGTATAATAATAATAATAATGAAATTTGTGGCTACAAATCGGCCTGCGTTATGTACCCAAGTACTGTCAAAAATTATTCGCAGCACCTATAGTTCATTCTGATAAAAACGCGATTAATATACATGTGTGCTTTAATCTGCAATGGAAGGCTAAGCCTACCTTCATAATGTCCCTTTCGTCAGCCGAGCTGGTCGTGACGAGGGTGGTTCGGGTGACAGTAACAACTGAGGCCGGAACAGCTCCGCTCAGATGAACCTTCGCGAGTGCGCGTTCCACTTCGTCAGTAACCACCTCGGTGTTAGACATGCACTTTTGCACGATGTCCTCTCTACCGATGTTCTGAAGTGCTTTTTCTAATGCATTGCCCGTCGCTGCCGGACCCATCCTCTGAATCCAGATCCTCAACATGGTTAACGCCTGTTGGCTGTTATCATTCAGTATCTCGTCTTTGATCTGCTGAATTTCCTGGGTTGGTATATTTAGCTGGCGTGCAAGAGCGGACCAGTCGGCGCCCAGTTCTCTGGCCGTGTCAGACAGATGTAGGTCGCCGCGGTGGATCATCTCTTGCGGGCGTAACCCGGTCTCCTGCACGAAGCCGTACTTTTTCTCGAGTGGTACACTCATGTACTCGACGGGCTCCGGTAGCTTTATATTGAGGTTGCAAACGGGCGTCTGCGGTGCGTCCTGATGTTTACTGCGTGGCTCTTTCATAAAAGCAACACGTCCCATCGGTTCCTGGTGCATGTCCTTGACGCGGGCATTGAAGGCTACTCGGTTCTCCTTAAATGCCTCGAACGTGAGAGCGAGCTGCTCCCCGGACTTGGTGATGGGCACTAAATTGCCCGCAAACTCGAGGTACTGTTGCGTGCCCTCGAGAACCTCGACATCTCGGCTTTTTGCCACCTCGGCGAAGTGTTCCTGCGATTCGAGAGTCTTCTCCTCTCGGTCATCAGTCATGCAGAACACCCTCAGCTGCGCCTCAAGAGACTCGTGGCGCTTGGCGAATACCACAAATTTAGCCATAAACGGGACAAGCACTGCTTCTTGGTAGAGCTCACCTGCGAATTTGGTCACTTCACTGACCTGGCGGCAGTCGATTAGCCAGAATCTGGCTGAGACGGTGGTGGTGAAAGATACACAATCGTTGACGAAGGTCAACGGAGTCGATCCAGTCACGTCTTCCCATTGAGCCTTGGTTTGTCCACCTTGAGTACACCGACGGATGGCAATAGCGGAGTCAAATTGTACCGCAGCAACAAATGATAATCAACAAGCATGTTTGACTAAAGTACTACAAAAAGAACTGCATTATGTATCCCTACTGAAACGGCTACCTCATAGGATTATCTATCTCAGAAAATGGGTTAGCATAAAATCGTCTGCTAGATTGGGAATGATGTAATTCCTTATTGTCATTGCTGTCGTTACCTGTGATACTGCAAAGTAACCTGAGTGTGGGCGCATCACCAGAGTACTGGTTTGTCATGCCCTTGTGGGCGGCACGTGGCAACGGAATCGTTAGGGTGATGGGCTTGTGGAATTTGCGACGGCGCGGCTCGACCGTTACGATCGGGCTGACCGCCACGCGGTTGCCCAGCAGCCGCGTGACCACATCGGTGTGTATAGGCTGGGCCTGCAACGAAAAACGACAACAATGCACAGGAGGTGATCACACAGACGAACGTTTTGAGCAACACTTTTCACACCTAGGGTCACGTTGTATATGGTAGTGGATCTCGCATTACAGTCATCACTGGTCCGCGCTTTTTCTAAATAAGATAAGCTTTGCCAATTAACCCAGTAAACAAAGCACAATTAGAGAACCTCTACTGTATTTCTATTAGTATACTCTTCTCATAGGAAAGTTATGCTCGTACCCAGTAGTCATAACACGACGAGAGGATCCCTAGGATTCCGTCGTCTGTTCGAAAGGCGACAGGTATTAGGTGCATATAGGGTGAACCAAAAATAGGTGGCAAGCTGAGAAAAACGGGTTGACGGTCAACGATACCATGGTATTCCGTGCCAATAACGGTCAACCTGCTTTTCCCAAACAGCATAATGCGACTTTGAAATCAACCTCAACGTTCGCTTTTCTAATCGATTTGTTTTCGTGCGATTGCCACGGTTCGCGTCTACTTCTGTGGTGAAGTGTCTTCAAATTCTGTCAGTGACTTTTCCCCTTCGAACGATGTAGAGATTGCTGGTGATTCTGTTGTTGCTGTCTGTTAGTGCACGAATAACAAATATTTCGTTAGCTTTGGAGGTAGGGTCATTCGGTAGTTCTACTCCCGTCCCAAACTGGGCATTGCTCTTGCTGTTGCCGGAGAAGTCCCAGATCAAATCAGCAAATCGGAAGAGGTCAGATCATTAACAGAAGAAGGCAAATCCCCGCATGCGAGTATTAGAATTACTAGTAATGCTTAAGTCGCATGCTCGCCATTTTGCTCTTCCACCATGCACTTGATTGTTTTTTGTTGTTGCTGTTGCTGTTGCTGTTGTTGTTGTTGTTGCTGTTGCTGTTGTTGTTGTTGTTGTTTTACGAAGGCCACTTACCTCGAAACCGTCTTCGCTTCTGTCTAGGACAAATGTACCGCCCGCCAACACTAGGCCTTGATCCTGCCCTGCACCGCCTCCCTCAGCAGCTCAACCATTGCTTGGAAGAACCGGCATTGTCAAAAGGCCATCGCCCGAGGCGAAGCTCTGCACCCAGTACCACAGCAAGAAGCCAACCGCTCTGTCCCTGTTTAATAGCTACAGCCACCGCTCTCTGCCCGAGATGCTTTCCCCGCAAAAATCTCACCTAATTGCGCTGGAAACTACGCGTTGTCGATTACTACGAACAACGAATATAAACTTAACTTTGTGACCGGCTGGTGCAGGAAAAACGACAACATAAGACTCTCACCGCTAACAAGCAATGTTGCCAACACTTCATTACCCCTATCTTATGTCAGCCTTCAGAAATAGCACCAAACTATAGTTTCAAGATGTACCCTTCGACACGCTCACCGAGTACTGTCTAAATTACGTACATACGCAGCTACGTTCGGGCGACCTCATTCTATTAATATAATAGTTATAATTATTCTGTTATTACAATTTTTCCTTCAAGCGATCTCGCAGACTGATCTGGGACTTGGGAAGTTCCGATTCGAGTAGTCCGAATAACCGCGTTCTACCTCCAAAACGGACATCATTGTATCTGACTAATTGTTGTCTTTTTTTGTTGTTATTGTTGTTGTTGTTATTGTAGTTATCCTGTTATCATTTTTCGCTTACGACGCTAACATTTCGGCGCTTTGCCTTGTTTTGTACAGCTCAAATGTGTGTTGTAAGAGCTTGAGCCAAACCATTAACTAATGCGTACGATTTTTGTCTCTGCCGATTTCAAGTATCTCGTGGATTTTCGATGCGTTCGGGTACGAGCAAACTTATTCTTCACTTAATTAAAAAAAATGATGGTATGTTAAAAAATCATCTTTACGAAACATCTCTATTGTTTTTTTGTGGATATTTCTAATTCTTTTATTATATTTTTTATTTGTTGTCTCTCTCTTTGTCATCGAAGATTCCAAATAAGAGAGATGCTTTCGTGACTGTATTCGTTATTATCATTATCACTTCAGCAGCAAGCTTATCAACATCCCTCATTCAGTCTTTCATTCACTCTCGTACAGCAATGTCATACAGTCTACTTCAGTGGGAAGGTGTCTAGCAAATGTTCTGTCACTATGAAATCGGTCGATGAGAGCAGAAAGTGGGCGAATTTTGTTTTTACAAATGGTCGCGTTCGAAGCCACATACTGTGATTATCGTTATCCATAATATTGTTATCATAGTCGTATATACATGATTGATCAGCTATGGATGTATGTACTGATTGAGTGACGACAGAGTAAATCTATACTTCTCGATCCCAAAAATCAATTACTATTTTGTTTCTGTCAATTCTATTTTATTGATTGAGTCACGGATCAGTTCTGGGACAAATATTTATTACAAAATGCTAGTAGTCGCATGTCGAAAATGTTCATACGCAATAACGATACTCTACGTAAAGTTGGCAAAAAATTGATATTGGGACATTTTTTTAAAAACCTCTCAATTTTTACAATTTTGTTTTCGATGAATCATTAAAACGATAATTCATTAGCCCAGATACGCACGCAGGCACGCCGAACAATAAGTCCAAGCAGACCACATTTGTATATATTTCAAATGTTTTTTGATCCTCTAGCGGAGGTGAATTTTTGAACTAATCGACTGAACGATTTCGCGGCGATTTGCATTCTCTCTTCGAGGTAGGTAAACGTTTTTCCGTGTCTCTTATAAATTTTGTTTCTACTAAATTTTTAATCTCATAAAAAAAACATAACAAATTGCGCGATCTCACAATAATTTTCTCTCTTTCATAAAAAAAAATATAATGGCGCTTTTTATTCTTTTTCTCAATGCTGTTTCGGAGGTAGACTGCGAGTTGGACTTAGGGGTGTAGCAGAATCTACTGTAGGACTACCGCTGGTACCATTGACCAACGACAGGATGTGGGTACTACAAGAGTTCTGGGAAATTTCCAATACTTTTTATGTCAATTTTTACCGTAAATTTCTAAGCGATTTCGTTCGGTTTTATTTGCGAATTTCGCTTTCGTGAAGGACGTTTGAAGGGAGCATTCGACAGGTTTCAATGGGAGGAAGGCAACAAAACTTGTTAACGGCGCCCACGGAGGGGCTTTGACCAGAAAACTGTCGTCTGCTACAGCTCTCAACTTCTCTATTTCGAAAGCAAAAGACGAAGAGCAATGATTTCAATTGAAAGAGATTAGAAAAAACGCATATAAGGTTAGTGGAAATAGTGCTATTAGTCAGTTTATTATTAGATTAGTGAATTAGCATCAATGCATTATCTACTTTATTCCTTCCTTTGTCTCGTATCGCGTCGTATCCTTCATTTTTTCTTTCAGTTCTAATCGACAAACAATTAATTGCAATCGCAGATATTAGGTTGTGTACGATTAATAGCGTTTGTTTAGTCATTTCTGTCATAATCGTCCTTGTTAGTTTAATTACAACTTTTACTCATAGCAGACGCCTTTATCTCGCCTATCATCGCCTTTACCGATGCCAGACCAAGCACCTAGGTGGCGCTTTGTGATCCATAGATTTTAACCATTATAATATAGTCCTTACACTTATTAGATATTAATAATAATTATAGTATTCATTAATGCTAACGAAATATAGCGATCTCGTTCGTGTGTTCACAGGCTTGCTTATAATAGTTCTTACTCGGAGGCATTGACTTTTCGCTTTCAGATATTTTCTACATTCACTTTGAACAGGTATAGTCATTTTTTGTCTGAATCTAAGATTAAAGTGGTATTCCTTTAGGTCTCGCCTGACCCGTATAGACAAGAGCCACGGTACAGAAAAAGTAGGTCGTATTCTTTGGACAGGTCAGTTATAGAAGTCCATCAGTTTGTTTGGCTTTTTGCTTCTTTTAAATTTATTTGCTCGTCAGTACATACAAACACGGCTTTAGGGGCTTATTTGAGTCTATGAGATATATATATATATATATATATGCATGAAAAAAATATGAGTGGTTTCTGGTGAGTACGTATGCATGTGAGGGCAGATGATTGATGAGATCTGTGACTTTGACTAGAGCACAAAGGTTGGGGGGTGGGCAAGCGTTGTTGGCTCCGTTAATACATTACCAGCGAAGGGGGGTTGATGAAAGATGGCAACGATGAATGAATGGAGATGATTTTCTAATATGATAATTTTGTTTTCAATTGAGAAAACCATACTTGAGACCATTTGGTAATGACTTCATACAATGATTAATTATAAAAAAGTTTTGCAGAAGAATACACAGTCTCGATACAGAATATAAGATATTGTAACCTTTACTAGGCTGGCCTTGTCGTTATCGACGACGTCGACTGGTTTAATAGTTATATATTTTATATTCTGATCCGAAGAATCCTGGAACGTAAAGTGGGTCGATACGGTAATGCCCTGTTCTATCTTCACCCTTAATGTTGTCCATTTAGAAGAATATATATTTGCGTCATAAATACACCTAATTTAAATAGTACTCCGTTATTGCCCCCTGCGAGATCATAGAGACACCGGACCTGCTATTGGGCGACAGAGTTAAATGTGCAAGTTCCTCTAGCAAGATCCAGCAAAACCGCTAAAAGTAATTCGATTAATTAGTAGCCAGCAGGCCCATTGACAACTTAGTTAGCTCTATATACTTTGTATGCTGTGAACTAACTTCATTATCTTCTGTGCGAAATACTGTTCGGTAGGGAGACGCCGTCATCATGGCAAGTTAACATGTTTATTCTGTATAATAATATATATCATCTAGTGTTTTCTGGGTAGGCTTACAAGTTGGGCATAAGTAAGTGGCTGTATGTGCCTATTTCGACGACAATCTGCCTCTATTGCAATTTATTTAAATGCTGAATGCGCTTACATTGTTCTACTGTTCTTTCGGCCTTGTCGTTTGTTCGATCTGGTGGTTGTCTAAAGCTTGTATATCCTGTCCTCCTACCTCATTGAAGGACCTCGTCCTGCACCAAGTACAGATCCCAATAAGAGTTTCTTTTTTTGCTGTCTCCTATTATATTCTATTTTTTACTATTTTGTATGTATGATGTGGTGCAATCAATCAGTGTTCTTATCATTTATATCCCCTTCATACTGAAGCACTTTGCACGAATCATACTGACCCGAAAAACTCCAGTATAGCCACGAAAAGTAACAAAGGCATTTGCCGTACCCCGATGTTCGAGGACATTATACATACCAGATCTTTTATGGAACAGCAAAATAGTTGACACCATATCGACTTAACTCTACATAATGCGATTTCATAGGGGTTATTTTTTAATTATTCAATCGACAAAGACTATTCTCCTCCATTGCTATTTGAATACGCAAGCGCATTATAAAATACGTCTATACATTATATATGCGTATAGTTTAATATACAAAATGTGTATTTTACAATCCAAAATGGGAAAAGCACTTGTGCCAAATGGGGTCGACGCGTGTAAGATTAGTAGGTCGATGCAAAACGCAAACTGGAACTCATTGTCAAAATCAGATAATAGGTGATACGAACCAGGGATATGAACAATTTATTAAAATAGAAACCGGGTTCGAATATGCTCGGCAGCTTTAACTGCTGATATTGTCAGGTCAGAAAGAAAAGCAGGGAAGAAAAGTAACAACCACTGCACGTTTCTGTAACGTCAAAAAGTTTCGCCCACTAACGTCTGGGTCTTATATACTCGTGCTTATATACATTCATATGTACAGTTGATCCACATACAGCAAATAATGTGCTAACATGTGCTCTATTTTGTGAATCAGCGTTGTCCTCCTTCGTAACTTTTGTGTTTCTTAATTTTTCAGCTTACTCTTATTAGATGCGTGATGTGCTTTGTAGAACCACTAACTATGCCTATATGGAATTGTATAGCTATTAGTACTGTTTTCATATTGTTGGAATAGCGCATTCACGTTAAGGTACATATAAATGAAATAGAAATGTACCGTACATTTTCACTTCTATTCATAACGCGACGTGTTCGCCGATGCGATTATAGTCCAGTTTCTGCAATCTGTACAATCGGGCCGGCTTACCGGCTCTACCCTTTACCAACTAAAGGCATATACACGTATGTAGGTTAGTATGGCCATAAATACATGTAAACACTGCACGTGTATATAGGCGTCATGTGTAGGTGCCATAGTTATATATATATATATGTTTTAATCAGCTTTTTGTTACGTTAAATTGCCTGCGATAATGAGAGAAATACTACGTGGAAGCTTAGCGTAGGGAACAGAGTCTTAGCTGACAGAGATCTAGATCTGGCGGGGTTTTGATATTGTCTAGTTGGTCTTTGCATATCCATCACTTTGTGTCACGCATCTCTTGTTTAGTGACCGGTCCTATCTGTATTTTTTGTAGTAGAATGATTAGGACAAATAGTTCAGAGTTAACGAATAGGCGTTTATGAAACGCAACAACTTATAAATGGCCTAATCCTTTTGTCGTACCAATACCACTCCACATAGATATGTCAGGCTGGCATGATGATGCTAATGTATAAAATATTAACGCCAGCCGGAACGTGCCAATTAAAATACACAAAAAAAAAGAATTAACTTAAACATTCAAGTATGGATGCCCTTTGGGACGACTTTCGATCAAGTCGTGGTTATTCGAGCAGAAAAAATATCACAAGTATTATTTAGTTATGTTTTTAAATATCCATTGTACTATATAATCACATAGTATAATAATAAAAGTAATACAGTTGAAAAATCATTTGGAATATATATAATCGCATATTAATATAATTGTGAAATATAATCGAATGTAAATTTTTTGATAAAATTTACATATATACATTGTATATAAAAGGAGAAAAATCACATAACGGAAATGGGATCGTTCAGAAGAGATCAGTAAGATATCTATAGGATGATAACGGCAATGATAATCCAAGACAGTGCAATCGGGCAGCTGATGCCCAACTATTAAACATCTCTAAGCAGATTTAGTTTCGTCGTGAATAACAGTAACGCTTGAGGTTCCTTCGAAATTTAGAGCAACTTGCGAAAAAACGTTTTTTAAAAGCAAATTTTACGTAAAACAAACAATGTTAACCGAAATTCTAACCAATTCAAAACGGTATATTATGTGCGCGTCTGTCATTGCGTTAGGTCTTAATCGATAACTGCATGATCTGTCAATCAGCAGCGCTCTATCAACGTAACTTAAATATACGGTTACTGCAGACTTGTGACTTGCATTTGGCTGCAGAGCGTACACCCAGATTACGAGTTTAAGCTGTCAAGAGCCCTCATCATCACACATTTTCAACTACTTTTTCTGCCTACTATATACAGACCAGTCGGCATTATTTAAATTTTTACGCAAGTAAAAATTAACAGATACTGTGCGCGTAGGTTCATTTCAGGACTGATTAACTCCCAATGATAGAGGCTTTCAGATCGAACCGACTCGTCCGCAACCGCCATGACTTTTAAAATAATTTAGTTGACTTATTGAAGAGGGAAACAACGGGAAAAGATTTTTTTGTTTTCGATAACAACAAAGAAATACCTTTCTTTCGCTCATAGCTTCAACTCGATTTTGATGGACGAAGGTCAGAGATGGCTGCTGGATTGAAGAAAAATGCATTGACTGCGTATCACGCTCTCGGCTGAACCAATAGTACAAAGTAGAGCATACACCCCAATTGATTAGTTAATTTAGCTTCTATTGTTGGGCAACTGGTTCAAGGATGGTAGTGTAACGAACACCTGGCCAGTGGAAGGTGTAACTTCTTCCGAAGTGGTCATATTTGGGTGCCTGACTTGAGGTGCTTGCGCCTGCCGACTGGTCTTGTTCGAGATCGCCAAAGCCTTTTTTACCGACGATCGCCAGTTTTTCAACTTCAATTTTGCTATTTTTCTGAAAGAAACGCTTAGTCTTTTTCTTCGAACGCTCTTCCTTGACAGAGCCCGTGTCAACGACCTTCGACGAGTCTCCACCGTTAACCGATACATTTGGTGCCTCCAAAGCCTTATCCGCTGCTAGATCCTTGTCTTTACTACCACCAATCTCAATTTTAGCCGGGTCGAATTTTTTCTGCTCGCCGTCGAAGTCCTTGTTTTTTTCACGTTCACAGCCACTGCTTGGCCGACTTCGCTTGAGCCAGCCGAACACTCCTTTGGATTTCCGGGCGGTTTTTTCATTGCCTCCATCAGTTTTTTTCGTATCTTGGGTAACGTCAGCCTTATCTTCTTCCTTCTTTTCCGCGGAGTCCTCGTCTGAGGTGTCCTTGATCTCAGTCGAGTCCGATGAGCCGCTTTCGTTCTTGGTGCTTTCCACCGTACTCTCTTCCTCGTCCTCGTCGTCTTCTTCGCTAGTTTCCATATTATCAGTTTTCTTTTCCAACCCTTTTTCCACATTTTGGACCTGTTTTGGCGCATCATTGACAGTGGTTTCTCCGATAATTAAGTTTTTGCTCATATCCCTCTGCGGTCTGCGAAATCGCTTTGTCAAGAAGCCAACAACGCCTCCCTTTTCTGCTTTAGCAACATAAAGTTGTGCTCTCTCGTTCTTGGGTTTCCCTTCTGCGTCCTTTGTGTTTTTGCTAGCTATAAAGGTGTTGTCGGCTATATCAGCAGCGTCTTGTTTATTCGCTTTCTGCACACTTCCTGCAGACTTTACTATCTCTTTTGTCTTGACGACATCACTATTTTGTGCGTTTTCATCGTTAGACCCACTAGTGTGTGTTGCTTTAGGGCTATTGTCCGGTAACTGTACAGTATCTACAGCATTCTTTGTTATACGGTGCTTCGCAGGCTTGAAATAGCGCTTCCTCGGTTTCTTGTCGTCGGACACGCCAGCATTAACGGTGTTCTCTTCCGTGACGCCGTCGACGCTATAGCTAACGTCGATGGGAGTAACGTCTCCCTCTGATGTTATATGAACGTCGGGACTGTCATCGCTTATAGGTTCAAGTCGGCTATCGACCCTGTGCTTCTGGCTAAACCGGCCGAGAAACGAGAACGACTGCCTTTTTTCTCCCAGTTTTTGTTTTTCTTTTTCTACTTCGAATTTTACTGTTAGTACGGTTGTTCCATCTTTCCTTTCAACTTCTGTAACATTATCTCGAATTTTAAAGCTCTCTTCCACGACGCTTTTGTCAAGCTTCTTATGCTCAGCCTTCTCTTCAGTGATGCTCTCGATGGCAGTATCATCGGCGGCTGCATTGGCCGTTGCACCGACCGGCTGCGACTCGCAAAATGTGGCAATCGATGAAGTTGTCACAACCGTTGATGAGGTTGCATTTTTCGTAACTACACATTTCTTGCTGACAGCTTCGACTTTAGTGACTTCACCGGTGTTCGATTCTATTACCACCTCGCGAGCGCCCTCTTCGACAAGGCTACATTCAAACGAATTTTCCTCTACATCGATCTTTTTGTTTTCGACAAAAGCTGCCTTGTCATTTTCGTCTTTAGTTGATTTTCGCTCTTTAATAGTTTTTTCTATCTCGGTATCGCAACTTCGCATAATATTTAATCTGTTTTTGCGGTTGCGGTTCCTGCGCTTTCGGCGGTTACGTGAACATCCTGCGTCACGTTTTTCTTCATTTGGACTTGATTTAGCATCGTCAACCTCTTCGATTTTCACTGAACCAGTTTCTGCATCAATAGTAATATCCTGTTTCGTAATTAGTACAGGGGACTCCTTCTGTCCAGGGAGAAGCGATTTTTTAACCTCCTTTTTGAAAAACTCTGGAGATATGTCAGGCTTGGTACCGTCCATGTTCAAAGTTTTAGCAACATTTTTTTTCGGAACTTTTTTTTTAGACTTCTCCTGTAGATCCGATTCAATCGATCCTGCTCCTATTTTGGCCCGATTTGTTTGGTCGGCCTTTTCAGATGCTTTAACGGTTACCATTTTCCAAAGCATTTTTTTAAATCGAAATTTCTTTGGCTTTTTCGAGATTGGTTCATTTATACCTTCAACCGTAACCTCACTCTTAGTGGGCTTTGTTTCGGCCTGCTGGTCCTCAACTTCGGTTTTCGCGTCTTTAACCTTGACCTCAGAGGAATCTACTTTGCGACCCAATTTGAAAACAGCATAAAACTTACGTTCCTTTGCCGTATTTTTAAGTTCGGGGATTTCCTGGTTGTCTTGTTTGACTACTGCTTCATATGTTTGCTCTTTAGTGATTGGTCCGATCTCGTCAGCGGGCTGTTCGTCCGCTAATTCATCTTTTGAGACATCCTCTGATTTAGAGGCCTCATTTTCGGAAAGCTCGGGTACTGGCTCGAGAATGGGCTTCTCAAGGGTATCCGTCGATTCTTCCACATTCAATGCAGACTTCTTAGAAAAACGGAAGAATTTTTCTTGGGTCACTGATGGTTCTTGTCGGACGTTTTTATCCGAAACCTTTGTTGGGGTCGTGTCATCCCGTGATACTAAGGAATGCCACCATGAACGTTTCGAAGTTTTGGTCGCATCAGCCGCGTTGCCTTTTTTTGCAGAATCCATAGGTTTTTTTTCAACTGAAACGGTTTCATCCTCTGTTTCGCCAGTTTTGTTCGTATCTAGTTTAGCTAAGTCAGTTGCGGACTCATAAATTTTGACTGTATCATCATCTTTTTGAGTTTGTTCGATGTCTGATTTTGTAGCCGTTTCATCGCTTATATCTCTAACATTCATTTTGGGTTTGAATTTCGGTATAGAAAGCTTCGGAATGGTAATCGTAAACGTAACTTGTTTGCGGCCCTCGTCATTTTTTTTTGGAGTAACCTCCGAGGGAGTACCTAAATGGGCGATGTCATGTGATTCAGTCGTTTTCATCCCATCGATTTCAGCTTCCTCGAGTCCTATCTCACCTAAGCCCTCTGTAGGAACCGTATCTTGCAAATCGTTCGCTTCCTCAACCGAAAATTTCCGGGCCTTGTCAACTGTCTCCTGAGATCCTGACTTGTCGTGTTTTTTTAAAGAGAAGAATTTAGGCCAGCTTAATCTAGGAACGGCAAGAGAGCTCTTTTTTGGAGTTTTAGGAGCCGCCTTACCCTGTTCTTCGACTGCAATTAATTCGGTCTCGCCAGTTGTTTTGCTATAAATCTGTCCATCAGCTACCTCCACCTTCTCTGTGGAAGTTTCGTCCTCGGGTCCCGACATTTTACTATCTTGTTCGGTCTCCTCGGCATTTTTTTCGTCAGAGTCCTCTATACCAGCCTTCTCAGCGTGTACAGGACTTTCAAGTACTTCTTTATTGGCCCGTTTCGTTTCTCTTTTGCGCACAAAAGTGGGCTTGTGAAAATTGATCGTGAACTTCAACTTTTTCGTGTCCCTTTGCGCTGCTGCACATTGTACGAACTGCTCCTTTTTATCTGTGGCAATTTTTTCAGTATAGGATTTTTCTTTAACACTTTCCGTTGGCTCTCCTTCCAGCTGTACGTCCATTTTGCTGATTATCTCCGCCTTATTACAGACTTTATTCTTATCAGAGTGCCCTTTCGCCTTTGGCTCTTTCTCTATTTTTGGGTATTCTTCCTTGTTAAACGATTTCTTTAAAGTGGTGGCGGTGGTGCAGAAGTTTGGAATTTTAAATTCATAACATTTTCCTGTGTCCTGCTTTTCCCTAACCGCACTTTGTTCTTTCTTGGGCTCCCTTTCTTTTCTGTGATCAGCATTCAATTCATCTTTAAACTCCTCAGTGTCTTTCTTTGGCCCACCTAGTGAACTTTTGTCATCATCTGCTTCATGAACATTTCCATTTTTCTCAGCTTCTTTGCGAGCTTCCTCTATAGATACGTTCCTATCCTTGGCAAGGAATTTGGCGAAATTGATAGTGAAAGTCCGTCTCATCTTAGCCTGTCTTTCTTCAATAGGTTCAGGGGTTTCAGTTGGTCTATCAGTCAGCAATTCATCGTCATACTGACCTGTTTCTGCCTTTTTTTCATCTGCTTGCATAGCGTTTTCAGCAAGATCCCTGTTCTTTTTATCCACTTGCTTCTGTTCGTTGTCGCTAGTTTCCGTTATTTTCTTATCATCACCAATAGGAGTCGATTCAGTTAATCTTTTAGCCTTGTTAAATTTGAGCTTAACAGCAAAGAATTGTTGGGTCTCCTGGGCCCGCTTGCCCGACAGTTTCGGACTTTCAGAAAACGCGGGCTGATCAGCTATTGTGCTAGGATGCTCACTTTTTTGTTTAGGTCCTTCTTCAGCTTGATGAACGGTCTTTTTGTCTACAATGGTTCCGTCAAGTTCGCCCTTGACCTTTGTTTCTCCTGCCTCCGTCTTAACGTGCTCAGTGCTTTTCTCCTTACTGAAAGGATTGCTTTTCTTACCGCGTCGATTGCGCTTGCTCTTGGAGGGCTTCTCATCCTGTGGTTGTTTGCCCTTTTCGGTATTCTTCGCTTTATCTATTGGAGAAGGGGTCTCCTCCAGTGAATTCGCAGCTGTCTCTGCCTTCTCATCCGTAATTTCTTCGATCATCTTATTTTCGGCGTTCAAACCTTTGTTATTTCTAATATCGACTTTTACTTGCGGTTCTGTTTTTTTATTAGAACGGAATATTGGATTTAAGAAAGAAGAAACTCTGTAAGCTTTTTTCTCCAAAACATCAGTTACTTTCGTAGTCTCGCATCTCAAGGCATCGTCGGCATTTTCTACGACGGTGTCGCTTGCGTCTTGATCCGTTACATTTTCAGTGACCACAGATTTTTTACCTGCAACCTTATAACACGACAGTTTCTTTTTGTCTGTCCGTTTAGCTTTGTGTTTTTTGGCAGAGGTTCTCTTTCCCTTATTTTTTCTGCCTATTCTGAATTTTGGTAACGGAATCGTGATTGTTATTGTACGCTTGGGTGATTCGGCACTTTCAGAGGTCGATTTTTCCTCTTCTGAAGCTCTCGCAACAAGTGGTTCAGATGCGGAGGCTGCCCCAATAGCAACTTTCCCCAGTGGCTTAGGCTTTACGGCTAGTCTCTCATCTTCAGTGTCCGTTTCCAGTTGATCTTCTTTATAGCTATCCTCTAAAATCGAGGGTTTGTTTTGCTCCTTTCTTTCTTTATCTTCCTTTTTGGTTTTCACTGGCTTGACTATTGATGATTGTTCCGTCGCACCCTTTTTTGATTTCGGCAGTTTAGGAACTGAACTATTCTTTAGAAAAGAGCAGCGGGCCTTTTTAGGCTCTACCTTAACTTCTGCCTTGGTTTTCTCACCTTGATAGTACTTATCGGTGCGCTCAGTAGTGTCCTCGTCTTCAGGCTTTGAGTCTACTTGGCTCTCCTCGGATTCAAACTGCGCCTCCTCTTTTTCAAACTTCGAAGCAGTTTTAGCTTCAGTGTTTAGCAAATTCTTGACGCTTTTCGACATTTTCGCCAGCTTGATTGTGGGAAATTTGAGGAAGGACCTCTGTTTGTCAACAGTTTTTGCAGAAATATCGTCAGGAGATCTTTCAGCCCTCTCGTCAACCTTCTCAGCTCCATCATTGACATTCAAAACAAGCTTTTCATTTTTGGCCTTTCTTTCTGTTTTATCTTTTATTGGACTTTTCTCCTTTTTCCGAACATCTTTCAAAATGACCTCTTTGTCGTTAGCCTCCTGAGACTCAGTGGTTTTGACATCTTCCTCAGCTTTCTCGCTATCCTGAACTCCATCCATGACAGTAGCATTACTTTTGGTAGGCTTCGTCTCCGCTTCCTTAGTAGCCTTTTCCGCTAACTCGGCTTCCGTGGAGACGTTTTCTCTTCCTTGAGTTTCGTTACTCGTATCGGTCTTGCCTCCATCTTCCGCGTTGTCCTGTTGACCCCCGTCCTCTGTTCCGGTCCCAAATGTCCAAAGAGATGCGGGCCAGCCAAAATTGCTGAAGAAACCAGTAGCCTTTCTCTGTTCGCGCACCAAGGGCTTAAATTCTTCTACGGGTGTTTCGAACTTAGAAGTAGTATCAGACCTCTGAGTCTCCGACTCAGTTGACTGGACGCGTCCTCTAAAGTCGCCCTGCTTTTTGTCAATATCATGGATAACGATCTCGATTTTGGGCTCTTGAGCGTCTTTGTCATCTTCCTTTGTAGACGCCAAGACAAGTTCTGAATGCCAGCGGGTAACCCTGACTTCAGTTTTTTCCGGGCTTTCAATCCGGCCCAACGACCACTGTAGAAAACTTGACAGAAGACCCTTTTGAGGCTTTCCTTCTGCCTGGGACCCTTTACGAGACGAGGCGCTCCCTTTGTTCGACTGGTGGCTTTTTGAAGTCTCCATATGGGGAGACTCAGCATATCGTGTAGTGTCAGCATTGGCCTGATCCTCGCCTCCATTATCGGAAGCGATGTAAGGTTCGACGGCCTTCGATTTTTGGAAGCGATCCAAAAACGCCTTTTTCTTATTTGATCTGACTCTGGTCTCGAAGTCGAAGTCTTCGGTAATATCGTCAGTTTTTGTTGAAATAGGTTTTCCCATCTCAGCAGGTACCGCTTGCGCCTTAGATGAGGCCGTCGACTTTTTTGTATGCCAGAACTTTAACAAGCTTTGCTTCTCTTTAACTACAAGCATCGTAACCGATTTCTTTTCAGCCTCAAAATCTTTAGCCTTGTCCTGTATAGCTGTTTCAGCAGACGGCACCTCATCATCAACGGAACTATCTTCTGACCTTTCAGATTTTATAGTATCGGCTGTAATATACTTAACGTCTGGTTTGATCTCATCTAGGTCATCTTTTGCTGCCTTTTCTGCTGTGTCAGCGTCAGGTAACCTCTGTTTCCGTCCTTTACCACTATGCTGGGACTCGGTATCTTCGCCTTCGGTAGGTTTTGTTGGGGACTTTTTCTTGCCACGACGCCGTCGACGACTGCGTTTGCCTTCGGCTCCCGCTGGCGATGGCAACTTGCCTTCAGCTTTTTGGTCGTTGACACGGATAACAACCTCGATAACCTTTGTATCCTTTACCTCTGCCACCTTGGTCTCAATTGTTTTTGGTTTTTGTTCTATTACCTGTTGAGGCGACGACATCTGAACTGCCACACGTCTGATCTCGATATCACGGGGTATAACCTTTTCCTCCGCCACCTCTGTAAGAGGGACATCGGCTTTAGCAGAGTTGTCGAGACCTTTGTCTTTTCTATTTCTATTTCTACGTGGCTTCCTTCTTCCAGAGTACAAGGCGGTAGAAAGAGCTTTCTTGTCTGTACGACCGGGTTCATAACCACTGTCTTTTTCGCTGATACTCAGCGGTTCCTCGAGATTCTCGGCCGGTTGGTCTTTCTGTTTGTCCTTCGCAAAAGATGTTTGCTCACTAAGGAGAACCTCATCTTTTAAGGGATCCGAGGCTACAGCGGAATCATCCATCTCGGATGCAACCACTTTCGTTTTATCAGACGTTGTCGTCCCAACAATTTCGTCTGCCTTCTTAGCTTCTTCGGTAGTCGTCTTCTCGACTAGCTTGGATTGCCGGAAGATTAAAAACAGTTTTGACGCGCTAGATGGCCGACTCATAGTTTTCCCGCTACTTGGCCGACTGCCCTCGCTGCTTTCGCCTCTCCCAGAATCTATAAGATCTGTAAACTTTTTTGATCGTTTTCGGCGGAAGCGTTTCAATAAACTTTTTGTCTTAGTGGACAGGACTTCGGTTGGCTTATCTGCATCATTTTTAGAAGTTTCTAGTTTGTCTTTTTGCTCAGCCTTGGGTTGCATTTGCTCTTCGAGGTCAATTCGCTTCTCGCCCGCACACTCGTCTGTGACGGATTCGGATTCGCTCTGAATATCCGATACATCAGCCTCGGTGTTGGGGTCAAGGTCTTTTGCTGCCTCTGACTTTTCCGCAGTGGTGTCACAACAGCTTTCTGGCACCTCCTTGATTTTGTCATCTACACTTCGCCAACCGGTGAACCAACTAAAAAAGCCTCTCGATGATTGTTCACTATCTCGGCGTTCACTTGTAATCGGCTCCGAGGTTCTTTGACCGGAGTCCTGGTTTACGGTTGTATCCGCTTCACTCTTAGCCTCATCTATCTTTTCATCCAAAGTTGAGAGTTCCTTTTCCGATTCCTTATTCTGATTTTCTTCAGTTGTTGACGTCTCGCCATCAGTGGTTTCCTTGTTGATAGTCGCCACGCTATGACGGTTACGTCTCTCTGGTTTTTGAACTGTAAATCTACTGAAAAGTACCTTTTTTTTGCGTTTTTTGGTGGTTTTGTTCTCTTGTAAGAAAGACTCACATTTGCCTTCCTCATCTTTTTTGTTCGATTTCAAGTCGTCTTTATTACTATATTTATCTTTCTTTTCACTTTTGGCATTAACGGCTTTCTCATCTTCCAGCTGTGATTCACAGACTCGCATCCCAACACTTGCCTCAATTTCGCTTTCTCGAGGCCCCTCAATAATAGCTACATTATCATCTGGCTCACTGCGCTTTTCAAAAAACTTGAAAACCTTAACCTTTTCAGAAGGTCGTATACTCCTTTTCCTCTGCGATTTTTTCGGTTTCTCTTCACCATGCTTTGATGGCACTGTAGCGTTGGGCGATGTTGCGTTTTGCGTTGATTCCATATCTGAGCTAGGTTTTCCCTTACGAAGTCGTTTAATAATAGACGCTTTTCCGGGTCGCTCCTCGGAGCTCGGCTGCGCAGCCCCATCATCAGCTTGAACAGTGGACGATGATGGTTCGTCTGTGGCAACTTTTACAACACTGGACACTCTATGTCGACCAAAACGCATTAAAAAGCCTTTCTTCTGGCTGACGTTTTGAACATCATCTGCATCGTCAACTTTTGTTACCTCAAGAGCGCTATCTTTTCGACTCTGGGTTTCAGAATTGAGATCGATACTTTCCATTGATTGGGTGTTCTTGATTATGTTTGACACCTCTAAGTTTGTTTCGCTGCGAACACTCTTCATCTCCGCCTTTTCGCATTCAACGACAGCCAGCGACCGTTCGGGTGTGGCAACTGTGTGCTTTGGCTTGTTTTTTTCTTTACTCTTCTTCCTATGGAGCACCCGACTCCTGAACAGTCTCTGCTTCTTTGGCGATGACGGCACATCATCCATGTCCAAAGGCTGATCGCCATGACGCTTCTTCGATGGCGTCAAGCTAACTAGCGGACTCCGAGACGGGGTGAGCTCCGGCGTAAGTGCTTTACGTTGCTGTGTACTGGAGCCTTCCACCTCCTCCAACAGTTTATCTTCATTAAGAAACGTCATTAACGAGATGGCTAGTTCTTCGACTACGCTATCGCCGATTGGCCGTGGCGTCGAGCAGCTCAGAGTATGTGATTTTACCGGCGATTCACAAACGACTGTGGCAACGTCCGATACATTGTCAACTGGCAGCTCAGTTTCCGGGACGGATTGAATTGACGAGCCCTGCTTACCTTTGTCATCTTTGTCGTGCTTGTTTTTATCGTTATTTTCTTTGGCAGCACGCTCAACAGTGGCGGCGGCAGGTTGGTCGCAGGGGGCCTTGACCTCTTTTTTCTTGTTGCCTAGACCAAATGGGAACGACGCCTTCAAGCTGGACTTCTTCACCGGTTTCATATTATTATTGTTTGTACTGTCGGCAGCCGCTACGCGCATGGCTGTTTTCGCTTTGATAAAGAACCGTTTTCTAGGGGCTACTAGACCTTCGTGAATATCTACAGTCGTGCTATCTGAGGGTCTCTTTTCGCCAAAACTCTTGACGGGTGACGCTGTATGGAAACAACTAAAATACCTACCAAATTTTTGTTTTTTTGGTGCCACACTCAGATCGTCGGACAATGTCTCTGTATCAGCAAGATGCGACTCTTTATTATGGTCAAATGTGAATTTATGCTTCTTTTTCTTATTTACCTGGAGTCCCACTTTGATCTTCTTGGTAAGCGCCCCATCAGGGAAGATCGCTTGAACCTGGGAAACGACCGTTGACGACACCATTCCACCCTCCGGTCCGATCGAGTGGACCTCTTGGCGATTACGGCATACCACGGCGAAGTACTGCGGAAAGTCGGTTGTCAGGATCCGCGTCACGCGATTGGTGTTAAAGTCTTGCATCGCATTCAGCTCTGCAAGTGTATTATAGACACGTGAAACAGGTATGACAGAATACAGAGCAAATATAAGCATGGTCATGTAAACGAACACTTCGCGCTTACCAAAGTATCGCCCCTACTCAATAGTTACGTCGGATTTCGAAACCGCCCACATACACACATTGCTTAGATTTAATAAGGGCCATATGTCCGGAGAAAGGCTTAACTAAAGCACAACTCGACGTAAAGGTTTAAATTATTACAAGAGTCGGAAAGTTTATAATGTGTTAGAAACAGCCTAGCCGTCACTATGGCACTGACCTGCGCCTATATATTATGTGTGCATATGTGTACAGGTATTTGTTATGACAACTTACGTCTTGACCAGCAGCTTGAACAGCCCAGTCATAACTGCCTGCCGACGACTACAAATAATCATCATTGCCATGTTCATTATCAACATGTTCCTTACTTATACTAGCTGGCTATGCTAACACTGGGTGTAGTATTGTACATTATGAATGCAAAACCGCGCGCGACGAGCAACGACAACAATAACAAAACCAACGCTACGTAATTATTTCTTTCATCTGCGATTGTTTACCGTGACGGCAGAGTTGTTATGGCAACGGACACAGAAACGAAGGCGATAGTTTCAATGGTATCAACATTGCTAACTGTGGCTACCCGTAACAAGGCTGAAGCGGCCTTGAAAATTGGCAGTGAACAGTATAAACAAAAATGGGTACACAGAGCGGATACGCTGGCCAACGCTGATTAAAAGAAAAGACAGTGGGGTGTTGACCAACCTCTTATTATCTTAATAACAGGTTTGCAAGGAATTACTTTCAGGGGCGTAGCTGTTCAAACACACCCTGTAAACCGGTAAGACGGATAAATGACCACTTCAAGAAGACTGATCAGAAAAGCCCGCCAATCATCTTCAGATTTCTTCTTGTAATGTCATTATTATTCATTCAGCTACTTTATTTATTCACGCTTTATCGTCACTCACTTGTTCTTAATTGTAGTTGATCATAATCTCTGCATCAGTCATCCCACCCAAACAATGTTCTATTATTGTATCGTAATATTTTTGCTCGTTTCTTTACTCTTACCTTGAGCATCAAAGCTACCGTTGAGAACCTCGGAGACGGCATCTTCCGTCGCCTCCATCGTGTGCTCCTTCCATGCCTCTCCATTGTCAGAGCGCAGGATGACGATTTCTCGTTCTTTACCTCTGAGCGAAGCAAAGTGTGGCACTTCGATGACGACTGGCCCGAGGAACTTTGCCCCGGCGGGGCCCATCTCGATGATGCGGGCGGCGCAGGCCTCGCCCTCCATAAGCGGCGGCGGATGAGCCAGCTTCTCTTTGCGGATGAAGCGGCACGTCACCCTCATCGGCATTGATGCCCTTCGCGGGGGAATGATCACACGAACCCCCGAGTGACGGCAGCCACGCATGGCGCCGCCTCGAGCATCTACCATAAAGCTCACCAGGAACCTATGCACGCAGGTGGTAAAAAGTGCGACATGTTATAACTCGGGACACAAGACGAAGAATGTACCCAACATTCTAAATAGCAGGAATCGGAGCGTTTTGATGAAACTAAAGTTTCTTATATGAATGTATATACATAGCTAAAGCACCCAAAGGCACGAGTACAACCAAAGGACAGAGTACAATGAAAATAAAATGGAGACAATCCTTTCACCGAGCACCAAATCGACGCAGGTTTATTTTGCGTTTGACCTAATATCATAATATCCCTCCTAATCAAATAGCAGTAATAGATGAAGAATGTGATGATGTATCAGTGTACAATTGAGAAATTGTTACACACTTACTGCTAGTAAATCAATTGTAACATTTAAGTTCACAACTAAAAGTACAACATAGAACATTATGAATATGTGTATAAGTACAGAAACTTTAAAAACATATCTCGCCCAAACGCTATGTGTCACACCGGCCGACTTAGCTCACTCCGCTGCGGGCGTGGCCTCTACGCTACTACAACCGCTCAAATTTACGATAGATATGGCAAAGTAAGAAAGAACAATTTCGAAACACACATTCTGGCGAAGTTTGTTTGTCGTTTGTTGGGGATAATCGACAAATCAATTGTGAACAAATCCGTTTCACTTTTCTGGTTACAGTTCATCTGATTGTCACAAACACTCGGTCAGCTGATGTCTCCGTAACCAATGAACAGCAACTAAACGCAGACAAAAAGGCGGGTATGCAACACGAAAATGGCTGCATACCAAGTCAATCGCTTGTTGACGTTCTCATTTCTGGTAAATCGCAGTCTACCGCTAACCCTTCCGAAGTAGCAGAAAAGATAGGTATGAAATCTGAATAGTCAGAATTGTTGACGGACACAGCTCAACGGTGGCAGCGCAATAATGAAAATGGTAGCGACATGGGTAGAATTGCCACCACCCAGAACGTCTATAGCTTCGGATCGGTTTGCAGTGCTGGTAACCAGCCAGCCAGGCAAGCAGGCAGCAGGCGCCAACAGCTGCGCGGACGATCTAAAGGCGCTGAAGTCAGCATAAATGAAGCGCCCTGCTGTTTGGCAAGAGTACTACTACTACTTTTCGCGATTGCGTCAGAAGCCATTCGTCTGCTACTGGACTGGACGTCAGCGCCCCCTAGAACCAAGGACGGCGTGAACTCGTCTCCAGTTGAAGATGACATGTGCTGCGAAGATCACTAGCAGAAAGCTCCAGCAATCACGATCATAATAATGATAAAACAAACTCAAATGCCATCGCCTGTCTCGAATCCAGCAAGTAAGTTCGCTGTAGCAATACGACGCCAACTCGACGGATGAATTGCCTGCCTTATCTCTACACAAACAAAACTCTGAGCTCCGTTTTTCAAGGTTTGCACCATCTTCAAATCGACCCCATTCAACCATTCATCCCAAGAAAAAAAAAATGGCGAAGCGCGGTAAATAGCATGTGCCTTTTCTGGATATATATGGCATTACGTGGGGTAAATCGATCCACCTATCGGCTCTCGGGGAGTTTTGCCCAGCTTTGTGCCGTAAAGCTAACAGGAGGCGAAGGCAGACAAATGAGTATATGAATCAGCAGACGAAATCGATCCCTTTAGAGCAGAAGCACTTCTGTCGGCAGGTGGTCCGGTATCGCCATTAGGCATTTAATTAAACGGCTGGCTCCCGGTACGAAGCGAAACGTGTCCACGTGCGGGTCCGAACCTAGACCACAACATGTCCCTAAGATTAGCAGGCAAATGAGTTACCCACCAAGTTATTACGGGGCCAGGTTTCGTGCAATTTTTAGAGAGTAGAGAATTGGTCACTTGTTACGGCAAAGACAGCTGGCCTAGTTGGGGATAGCAGGGAGTGACCTGCCGTTCCAAGTGCAAAAACACCAGGAGCGGAAGTTGAGGTTTGAATCTATCGCGTATACAAAATCACTACTAGAGTTGACGTAAAAATGTTGTATTCGCGAACAAATACAGCGAAACACTTTTTTTTTTCATTGAAATCGCAGTATCTAGAACATAATAGCTAGATTGAAAGTGCTTCTGAGTGTATCTATGTGTAAAAGACAGTGACCTGCAGTGCGATACTACTGATCTCGAACAAGCATTAACGAAAATCCGGCTTACTACAGAAGTTTACGTAAACAGAAGCCAATTGTAAAACTCTGTAAAAAACTGTAAAACAAGTGCGCGTCACGGCACGATGCATTGTATAGACGGTAGGGAAGATTGTCTATTGCGATTCATATGACAACGTCCCATTGTAACCGCTTACATCATCCAATACGATGACAACACCAGTCAGTGCAACAAAAACGTATCGAGGCACTAACATTTTCCACAGTTTCCCAAGTATGTTCGAGCTGGCTCTTAAATCCTACCAGTATTCTATTGCAGGCGTCATAGTCGAATAAGAGCCAGCTAGAGAGTTTCGGATTATGTCTTAAATTAAATTAGATCTGATGGTCTCGTTGTAACATTGTTGCGATTGGCGGGCGTTACGCCATGTTCATCAGCGTCTTTGTTTGCCCCCTATGGCTTGGCGATTGTATCAAATCGCTCACTTCGCTTTCTAGAGTAACGAAAAAAAAAAAAAAAAAAAAAAAAAAAAATATTCAAGGTCGGGAAACAAATCAAAAATCAAATGAAGGCGCAGTCTCTATTTAATTGTTTACTGTTTCAAAAATAGTTACGTTCATTAAAACTATACTTACGTTTTCCATTTTAGTTTTCCTTCACCACTAGTTTAGCGCAACGATGCAAGAACGCAAAACGCTCGTTAGTATCAAGTCATTACGTTAACTAACATGCTCAGATTTAGTTCACAATCGTTTTTATAGACGACCCTCATATGGACATCCCGCAAACGTCTGCTTCTTCTTTCGTCTCTCACGTTTTTCGGTATACATTGTAATCTGTATTTGAAAACGCAATCACAGCCACTGTCGAGTACGAACTACTAACTATTTTGATGAGTATTTTATCTAGTTGCAAGCTTGCCTAATAAAAACTAAACAGCTAAAAAATAAAATCGCTACCGTTCATGCGGACAACATAATGGATCAACATGACAAATCAGCCCTTAAACACTAAAATGGACCATATTAATTAACAGGATATCAGCTAATATAAATGTATGAATCAACACATGTTGCAACAGTTCGATAAGTGTTAATCACAGTAATATTTTTTTTTACACATTAATTACATTAACGTAGTATTTATGCACAAACACATTAATCCTATACGGAAACGCTTACTTCCTATAAATAACTTAGAGTGCTTCAAATAATCATGTTTATTGGCGGTGGTGGCTTACTGATACAGTCAACATTAACATAGATGATATCTAAATATCACTATTATTGTACATAGATATCTAAGAGGATAATTTTAAATATGTACACTATAATTATATAGATGCGTTTTGTTTTGTATAGGAAGTTTCTTGTATAGGAAGAAGGGGGTTTTCGTCACAGCAAGCCAACGCAAATCGTTTTCCCGACGGTCTTCTCCGAACCGGTTCGAACATACCCACTACGCTGATAAGGCTACAACGCGCATTTCGATTTCCTGCGACTTACCCGGCATGCACTGGGGTACGTTTTACTTCAACGTTGTCAGGCGCCGCCTTGGCAAAGGACTGGTCTAGATGGGACGGTGAGAGCCTGTCTTCTTCCTGGGCAGAAGGTGCAATATGGCCGTGCGGGCGTGTGGCTGCCTGTTGGCTGGCAATGTGGGCTACATGGGCTTCGTGCAACCTCTCATCTCGGGTGACGTCGATCGGCAGTGAGTCGTCGCCTAGAGACTTCATTTCGTCCGCTGTTAAATCCAATGACATCGATTACCGTTATAACAAAAGACGAAGAAACAAGTCATGAGACCAAATTTAAATAGAAAGAACAATAGCGACTGGATTTAAATTAGATCACAGCGATCACGAAATTGACGATGGCAAGATGCAATTTCAAAACTTCAATCTGTTCACGTGATTTAGGTTCAACACTATATAGGACCAAGTTGGATCTAATCGATCCAGCTAGTTAGCTCAGCTTGAACACCGCAACATAACATTTTTTGCTACACACAGCATTTTTACGCTATGGAATACTTTATCTCTATGCATTTACCACACAGTTTCTACACCACGCAACAAATTGATATTGAATTAACGGCGTAATCGTGAGACAGTAGCTACGAAACGCTTTCGCTTAAACGAGGTACGACAAACGCTACTGTAAACATCGCCCGTCTCTAAATAGAGCAGTCATTTTGCGTGAACAGATAATGTAACGCTCGCCCACCTAACTCAATTGCCAGCGATTAAACGTCGCGTAGCCGACCCCAGACTCGGATGGTGTCTGCATGCAGCGTCTTTATTGTGACCACACACCAATGAATCCCCGCGCTGGCAGTGAACGCGATGCATCATCGTTGATGGGCCATCAACACTAAGTGACTCGCATTAAGCCGGGCTCCTGCTGTCCTCTATTGTTCTTGTCAACTGCGTTCGCAATAACGTGATAGAGGTTTTTCTTCCCTACGTCTTTTTCCGCGTCGCTGCCGGTAACGAAATATCGTCGTATTCGGTCGATACGTACATTAAATATTAGCTATCACTATCTGTTGGCGTCTCTATACTTTGCTCTACCGTTACTCTACTTTCTTTCACTTTTTTTTGGCTTTCAGGATCCTGAGAGCGATACGGATATTAAGGCTAGTTACGTCGCTTAACAGCGGCCGATTGCAGGCAATCTGTCTGATGGTTCTCTGTGAATCTATGGATCACAGGGCACACGGTATATTATGGACTGCACGGTGGTACGAATGTAGCTACAATTTCAAAGTGAAGGTAGTGGCTCTTGGATACACTAAAATTGGAGAGAAGCCCCTTTATTTTTTTGCGTGTCGTCGCTAAAGACGTAACGGTTACACAGACGGAGAAAAATGCCAAGTAAATGCGCGATGAGATAATGCCACTGCGGCCTATCTCAAGTGGCAATCCGCTTAGCCAGCAATGACTATGTATGAAGGATGCAGCAGCATGCCTTGTGGGACGTCATACCATCTCCTTTCATGTAAAAATTAGCCATTGGAGGCAACGTAGAGACGAATAGCAGGTTCCACGCTAAATGCAGACGGCCAAGAGTCGTTCGTCAAATGGGAGACTGGCCGCCGCGCAAAGTACCGATAGGAAAACTCGTTTTTGGTTATACTTAGGTCCACGTCGCCCGTCAATAACTCATTAGCCGAACGACACAATAGTATGTACCGACGTCTATGTCGCCCCTTTATCCTACTCTCTCTTTCTCTCTCTCTCACACACAGATACAAGCAACTACAAATTTTTAGAAACGCGTTGTCTGGTTGGCTACTTTGGTGTTTATTTGCGTTAGCTAATTTTGATATTAGCGACTTGGCCGCCACTGAATCGCGGTCCCAGGTAAAATAATAACTACTTACAGTCTAACATTTAAATTTTAAATAGAACAGTTTGCTAAAAGTAAAAAATCAAATGAAACACTTTTTTAGGAACTTTAGACTATTGGTGCTATTAAATATTAAAAATCCAAATACCAACAAAAAAATTTCTTTGCTGATGTTTTTCAAAATATCAACGTCGCCCTACACTCTCTATTGTACAGAATCCTGAAGAAAACTACATTTATCAGCCATTTCTTTCAGCAGCCTAATTAAACCTAAGCACAAGTAGCGTTTATATACAGAGTCCCTATTAGATCTAACTGTACTATACGTATGGTGACCGGTGACAAGCAAGTGATGAAGCCATGCAAGGAAGATCTATCAATACGTACCAGTTAAATACTTAAACGAATGATCTCCCATCATATTGTCCTGCTCGCCCTCATCCTCACTATCGGACATGAATGTCTCGTGCATGGTTTCCGGGGCGACGACCTTGTATTTCTCTTCAGTGACAACCGTTGTTGTGGTGGTGACTGTCGTTTCGGTCACGACCTTTAGCGTCTCAATCACCGAGATGTAGCCGAGTTTCTGCGCGATAGACAGCGCTGTTTGACCTTGCTGGAAGTCGTTCATTATCGCAGTAGAAATAGAGTTGATAAAAATACATATAGATGCGACGAATGATGGATCGTCAAACGTCCAAGGGATTCGCGACACCCGCGATTCCACCAAACACGAAGTCATCCATTCGTATTTGGAAAACCAGAAGAACGGGTGAAGAAGAAGAAGAATCACATCGTTAGTAACTTGTTGCTTAGACCATAATGTAGATACGATGCTAACGAGAAGGACCACTGCTATGCAATTCTATAGTTATGAATCTTCAATAGGTACTACGACAACACAGACAGTTTCTACGATTGAGATATCAATTCGAAATTATTCCAGTAACCGCTAGAAGTTCATTCAAGAAAAAAGCTGATCGGCCTACGTTATGCTAATGCTATATTGTCACAGCGTTTATATACAGCCACATAAGTCCTCAGCCACAAACATTAGTTTCCTGTGGCCCTGACTTCTTTGGCCTTACGCCAATTAATTGTCACACGCCTGTCTGGCGGTCCCTGCGGCGTTCTGCAGATAAACTCAGTAAGTCGATCGCAGGCCTCCATAGGCCAAAGGTCGCCACCGCCACAACTAGAAGCTGCAAATAGGCTACAGGAAGTGTCACACTTGCCAGTCCTTGAGTTCGACGAATTCATATGACATCAGCAGCTGTTAAGCTTGAAGTTATCCGTATGAGCTCAGCTATTTACGATATTTCGAATGTATTGTTTATTTCGACAACTTGCCCACCCTGCCCTGTCTGTTTTCGCTTTTTGTTTACAGCTAAGTGACAAATGACGGCGACTAAATATGCGGCAACCGTGGACAGCGCGGCATCTCTATTGCCACTGCCATGGATATGAGGTAGAATTATGGTAAAGTGTTAATGTGTTTGCCTAGAGACGAGTGGGGTGATTGTGAGGCTCGAGACCGGGCGGAAACACCGGCCGATTGGTGCTGGCCGTCTAAAGCAATAATTAACTGAGGGAATAGCATCGGGCGTGAAACTGGAAGCGTTCGTTTTTTGATATAGGTAAGTCGAGAGCTCTGACTATCGTTATTTCATGTGCGTAACGCGATAAGCTGTCTAGCGGGAATACATTTGGTAGGTATACATGGAACTGTCATACAAGCAGCCTTTTTCCCATCATTCATATGATGGACTCACACATGAGTTGCTGAATAGCCAAAACAGGACAAATATTGCAGGAAGCTCTGCCGTGCTACTACGGATATAGTGAGTGTGAAGAATTTGTGATATACAGTAACATACAACTGAAGCTTCCTCTATATATAGGCAATTGCATTTTCAACGTGGCGAAGACAATCTTGGCGTTTCCAATTTAATCTCGTATAACAAGATCAAATTTTTACAAGATTACATCTTTTTTTTTTTTTTTTTTGTTCATATGATGCTTCAACGGTGACGTAGTTTAATTTCTCCATAGTAGACACACACATAGTGCGAATATTGATGATTATTATTATGAAGAAAAACATCACACCATACGTTCGAGCCGTCTGATCGTATCTATCGGTATTTGCTTTTTCCGCTAGATAAATTATATTAGAACAGATATAAAAACACCACCCGCTGGCTCTACATACAGCTGACTGCAAGGCCGTAAGCCGCTGCCGGAAACGCTGTGTACCGATGAAATGATAGCACCGTATTGTTTCAATAGTCTATTTGATAAACACGATGTATATACGATATGAGATGTTGTTTGTTGGTCATGTATGAGAAGATGATTCCAACGTTTCCAGTGTCATCGGTCGATTTATAGTGAGAATATATTGTAGCGCGGGCACGCTCAACTTGGTGCCTGTGTCCACTGCCAACTAAGTAGATTTACTAATGGATTCACTCGCATCACTAAAGCAAATGTTTATTCCATGAAAAGGTAGAAACGGAGTCACTCAGCCACAGTGTGTGTGTGTGTGTGTGTGTGTTAAGTTTATTACTAAAAAAAAATCTTTACCCCATAATGCTATATGATATAAAACACTATCTGTACCATTTGAGCTGAGCAGTTCGGACCATTCTCTGGGACACCAGAAACGTTTCGTACTACGCCACTGAAAGGTAGTGAGATCGGTGCGACGGATGACAATAATTGACAGACGCTAACACATAGGTATGGCATGGGATATCGGTAATTAGTATGCCTGTGTATTACTTGGCAAATGTACAGGGAGTACCTTTCAGAAAGACGATAAAGATTACTTGGCGGTCTTTTCTATTTGTTTTCTGGCTTTATCCTGATTGTTTATGCGCACGACATTCATTCACTGTTCTATACATGTATTACGCAAAGTCTGTCTGTTTTGTACAAGATAGAAATTCACTAAAAATTATTATATAAACAATATGATCGCAACTTCTGGGTGTGAACATGAAACAAGCACTATGCCTGGTGGTCCATCAAAGTATCAACTTGATGAATTGATCGAATGAAGTTTCGTTTGATCACAGCCTAAATGTGTCGCAGTTACCCAGTCACCTAAATATCTGAGTTACAGTCCTTCTGTGCACACTGATCCAAACGCATACTATAATGCGCTAGTAGTTGACATTCGAGGTCATTTCTCGCCAGCCTTTCCACAAGTACTACACGAATTTACACACGAACCGACCATTCACGCACATATTTTACATATCTTTTCCGTTATGCTGAATACAGCGGATCGTCGCAGGTATTCTATGTACCTTGGTGGATACTGGGCCCCACCACGGGTGGATAAATGAGGAGGACATGCCATTGCCTCGACCCCGCCCGCCGGCTTCGCGAGGTGACAACCGCCCGACGCCAAGGAGCACGGCCACGTTTTGTCCAAGCGACTTCAAGTGACAGAAGCCGGAGCCAGCGCCACCAGCGCCGTTAACTTGCCGCCAGCACTCTTACCATCATCAAACCACAACCTCACTGGCTAAACAGAGAGTGAAAAAACAGCTGAGTGAGGAACCAAGGTCTTCCGCGAGCGCAGTACGTCTTCTCGCAAACTACTCACAACTATTCCGAATTGAAACAGATCTCAGCTGTCCATCCCCACTCTGGCTACGAACACTCTCACAAGCGACAGTTTACGAGAAACAGAAAAACGGGCACGAGCACCGAAATCAGAACAACGACGAGATAGCTCGAGCGGGTTGACCACTGGATGCTTTTTTCTTTAAGGAACGGTGGCGGTGCTTCCATCCATTAACTCGTTTAGTTTATCTCAGCATAGACCCTGCCACGCGGCCTTTATTTCAGCGACGACATACCTTGCGTCAGTGTAGAGCTCAGTCTCTAAGGGCACAGAAACATCACCACTAACATGACCAGCTCCATTCGCCTGTTTGTCTTCGCAATGCCAGCTCGATACCACGGCCGCTCGTTTCGTTCAGTCGTTATATGTTTTCGGCGACGATGACGTTATACGCCAACGTTTTAACCGCCCCAGTGCCGTAACGGCAATAGTATTCATTGCCGTCGTTAAGGTAGCCATCCCGTCGACACTGTTCGTGAAACTTTGCAGTAAATTCCCCGTAGCTTACGTTTCTACTGACCTCGCTATTGCGGTTTTTAGCGGCACGTGTTTCGCTACATAGCCGAAGGAAACGCAGGTTTCTTGTAGGGTAAGCGATAAGCGAACATCGACGGGAATTCTGCCGTAACAGGCCACGATTGGCACGTATTTAACATACTGCCATAAAGTGATGGCTGGCTTTGCCGGTCAAATGCTGGTCCGCGCAAAAAAAACTAGCCGCTAAGTCTTGTTTTTGACAATACAAAGAAAGACAACACCAAGTTTGCTTCATCTGAACAGAACCATCCATGGTGACAGAGAAGACTGCCGAAGCAAGTGCGTGTGCTTCTATCACGTGTGGTCATCGTGGCGATCGTACTGTTCTGTCTATGAGATGCGCGATTTGGTGGCGAAGCATAGGGGCGGACGTCGTTGCCGTTGAAGAAGCAATGATGCTCGTGTAACTTCGTTTTCCTCAAGCAGCGCCAGATCGTGTTGGTTCTGGCTGATTCTCTTGTTAACCCGGTTGTTTCCTGTGGCCGACGGCGGACGGAATCGAATGGATGCATACGGACAGACGCAGACATGAAGGTAAAAGCGATACAGCCACTACATTGTAGTGAACAGGTCCGGAGGATGACCCAGGGTTTTGTTGACTGTCGCTCTTTAGAGAATAAAAAGATGGGCTTTGAAGTGTAAAGCAAGTTACTGGCGACAAACAGTTCCGTGTGATTTGCCTTACAGGGACGACTACAGCTGGAGGTTGCTAGTTCAGCTTCCGGCAAAGATCTAGTGTACAATGCTGCTAAGCTATTGTCGATCCGTGTCTAGCCAGCGTGTTGTCAAAGGATTCTGGTTTCGCGCCGTGTTGATGTCGAGCTGCTGTTAGATGCTCCGCCGTTCTCGCTTACGATAGTCAGCTAACGTCCCGTTTATGCGACTGGCGTACCCTGGCCAACAGACGTATTTAGCTTGAGCCGATCATCCGGTCGCGCCACAAACGTCATGAGGATTCATTACAGTTCAGCTGCTATTTCGTCGTAGTCTTTCGTCAAAAGATGCGGCCCGCTACATAAGCAAGAGCAAATGACGCCGAATCACCTCGAAATATCGGCCAAACAGGATCCCACAGCAGACGAAAAAAAAGAGACATACAGTTGAGAAGAACTACGTTTGTTTACCCGCCGAGTAACCAATAGATATGAAACGACTTCATAATTATATAGATGGACCGACTACGGGACGGATTTAACCTGACCAGCGGGTTGACGAATCGAAGATATTCATTTTTCTTTTATCAAATAGCGTTAAGTACAGTCGCCTGTGGGTAGACAGCGGATACAAGAATCGTAGAGCGGTTTTCTTAGCGATAGCGGCCTGCCAAACAAAACAACGACCATTCTAGGATAGCAAGCGATTGTACGCGAGCGGAACGTGCAGCTTCTGCATCTCGAAAGCTGATGTTTGTTCCTCTTTGAAGAATGTTTGTCCTTGTCCATTTTTCACGGCACCGTGCAACTGGCCAAGCATAGGTCCTATCTGGACTGTAGCAAGATTCACATGCGTGCGTAATCGTCAATAGGACACCGTCGATGTAAACAGAAACATTGTAAGCGTCGTCACCGGCCGCTATTGTAGAGCTAATGGAATAGAGGAGAAGCTGCCGATTGCTCTTCAATAGTCTTGCTTCTACTGTAAAACAGCCAATGCATTAGACGAGGTCTCCCTCTATCCAAACGTTTAAAACACATCCACAAAGGTTTCTTGCGTGCTGCCATAGTCCGTCGGCTAACAGACCGGAACAGGCCATTACTGGGCGGGCGGTCAACTGACTAACGCCTCGTTTACGACCAGACGAAATTGACACCACAGGAACTCCCACGATGGCGAAGTAACTACACAACGTCAAGTTTCGACAAGTTGTTTCCGTAACACAGGAGCTAGACAAGAAAACGACCGCAACATACAATGGACGTACAGGCCCACGCAAATGCGGAGCTTCAATATCGTACGGTGATGAAAGTTGCGAAATTCAAACTTGAGCGCTGGCTTACAGTTTCATGTAGACATTCGCTTCGTTGATTTTAAGTAATTTTTTAACGAGAAATTGTAAGTCGGTTCGTAGAGGCTAACTCCGCTGGACCAAATAACCGATTAGGTATGTGATTAGTGTGAAAGCTGAGCAGCTTAGTTTCCAACCTTTACTTCGTTCACAATCACAGACTACAGCTCTATATATTATTACGTTTAGATAATATGTTTATATACAGTATATTAATTAAATATCCTGTAGGCGATAGTAATGTCTGCTCTGGGCAGATATGTAAGGCAACAGCAAGTGACTGTTCATACGAAATTCGAAAGCTGCGAAAATGCTTCTTCTTGGAGATGTATCGCGAAATAGTTCATTTCTATTACACCTGTTTGTTTTGCTTTCTCCTTTAAAACGTAGAATGTTGGCACGCACGACGAGGCTCACGTTCGCACCATTAGCGTAAGTTATCGCTGATAAAATAAGCT